CACTTTTTCAACATTGCAACTTCCAAAAGTGGTCCGGAGCTGAGGTGTTTTGTACATTTTGACTTCGAAATGTGCTTCGCGCCACAACGGCGTGCAACTTTTTCATCTCTCATCTGGCCAGCTGGCTCCGCACCCGCCGCTTTAGCGAGCCTACTTTTCGACCCTCCGGAGCCACAAATCATTGGAAAAACACAGTGTTTCGCGACTTTCCTACCTTTTCGCGCATCTGCATCTTCTTTCTTCTGAACTTTTCTCTTCTGACTCTTCTCACCTCTGCTTTTCAACTGTCCATATTGTCGGAAGTTTCACTTCTAAACTTCCTTCGATCAGATGGAGGTAGTTGGAGCCAGATGTTATGCGTGGCCTTCAACCAGCAGGAGCAACCAGAGTCACGCTTAACCATTGTCCCATCTCGTACGGCTGACGCCGGAAAAGTGGAAGCAGACCGCGACGCTGTGTCCGCTGGACTGGCCTTCTAACTACAGCCTGCGGCTCTGGCATGTAACAAAGGACTTACACCAATTTGTGGACCAACTAAGGAAGCAAATGAACCACCGTCATATGTTCTCTCATTGGGAGGTCAGTTTCGACAAGTTTACGAGCAGAGTCCTTCACCAGCTACCGGCTCACTGCAGTGTCGAGGGCAAACGAGACAGGGTTATGTAGTTCTTGAGTGGTGGCTAGTCGTCGGAGCTCACTACATTTTGCTTTGAACTTATCTATGTCACTCCGGGGTGGCTTTTTACGTATACGCCTGCTAGGGAAGTCCCGATTCTGCACATGTCTCAAATCCGACAAACACCACTACCTTGAACAAATTACACGCCGCATGACATAGATACCCCTCTCCCCCGCTGTTGCCTTGCAGAAAGAAGCTCAGTTCACTATGGTGCAGAAATAACGATATGCGCGTGTGTCTCTCCGCAGACTGGACAGGTGCATTGTACCCCCTCTTCTGTTTTTGATGTTTCTACCACGGCAGCACTAAGGTCTTGATCACCTTTCGACTGCTTTTTTTGCCTACATACATACCCACCAACTGGACTGGCATATTTTTACATATGGCGACCGGAAGGGCAACTAGGAAGGTCCTTTTGAGCGAAGCCGGTTTTGAGAAGGTTTTCCGGACCCAGAATTGGGTCCGTCGGAGCAAGCTGTTTTGTAGATGATTTTGTTTCTTGTTGGGCAAGCGGGGTGCATAGCGGTTGCTGCTTGAACCCAGTTGGAGGTAGCTTTTGATTATTTCGTTTCGTCTGGTGGCTTGATTGTTTGCTGCTAAAAGAAGGCGCATCAGCCTTTTGCAGCCTGAGGTGATTGCTTGAAGTGTTGCTTGCTGTTGCGGAGTTTGTGGGTTTTCGCGCAGGTGGTCGGCTTCCATGTGAATGATTGTATTGAATACTTTACTGCCCCTTGTTGGCCCCCCTTGCCCCTCTAGACTCCTACCGAAGTTTTCAGCCCAGAAAGAACATGCATTATGATTATGATCTTTTCAGTCAATCCCGTTATTAATTAATAGTATAAATTTAAAACGGGATGGAGTAAGAATCTGCTTAGGGAAAGATGTGGGAAGGTGAAGTATTGAAGGCTTTCTTACTCTGCCATCGTCTCGATATCGTGTCAATTACATTGGGTAATTGAATTAAACCATAGCACGGAGTAGCGGAGTAGCGCGGAGTAGCGAAGGATTGGTGAATGTTGCCGGGGTGGTGCTGCATCACAATCGCCGCATTGGAGCTAGGGAACGGAGACAGCTGATACCACATCTGCGCTTTCAGGTTCCATTTCTGGGGCCGGAAAGTCAATTGAAATCAGGCTTCGCATGTGCGGGCCTCCTCTGTATCTTGAAGCAACTCCAGATGATGGCATTCTCCTACGTTCAACTGAAGAAGCAAGATGGTCAGTGACTTTTGGAAAGAGGATGACTTTATCCAGGATGAAGTTACAATTCCAGATTGGACGGCCGAAGGAAGATTCATTTTGAAAGCATTCAGCGATTCTTCATGGGCTGATTGCAAAACAATTCGCAGGGTTGATCTTTCTCAATGGATCACCTACTCAAAGCATTTGCCGAACCCAAGCTTCAATGGCACTTTCCAGTTGCGAGGCTGGGTTTGATGGTGCAGAGTCTTTTCTTGTATCGCTTGTGCAAGTTTCTTGTTGGAGATGAAAGCGAAGGAAACAGCGACAAGGTGCAACAGAGATTGTACATGGACTCAGCATCAGCATTGGCCCTTATTCGTCCAACTGGAACTGGACGTTTGAAGCACATTCAGATCAAGCAGTTCTTTCTTCGAAATTTGCTGCGTACTGGTGTTTTCCATTTTCAAAGTTCACACGAAGCTGAATCCTGGTGACTTGAACACCAAAGGACTTGGAGAAAAACGGAGAAGGTTTCTTCAGTCCAAATGATGCAAAAAGAAATGATGACAACACAATGAGAAGAATCCGCAGAATGAATCGTGCAACAAGAGAACAATGTGTCCGTTTGATCCAAATGGCAAATGGTAGTTGAAGGGTTGCAACAATGATGCATTCGCTCATCATGATCCTGTGACAGGTGGAAGTGCCAACGACGATGGCGAGCTGCAGATGGTATGGTGGACGCTGGTGATTGGCTGGCCTCTACTTCAACATACTATGGATGAGGATGCATGGCAGTGGTCTACAAGGCACTCTCCGTGATTGCGCGGTTCATTGTGTGTGCGATGATGTTTGCTGCAGTTGGTTTTGCTTGCGCTGGACCAATGGTGTGGAGGCACTATGGCTGGCGTCAGCAGTTTGCTCCACGACATGCGGCATGGCTGATGGGACTGAGGTTTCGAGCATTTGTGAAACCGAGTCTCTGGGTTGCATGGTGGATCTTGAAGAAGGAGATAGTGTACTTAGATGAGCGCTATCGTGAGTCTGGGCAGCGTGGTGATTTCATAGTGGACGTGGAGAACGTGTATGGCTGCTTGGATGAGTACCTAACTGGTGGAAACTATCCAGTGGGTGCTGGTGTGTTGACTCACCAGGCCCGAGACAAGATGATGATGAACCTCAAGAAGCTCCTGAAGGAGAACCTTTTCAAGGAGTGGACTTAGCCGAAGCTGCTCTGAACAGTGTCTACAGGCTGAATGGACAGAGCATTGACGCGGGTCGACACGCAGGGGCGAGTAGTGGGATTCGATAGCACCCTTATCGTTGAATGTTGCAGTAGGTGTAGTTGTCTTCGTTGTGGCGCTAACTTTACTTTGGGCAACATAACTGGACGACCCGGGTTCGAATGTTCATCATGTTTCTGGATGCCTTACTTTTATGTGAACTTGGTCCACTTGATTGGTTGTGACTTGATCTCTGGGTGAGTCATGAGTTTCCATGATGTGCTTCGCGTGTGGACACACGGGACTACATTAGAGATAGGATCTCTGGCTGTTCATGTGGGTTTGCATGAAGTTTATCGCCTGTCATGTGGACACATGAGTTTCGATTTAGAGATGTGAGTCTCTTGCTTGTCATGTGAGATTAACATGAATGTTTGGACCTGTCATGAGGATTCATGACAAGATTGCTAGCTGGCCACTAGCGGTTTGGGCGTAACGGTTTGGTTGCGCGTTTAGCGTAACGGATTGGTTGCGCGGAGGGCCGCGGCGTTGGTGGTGTTCAGTGTTTCTTGAGCACCCACCCGCCCGCCCTGGATTTAAGTTGTCAGCGGCGTGGCTGATAGAAGACGTTTGACCGTGGTAGGCGGTTGTTGTTTCATGCCGCATGGATTTTGAGAATTTCTTGGGTGCAGTGTGTTTTTCCACCACACCGTAGGAAAAAAAAATTAGTGCGGACTCGATTGCGGTTCTGCAGGGTTTAATGGAAGAGTGAGCTGATGCATGGCAATTAAAGTTTGGTTTTGCCTGTTGTGGGGACTGGAGTGGATTTTGGGTGTGAACCTCTTACTGTACAGTTGTGTTTGGACTTCAGCAGAGTTAATAGGACCACAGCAAGGTAGGATCTCGGGAACCTCTGTCTGGAATGTTGTGTTTAAACTTTGGCTGGTTGCTAGGACCAATGTGCGGTAGGATCCCCGGGCAGTTGGTGAAACTCAAGCAGATGAAGAAACTGATCGAACCTACAGAAGACATGCAGAAGGAGAAGATGAAGAAATGGACGACGATGATGACAAGATGGATGTGGAAGAAACTCCTGCTGAAAGGAGGACATGAACTCCAATCAGGAGGAGGTATCTGACCCAGAAGAGTGGGCAGAGACCCACTATGGCAACCTCGATGTGAACAACTACGAGCGTATGGTGGCATTCTCCAGAGCTAATCAGTTTCGACCACGGAGTGCGCTGGAATCTTTGAGGATGAGGCACAACATAGCAGAAGTGGATGGCAACCGGGAAGAGGCCATCAACTATGCCCGTGCGATGTCCGAAATCGAAGCTCTCATTGACATTGCCTAGTTGCTGTGGTGATGCTGGGCAAAGTGGTGCGCAATGAATGCATGAGACAAAACAGAGCACTACGTACTCCAGCTGACCCAAATGCAGACAGTGAGCGTGGCATAGAAAATTTCAATGGAAACTGGAACTTGAATTCAGCACAGTGGCCTGGTAGGGGTCAACCTATAATAGATGTGGACAGCACCAGAAATTGCTGCAGCGCCAAGGTGGGGTGTAAGATTCTAGTCATTGCACTCATGGACATGTACAAGCATGTAGGCTCCAGGTAGTTGAAACGAAACAGAGAAGATTAGCATGGCCAGTTGTCTGCAGGATGACACGCACACACAAATTCGAGTGAATCCGTTGCCCAAACAGTGGCTTAGAAGCGGTTGAGACAAAAGGGTTGGAGCGGTTTGCCAATCCTTGAGGGTTATATGGTGTCGGTTGTCGCTTTCGAGGTCATACAGGTCTTACAGGTCGTAAGCATTTTCAATCGCCGATTCATTTCAACCACCGATTTATTTTGGAGTTTTGCTTCTTCATCAGCGGGACACCGGCTGAGCCGTCCCCTGTACGAGTCATGAACACTTTCATGGAGATGACGGGGTCTCCGGATCCAGCAAAAGTGATGCAGATGCTGCAGAGTATGGGCCCTGAAGACCAGGACATGGACATCATTGAAAAAATTGGTGGACGCTTGTAAGTCTTTCTGTTTTGTTACCAGATGAAGGGTTAAATTTGGAAGATCCACTATGGGGATTTGGTGTGCCCAAATCATTTCTGTTCAGGAGCGAATCATGGAACATGCCATGAATTTTATGAATCGTGGCATTGAGAAGTCTCCAGCGGAAGAGCGAACTCAGTTCAGAAAGGATCGTGAAAAATTCAAGGCCCATCACCGGACCAATGTCCTCATCCATAAACCCAGCGCAACTTTGAAATTAAAAATACCATGAGTAAAACATAGTAAAAGGACATCGTTTGGATCAGGAAACAAATTAGGCTCTTTGATGCCTTTCTTCTTTTCATTTGTTTGGGATTGAATTAGAAACTAGATTCCAAAACCAGTCACCAAAACTCCATTGTTGCCAGAACTTGTTCATAAGTCAATGAAACTCAGATCCAGTCAGCTTCCACAATTTTTTTTCCCTTGAACCCAATTTCCATACCCCAAACTTCAATCATTCCCCTGTTTTCTTCAATTTTGGAACCCACAAACATATTCATAGACTTGTCTTCGATGAACGGGGGGGAAAACCCGGTATTAGTGGGGGTGGTAGGCCAACAGAGCCGCCAACAAGGTGTGCAATGGTTTGTTCAGAGAGACCAAATAATTTGAATTTTTCTTCTGTTTGGGACTGTGGTGACTAGCACCTTGTGGGAAATCCACAAGCCTTGTTTGGGGTTGTCCACTTGGGTTGGAGGCTTTGATTCTCGGGATATCTTGTGTTCATCCAGCACTACTTGGGGCAGGCTGCAGCGGCTGAAATCAATTCTCAGCAGCTGCATTCAATCAACATTCGACACTCCTTTGACACCAAACCCAGCTCTGGTAGTCGAAAAGGACTGCCTTGGCTTGGAAGTGTTGGCTGGGCATGTTAAGCATGGAGTTTAGAGGGATCCAAACTGTTTCCGTATTCATTGCACTCTGCTAGTTTGTTGTTGCTAAATTTTGAGAACGCCCATTTTCTATTGCATTTGGTTTGCCAAGCTCAGTTGAAATGGCAATTTGGTTGTTTTTTTTTGGCGGGAATTGAACATCTCTGTTGCATGCCTAAGTTCAGATTCCAGACTGCCAACTGCACATGGCACGCCTCCTAGAAAACCGGACACTGGTAGCGGGCCCACTCCAGGCTGAAACGGCTGAAACTTAATCCTGTCGAACCCTCCAGTTGGAAGAACCAGGCACAATTGGACATTATTGGATTTAATTTGATGGAAATCCAATGCACACCCATATATTTTCATGTATTTTCCAGGCTTGCTGGTGAGACAATTTCCAAGAGAGTGAACCATCGAGCAGGATCTTTGGTTCCCACGACGGTAAAAGATCTGTCGCTGGGAACCACCCATCGAGGGAAGATTCTGGAAGGCTGGGCAGATGGTGAACTATCCAAATGGACTTACTGTTCTTTTATGGGGACACACCTGCGTTTATCAAGATTCCAACATGCCAAATTGTGACCTGAGATGATAAAACCAGATTATCGAAACAGGTAGTTGGACGATCATCCTACTTATCGGAACTACTGAATGATCATGCTATGAGGGCTTGATTACAGTGGAGTCTAAGGAAGTTCTGGGCTGTTCCAAGATATCCCCAAAGCAAGACTTTGATGGTTCCGATAAAAAATGAACATTTTTCTTGACCAGACTTTTTCTTGTTCATCTGAGTATGGTCAAAAATGTTTGAGGAATGTTTTGTGCGCCACCAGGATGTTTATTGCTCTTGTGCTGGGCAATACTAGATTGCTAGATCACAAAGTCTTGCTGTCGGGCTCTTTTGTGGGCGCATAGCCACACTCTGCTGAGAAGGGACACTCCGTGTTTCGTTTGTGGTGCTAAGCCAGGGACTATCTGCGAAGACCCAATCTTCACTGGATCGTCTGTTTTCTTGCTGGAGGAGTTCAGTTGCAAATTGTAGTCGTGACATCATGACCACTTTTTATAAATCTAATTCTATTTGTAAAGTGTTTTTTCAAGGCTTACTTTGTTTGGTTTCTTGAAACACATGGTCTTTCCTGAGTTCTAGGTTTTAGAACATACTCGCCAAAGTCTACCAAATATATCAACTTATCAACTGACATTTTTTTTTGCGCCATCTATGAATCTATGAGTGCACACAGATTTAAGATACATGTGTTCTAAATTCTCAACACTTCGTTTCATATCCCACGATGCATATTATGGTCGCTTCGCGACGACAACCGCCCGCACCAGAGTGTTAGCTACAGAGTTCCAATAAATAAGACCATATGTTCTGTGTCGGGCCCTTGTAGAGCGCATGTTGGGAGTATGTTGGGAGTATGTTGGGCCCATGTTGGGCCTATGTTGGGCCTATGTTGAGGCGTGTTGGGCCATTTAGGGCCCATGTTGGGCCCATGTTGGGCCTATGTTGGGCCTATGTTGGGCCCATCTTGGGCGTATGTTGGGCCATGTTGAGCGCAAGTTTGGCAACTTAGCCGAATTTAGGCCCCTTAAAAAAAAAACGTGGAAAAACACAGTACGCAGGATTTTAGAGCAAAAATGCTCCTCCCCCAAGCTAAAGGTTAATAGCTGTTGTAATTGCTTCCGGATCATGCGTGCCAACAAAAAGCGCATCGGCACCTTCGGTGCGGGCGGATTTTGGTGTACTACTTATTTCGGACGCAATTGTCATGACTTTTTTCTTTGTGAAATTGGCCGCCATACTTGCACCACCCCAGGACCGTCAGGGAGGCGTGATCAAAGTTGCAGTCTACAACATCCCTGACGCAAGTTGGCCCGTGACTGAGCACATCTTCTTCAAGGGAAGGACTGCCCAGTATCAGGATTTGCCAGCTTTGGAACAGTGTCTTTTGAGCAGCCGGTATGATGGAGGATCGTGACTTGTGCGCCCAAGAATCTGTCTATCAAGAAGGACATCTTTCTTACATAGAAACACCAAATATTGCATTCATGCAAGTATATACATATAAATACACACACACATATATATATATGATTCAAACAACTAACTACGACTGGCAACGGTTCATCTCAAGGTCTTGATGTGGGGTGCTGGTTCCTTGCTTGAAGCGGTTGGGGTGCTCACTGCCACCCATCCATTCTTCCCGTCCTCATCTCACACCCACTCCTGATTTCTTGGTGCAGCTGGCACAATGAAGTTGTTTTGACAGCAAATTGGCTGATTGATAAGAGCTGGCCTTTCAAGTTTCTAAGCCATATCAACCTTGTGGAGTTGAGGTCAGTTGAGAATCTTGTCCAGGAAAAAGCCTCACGCGCGAGGTCAGAGAGGTTCGTTTCGTTCGTTGATTCCAATGTCTCTAGAGGAGCCTTGGGTGAGGGGAGATCATCCTCAAAAGCTGTTTCAGCAGTTTTGAAGCGAATCAATTCTACACTGATTGCGTCAGACCTCTACATGGTCAACCCCTTTTGCCCTACCAGGCTGAACGTCTCTGACGATCCTACCCGGGATCAACCTCTCAGGCAGGCAACCCGTCCCTGGCATTGACAGGCTGCGTAGGTGGGCGTCAAATTGGGTCAGACTCTGCCTTCTCCTCTCCTCGCCCAACCTGCTCCAGATCGCCAACAGAGCTGAGTACCGGAGATCAGATGTGTTTAACAGAAGGAGAGGATTTCAATATTGCCCAGCTTTGGATTTTAGTGTGCTGGATTTTGATCACACCCTGGGCTTCCCAGGTGGAGGACCTTGTCTTCCCTTCTTCCTTATCTTGCATTTCCTTGCCTCTGATCCCATGGCCATTGCTTTCCTTCCGTCCTGTCGTTCTTTGGATTTTCCCATGGGACCAGGTCGGGGTCTGCTGCTGCTTGCCTGCCTTTGGTCTGCTGACTGCGGGGTTATTTTATACGCGGCGCTGTTGGGCCTTTCATTGGACTGGAGCGCAAGAAAGTTGAACTACGGGCCTCACGGCCACAACTGCCAGAAGGAAGGCCTACTCTAGAAGTAACCACCAAGCTATGTGAGAGGTACTGGGGAAATTTCTTGAGATGGACTGAGGCTGAAGGGATTGACATGACCAGCCTGTTGAAGTCATTCCTTCTGTATGTTGACGAACTCAACTCCATTCTGGTTAAATATGGTAGAGCCCTATACGCTGCTGGGAAGCCTGATTCGGTCTATGCCGAAACCATCAACATGCCCAGTGCCAAGAAACCAGTGCCACGTTGGCAGCTACAGGCTGCCTGGGATCTGGCTTGTAGCTGGGTGAAGTCCGAGCCGTCTTCACACCACATTGCGATGCCTTGTGGTCTCAGTGGCATTGACAGGGGGCCGGTTGGAGGTGGCCGGCTGTCTACGTTTGGCTTGGCGGACGAATTTTTTGTCAGCCTCTAGTAGGCACGAACTTCTTTTGCCAAGGGATGTTGGCAATACTATGCAATTTGCATTGCCTTCTATAAACAAGCCTAAGACTAGGCAAACTGGACCGCGGCATCAAGCAGCCAAACTGGACGTTGACATCGCTTTTGGGGATCTTCCTGAGCCAGCAAAGCAGCTAAGTTATGGGCACAAACAGGGCAAACTTTCAGACTTCGTTTTTGAGAGATTCTGCGTGAGCCTTAGACGTTGGCTCACTCAGGTCGGAGGATACACATGGCATCTGCAAGTCACAGAAGACGGTGAACTCTGTAGGCGAAAGGGACGTTGGTTGAGCCAAAGAGTGATGGAAATATAAGCGCAGGAGACCACAGCACTCCTGTACTTGAAGAAGATCTCCACTACATCTCGTCAAAAGGTCCTTGATGTTGCAAATCTTTTTCCGGTTCTCCTTGCGCGTTCTCGAAAACTGAAAGATGCAAAGGTGCCAGCAAGAATTTTTTTCCCTACTCCACCAAGAAGACCTTTGGAGGAACTGGGGATGATGGACGTGGCTAGCAGCTGTGAACAGACCAGCTGCCTGTGCAACTTCTTGGATAATGGAGAAAAGAGTGCGCCGGAGTCGTTATATATATATATATGTCCATATATATATATATGTCCATATATATATATATATGTCCATATATATATATATATGTCCATATTGTCAGTATGTATATTTATATATATATATATGTACATGCATGTGTACAAAATAGGCATATGTATATGTAAACACATTTTTCGTGGACTTGTTTTTGGATGGTGTTCACGTTTCCAGAGGACCTTGGCAGTCCAAGAGCCTTACTACAAACAATTCATGGACGGCTCCTTGGGCATCCGCGTAGATGATCCTTCAGAGATCGTTGATGCATCAAGTGCCTCCAGCCCAAGCGACTTCAAAACCCTAGGAAACAAATGTTTCCAAGCGAAAGAGCATCAACAGGCCTTGGATTTCTACAAAAAAGCGCTTGAAACTTGGTATGCACATGCCTTGTTTTTTTTAACCATTGATGTAACATTCCTATGTGGTGTTTCAGTGTCTTTCAGGGGATATGAAGCATCTCATTCCCTGGATGAGAGTACTAAGGAGGCAGCCTCCAAGCCTCGCCAAGAACTATCCATTCTCTGCAGCAACAGATCACTTTGCCAGATGAAATTGGGCAACCACTTGCTGGCTGTCGCCCTTTCAGGTGAGATACAAAACAACCCGTTGCTATGATTAGTGGGACCCACGCATTGATCGCTTTCGGAATCATGTCCGAAGTTATTCACCCCGCTTCGCGTGGGGTGGCCGCCCACACCGCAGGTTTATTTCGGTCCGTGAGAGGGGCTAAGGGTGGTTTTCCCCCGTGGGGGCTCCCCAAGCTAAGAATTTTCACTTCCCCCCCCGTGGGGGCTCCCCAAGCTAGGGAATTTTCACTTTTCCCCCCCGTGGGGGCTCCCCAAGCTAGGGAATTTTCACTTTTCCCCCCCGTGGGGGCTCCCCAAGCTAGGGAATTTTCACTTTTCCCCCCCGTGGGGGCTCCCCAAGCTAGGGAATTTTCACTTTTCCCCCCCGTGGGGGCTCCCCAAGCTAGGGAATTTTCACTTTTCCCCCCCGTGGGGGCTCCCCAAGCTAGGGAATTTTCACTTTTCCCCCCCGTGGGGGCTCCCCAAGCTAGGGAATTTTCACTTTTCCCCCCCGTGGGGGCTTCCCAAGCTAGGGAATTTTCACTTTTCCCCGCCGTGACAGCTTCCCAAGCTATGGAATTTTCACTTTTCCCTCCCTTGGAGGCTCTCCAAGCTGCGGAATTTCAAATAGCTAGACAACGACGCCTAGATAGTCCCCCAAATCCCGTGTTCTTTGAATGTGTTTCCATGTTTTTGCAATGGTTTCCTTCAAAGCACGGTACTTTACACTTTTGTCGCCATAAAACCGGTCGAAAACATCATGTTCGACAATGCTTCCAATTCCCTTATCTCCCCAACCGTTGAAAATACCGCTATTTACAGTGTTTTCTTCAATTTTTCCATGTTCCAATGCCGGTAGCCAACTCCAACATATATATAAGAAATCCTTCCAAAACATTGTTTTTGACAGTGTTTTTCCAATGTTTCCAGTCAAACAGACGGTAATTTACACGTTTTTTGCCATAAAGGCAGTAAATCCTTCCAAAACATTGCTTTTGACAGTGTTTTTGTAATGCTTCCAGTCAAGCATACGGTAATTTACACGTTTTTTGCTATAACGTCAGTCCAAAACACTTGTTTTTGCAGTGTTTTCAATGCTCTGGCATCCAAAAACCCTGCAAAATCTTGCTATGTACAATGTTTTTTTTTTTTTTTTCATTTTTGGCCGTTTTTCCATTGCCGGCAAGCTACTAAAATGACCCAAAATTCCATTTCAATACCCTCTTGCGCTCAGACACCCAAAAATCCTCGAAAAATGTCGAAAACACCACCGTATTCTGGTCTCGGTGCGAAACCGTTTTTGGGCCCCCCCCCCAGCTAAAGCTGATATAGCGACTGCTATATTAACAAATGTCATTGAGCATTTAGTGTTGCTGTTTTGCCCCCCAATAAGCACGCCTTCACCGCCAAAGCGGTGTGGGCGGATTTGCCAGAGTGGTTGTTACCATTGTTAAATACAATCTTTCTCCCACCAGACTAAAGACATTGGATGGCGAGAAATCCAGCTACTTTTTTGTTTGAAAATCGGAAGGAAAGATGTTTGGGCTACACATTTGCATTTAAAATGTGCAGTAACCACCGGTAGGATGTATTGTGCGGGAAATTTATTGCCAATTGGTGTACTGTGAAAGATCGAACAAATTTTTACGACGTTACGGTCGTTACGGGAAAAGATCCCCAAACGCCAGGTGCTGCAACTCACTTGGATTCTGGTAATGCAAAGGCGAAACATCGTTTGAAGCAGGCCGTTGAGAAGCAAGGCGTTGCTCACGTCGAAATTGGACAGCACATCTGCCGCTATTTGATTTGCTTACAGGGAAATTCGAATTTGAAAAACAAAACATTGGTAATCTTCTAAACATTGGTAATCTTCTAAACATTGATGAGCACATGTTTGCTCGCGCGTTTAGATGCATCACTAACTCATACCATCACTGTTGCTTTGCACTGAAGCATGACAGCATGACAGAGACCGATTTTACGAATAGGGGGTTTGGTAGGGAGATGTAAAGTGAAACATGCCTCATTTTGTGTCTTACCATTTCGGCCGTTTGAGAGGCACAGTCCAGAACTAAAATCATCAACATATCCGAGCAAAAAATGACAACAAAACCACCCTCTCTCAGATTGGCGCTTTCTGATGCATTGCTTCCGTTTTTCTGGCAACGGATGACAACAAAACCACCCTCTCTCAGATTGGCGCTTTCTGATGCATTGCTTCCGTTTTTCTGGCAACGGACCAGGCCTCAACTCCACACAGTGGGCGCGGCAAGAAGGAGTGGTGGCATGGTCTCAACTGCAGGAGGACAATTGTTTGCAATCCTTTGCACTTGTTTCTGTGGGTCCAATTTAGTCATGTCCTTAGAGCTTAGAGGGCATGATGGCCTTCCAGGGCATGTATTGAAATTGGAACACGTGTTTCAAGATGGATTTTGAGTTCAGATGTCATTCTTCAGCCTGAAATCAACCAAATTCCTCCTCGACAAGACTTTTGACTGTGGGCACAAGCAGAGGATAGTGGGATCGAATGGCTGAAACAAAAGGAGCTTCTTGGAGAGAAAAGTGCTTGGATGTGGTGGTTGAAGAGGGGAAACCTGAGCATCAAAGGCGGCAATCCACCATCTTTGGGATCGAATGACTTGATTCAACCTGAGTCCCCAATAGATCCAGATTTGCGTAATGCAATGCCCAAACTCCATCCACTGCTTATAAGTCCAATGATGTCCAATGCGGTTACCTTGGCCTAGGGATGCATTGCTTTCTCCATTAGCATAGTCAAGCGGCCTTGCATTGGCCTTTGAGTGTCTCTAATTTTAGTGTCCATCGCCCGATGGGGGCGATCGCCGATTGAGGCAAGGGAAAGAGGCCTTCGAGCGTGGTGACTATTTACTAGCAGATCAGGATTATTCATTTGCTCTGCGGAACCATCCTGAGACAAAGGAGGCAAGATAAGAGATCGGTGCCATACGGAGATATACAATTTTTGGACCCCTGGGGTGACTCAAGTTCACCACTCCACGCAATGGGTTTTCCAGAAGTTCTGATTCATGTTCCACTCAGAAAGTTGGAGGTCCAAAACACATCAATTATCCATCCTTCATGAGGAAATCATTTGATTGATTTGATTTCAGCATCACCACCGAGAGGAAGCGACTACAGTGACACCTTCAGCGGGTCCAAGAGTTGGTGTGTGTAGGCTTGCCATACAATGTTTATAGACACAACATATTAAAGAATTAAAGAACAATTTATTTAAGATTTAGTCCAAATATATCTCGATGGTGTTCACAGTGGATTGTCAAGGTTTATTGGGCCAACACCAAAAAAGTGATGATCCTGGTGGTCGGAATTGTGGGTCAGCGTAGAACCCAAGGCATTCCCTACCATCACAATATATCACAATAGTGATTTATCAACTTACACACCTACACTAAGGAACCTGGTGGAAGATATGATCTAGATGTGTCTAAATGGCATTCCCTCCTTGATAAAGGTATCACCGCAGCGCCAGGTGGCAGTGCTGCTGAATAACTCAGCGGCCACCTGTCTGGAATTGCAGCAATTCGAGGAGGCGCTGTTGCACAGCTCCACTGTGGTGTTGCTGCAAGTGGCTGATGAAGGACTTCTTTCCAAGGCACCGCTGTGGGTATCATGGTGGCTTTCTCCAACCCCTATTCAACCATCGGATGGAATGGGGTAGCCTATTTTTAGACAAACCCAATGCTGCAATGCTAGACTCTTCAGGCCCCGTGCTATCAGGCATGGATACGTCGAGGTCGCGGACTGGAGGGATTAGAGGATGAGCAGTGCACCAAGGTGAACTGGGAGGGCAGCGGGTAAGTTACAGGACTTGGAGTCAGATTATCATCAGATCAGGTCCAGCTTTAAAGACCATGTCAGATTTTGCAAGCTTTGCCAAACACCTCTTGTTCCCAGCTTCTGAACAGGCACTGGACTTGGTGCCATTGCCTTTGGTGAGAACGGAAGCAGATCTGTTGCGAAAGCGTTGGTCATCCAAGAAGAAGGTGAAACCTGTGAGTTCCGTCTCCACTGAAGAGCAGCTGCATCGACGTGACGGTGGGCGACGGCGGCCAATCACTCATCATTTGATGGTGTAAGCAAACCTTGCTGGAGCAAACCGCTTGATGATTAGGTGTTTCCAACTGTTGCATGCGAATTCCAGAGTAGGTTCAAAGAACCTTCACCCCTTTTGGTACATTATCTGATGGAACTTCCTTCAACTGGTCACCACTTCGGAGCATCCTCCCATGGCACGATTACCTTTGCCGTTGCAGGTTTCATCAATGAGCTCAAGTCGAAAGAGAACAATGCCAGTCCAGATGAGGCCACTCACCTTGTGGAAATCAGCAAGTTTGACCACTTGCAGCCAATTGCTGGTTGAATGTCATGGTTCAGGTGTTTAGATTTTTGTCCAGAAGCTTGTGTCCCTCCTGATGTATATATACGTATAATGGGTTGGGGCTAATCCCACTTTTTGGATCTTTTTGGTTTGGATGTCATCTCAGACTGCTGGGATCCAATCCGTTTTCCCTGGAGCCAAGGAGAATTTCATCATGGAACATAACCTGAGTCTCGAAATGGGGGCACCTGAGATATTTGATGGAATTTTTGATAAAACATGGGATGGAGGTGGGGTTCCGAATTTTGAGACAACCTATATTAGCATGTCTTGATTTTTTGTTTAGTGTTGCCGTAAGTTTCAGAAGATCTGCTCAAAATAGCTTCCCCCCCCGCCCAAGTTGTGTGGTACATGGATCAGCTTCACATCATAGCCACTTTGGCAGGTGGGCTTCATTGGCGCCATGTTCAAGATGGCCCCACCAGAGTCTTGGGTGTCGGTGTTGGAGATGTTATTTTTACTAATTTTGTCACCGTCAGCAGGACCACTTACCCTCATGCATGCCTAGTGCTACCCTCTGCCAGAGTTGATGCGGCAGTCCCTTTAAGCCAATCCATCCTGTATGGGGCACGCAAGCACCGTCCACATGAACCTTCCACAGTTGATTGTAGCAAGATGTGGGTGACTTGACCCACAATCCCACTTTTATTTGAGATTTTCAGAATGATATGTCCTCTTTGACATTGTTGTGTCCTCCCCTAATACTATTTACTGCACATGAGTCAGGTATGTCAGGATCCTCATTGTGAGTTTGCTTTTTCGTGCCACTCTGACCGGATTTGTGGATTTGATCCGTGTCCCTAGGATGTAAAGAAGAACATGCTGAAGGAATTTGGACGGCTCATAGCAAGAGAAGTGCCAGAATTCCACCAGGACAACTGGTGGTTATTGACTCAACAGCGTCGCAAGCGCAGCAGTTGTTGCTTCAATGAGTTGTGCTCCAAAACTGTATGTAATTCAGTATTCACATGTATTCACTAGGTTCCAGATTTTAGGGTCCCAATTTTTTTTTTACCATTTCTGCCTGATTTGGGCTGGGGAAGTACCTAATTCTTGGCCCGGCTCTCAGGAGTATCCCAAACAGTATGGCCTACCAGGCAAGGATCCGGAGTACGTGGAGCGCTTTTGTCGCTTGTTGCTGGACCAAAAGTCCCAGTGGTCCCAGCACCATTTGCGACGCGGAACTTTGGCACTGGAAACCAAATGGCACAGACGGTGAATGGCGGATGTCTGTTACAAGTTGTAAGTTATGTTCTATGTTCCACTCCAATTCCCATAATTTGTCAAACAGGAAAGTCAAAACTCTCCCAAGTGTGAGATTTTTGCATGCTAATTCTTTGTTTAGTCTCTACCCTATTCAGACTTTGCTAAACATACACTTTACAGACTTGACAGAGGGGAATTCTTTGGGAGAGATTTTGGTGCTGGTCAATCGGCAATATACTTCTTGGAGACAGCAAAGGGTGGTCCAAAATTTTCATGGGCTACAAGCTGTGGAACCATTCACCTTCTTGCAGTTGGGGAAAAGCAGGGGTGGCCCAGTCAGGACGTTATGAAACGATATCATGGCACTGCGGCCTTGGAATGGGTGGCAAAGCATCAACCGTTGGTCCCTGGTACCATAATCCGCTGGCGAGAAAACATTGACAATCGCCCCTGAGCTTAAAAGCAGTCGGACCGGCTCTCGTTGCTGTTCTTGGTTGAAATCAATTGCAGGGCACCAGATTCATTGGGGCTACAGCAGCTGCGCCAAAATTTGCAGTGCTTATTTGATCATGGGAAAGATATACCATGCGTAGTTGGGTGAATACCCAAGTTTCTTTGGCAAGATGGAAAGTATGGAGGGTTGGGATTATGCAAGGGCCTGTAAGATGGTCCTTGCTTCCGTAGGGCTTTCGCCTAGGATGCGTGCCGGGCCCATTCATGTCGGAGTGCTGAGTCTAAATCCTTGGTGCCGGGCATTTCAGCCTCAAAAGGTGTTTTTCCCAAAAGCACAAGCAAAACCAGCTGCAAGTAAAGCCATTGCAGGTGGTAGACTTGAACATCTTCAACTATGTGTCTTTTGATTTTGTTTAGGAATGGTTTTCCTGCAAAGCCCCGTATCAAAAGACACTGAAATGTCTGATTGAGGACAAAAGCTTTCAGTGTTGGAGACGACGAACGTGTTGTGCTCCCCTGATGTCCGGCCGGAGGGACAGGGGCATTGACAAACATGTGCCAAAAAGAGTGCAACCAAATACAAACTAGAGCCTGGGCAAGCCAAATCACGGAAGTTTCCAAGGAAATCTGAAACGAACCGGAGCACCTATAGGAACGCAGCGCGAGGTGGTTTCTGTGTCAGTTTCGTGACATCTTTTTCTCCCGAGGCCCCTTTCTCTCCTGACATATCTTTCTCTTGACAGCTCTGAACTCAATGAAGAAGTTGTTTTGGCAACCCCCATGCCATAGAGGATTCAGTGGTTGCTAGATTCATACTTTTGTCGGATTGAAGGACTGGACTTCTCCACCTGGGGAACCATCTGCCCTCCAGGTGGAACATTTTTAGGCCCACCTCATCCCACCAAGAAATTTGCCTTTTGGCTCTGGGTGGAGGAAGAACTGCTTCATCATCTCTGCTCTTGAAGTTGGACTGTCTGGGAAAGTCTCAACTGGCTGTCATTTTTACAGTCAGCCATGCTTCAACGCTTCAACGCTTCAATCTTAGTCTCAATCGGTTGGTTGTCCTTTCTTGTGGCCAGTGTTCATCCAAGGCTATTCAGAATACATCCGCACCAGTTTCTGCAATCACGCCACTCGGAAAGACATCCTACATCGAGGCCAGCCAAGGGGATGTCAAAGGAAATATAAGGGACTCGAAGGAGTTGTGTGATCAGCTCAAGACAATGATAGACCAGTCGGGCATGATCATAGCCATTGGCGACCTGGCCTTGAGCAGCCACGTTTCAATTACATCATGGGGGTGATGCTTCTCTGATTGCTTTCGAGGAGAATTCGATTTCGGGCAGATGGACTACATGTTTCGCAAGTTGGTTGGTGTAGATGCTGTAGCTGGGGTTGGCCCTAACATTTCTGGGTAGGCACTACACATGTCGCTGTGGGTTTCAATGACCTGGGCATCTTATTGAGCTGTGACCTACGCGAAGCACCTGGTGGAAAGAAGGGCCATGACCCTTTGCGTTTCATTGGCATTGATGCTAGTCCCTTTTCTGTGGCGAAGAGTTTGGTACTAGCCGAAATGCTGGGGATGCTCAGCGAAACAATGGGCCAGAGGGTTAGAGAGTTGGATGTTTTGCAGGCATCTCAACTGGTACTCTTGTCAACGTTTTGGTGTTGCTGTAGTTGCGCGGTTCTGGATATTGTATCGGGGTCCACATTTATTGCTTAGCCTGATCCATGAGCCGATCGGCAAAGCTCCAAGAGCTTCACCTTCATGCCGCCCAGGACGGAAAGTGTACCTCTGGAGCATTGCGTACAGGTGACTGGGTTCTGGTGGTGGACCCAACATTTGAAAAATCAGCATGAACCTGTTCAGCTGAACCGGAGAATTTTCATAGATTTTCCCTTTACATGGTTGACGGCAGGAATGATTTCTGAGTTGAGATTGATGAGTGTTGGTGAAAGCAATCTTTGGGAATAGATTGGGATTTCATGTCAAGCGAAATAGTTAAATACTCATCCTCCGGGGACCCCCGTCAAGAATCCTGCATGTTGACGGCAGGTGTGGTATTCAGCAACTTGCAGCAAAGCCGCAAGCAAAAACTTTGCCCGTGCAGCCTCCCAAACTTTGATCAAAGTGAAGCATGAGCAAGTGAGGCACACCAGATGGTCACTGTGTTGATCCGATCATTTTATCTGTATAGATGGTTTTATGTTGCAGAAAGTTTCAATGCGATGGGCCGGGGTGGGCTGTACTTGAGGTTGCAGGGTTTGGAAAGTTCAACAGGGTCAGCCAGTTGCGTGCTTCCATGCTTTCTTGTTAGAGGACTACAAGGTGCTAGAGTTTCAATTCTTTCGGCCTTGCAGATTGCCACGGTTTCAAGGTTCTAAATTTCAATAGTTCCAGTTCCAGGCTTCCGGAGTTCAGGGATCAAGAGTTCCGAGGTGACAATCTTCCGAACCCCCAAAGCTCAGCTTGGTTCCCGAACTCCGAAGAACATTGGCGGTGCTGAAACCAGAGCAAATCTGAAGCTCTGCCCCCGAGGAAAACGTGACAAGTCATCCATGGTCCCAAAATGTCACGCAATGGACTGTCCTGGTGCAGGTCCTACATCTTCCACTGGTCTGCTGAGTCGGCTTCATCCGCAGTGCCCTTGACGAAAGCGCGGAAGATGTGGCTGGACACACGAGAAGGACGCAGCTTGCTTGCACAAATTTCGTGGAGACCTCCGATTTCCTCAATCGGATTGCTTGAAAAACTTGGATATCTTGGATTGAAGGGGTCATTTCGATTGGTTCTTCGAGCAGACACACACACACACACTCTGGGCGCCGGAATTGGACCAACTTTGTGTGGACATGTTTTCATCAACTTTTCCAAGGGTATGAGTTTTATTCCAGGGACAAGTCTGTGGAATCTGGCTACTGGCCCTGAGTTTCCAGCGGACATCCTTGCGGAATAGGCTTGAAAAAATCCATTCAAATACAGATACAATATATGGATGTGTAAGATCATCTGAAAATTTGAACCCAATGTGGGCATGGCATTATGTGTCAACAAAGGCACGAAGGGGACCTGACACATTTGTTCCTCACAATTGAATACGTTTGTTCCTCAAGAAACTCCAGCTCAAGAACAAGAGATTCCACTGGTGAAACAAACCTATCCTCAAACCTGAGACAACCATGATCACGTTTCAGACTCAAGGCACCTTGTCAAGAGTAAAACTCCGCATGGGAATCTTGGGGGAACCCGACCGAAGGCAATGGCACCGACATTATGGCTGTGAAGAGGCCATCCCAGACCCTGGTGGTCACTCATAGATGGACCCAAATGATCATGGCGGTTTCCATCTGCGACTTAAAATCCTTGTCATGGCAGAGTTTTTTGGACATCCAGAGGGTCTTGATTTGGTCTTGTGACTTTCCATGGTTTGTCGAGATTCCAAGAAACGACAGCAGGGCGGGATACTTATCCCATTCTCAAAGCAGAGCATGCAGTACGCCTACAAATCAGAAAGCTGAAACAAATTATAGACTCCTGCGCCATCTCACCCGAATAGTCGCGTGGTGCGAGGCATGAGGACCAGCTAAAGATGTGCCACTACCTTATTACAGGGGACATCTTGGACGAAGAGAAGCCAGAAGCCCTTGGGCTGACCTTTGCAGTTCAAGTTTTTGCTCCTCATTCCAAATCCTGCACCCTTTCGTGACATTCACACGGATAAATGATGATAAATGCAAATGGGGTCAAGGGACCTTTGTCCCTGAGTGATTCCCAACTTAGTCAGGTGGGCAACCCTGCCATGTGGTCCATGCCGCCATCCTCACCACCCATCTCCATTGGTGAAAGCGCTTTCAATGCAGTGGAGATTGACGACTTGGCGGTTGCTGAGGCCAGGAGACATGACAGATGCAGATGGTCGATCATTCGATGGACCCTGTTGTATAATTGATATGTGCATGGGCACGAAGTGAATTGTAAACCATTCACAAGTTGATGCTCCTGCCTTTGTGCAACGTGGGCCGTACCGCCTCGAGGGGAAGGACATCTTGCATCGCTTGGTCCAAGAGTTGCTCCGACGCTTGAGGAGGCTCAGGCAATGGCTATTGACAGGTGACTCGGCAGCTGAGGGAGCAAGAGTATCGCATTTGAAGGCATTGGTCACCAACTCGACAGAGTTTTTTTGGGATGCAGAATGAACCCACTGTAACAGCAATTACTGCAAGAGCAATTTATGCAGGTGATGATTCTTTGGTGCTTTCTGTGTTTACTTGAGCATCCACGGAGACCCGTGGGCCTTGATTTGTAGATTTCTGTATCACCAATCTACAGACCTGCTTCACAGGGCATACATATGTATTATATATGTATTATATATATATATGTATATATCCTTATATGCACACTATGCACACTGAAACACATCCCCCCATATCTGTATTATCATGCGTAACGTATATAAGAGAATGGCACAGAGCGAGAGAGAGAGAGAGAGAGTGAGATGGAGATCTTGCAAATAGAAAGAAAGAGGAGAACAGAGATGTAAAAAGATCGGGCAAGGTGAGATGGATCAGATCGAACAAGTTTAAAGATAGATCAGATAAACAAGATAGAGTTATAATATGTATATATATATATATGTATTTAATAGTACTATATATTACTGATGTAGATACATATTGATCTTGTGGTTCGACACGTAAATAAAAAAGGAATGTCCAACATAAGTTGAGAACAGTGCAGATGCGATTGAACCGCTATACTTCACTGTATATATATACATATATCTATATGGATGCAAGGATCAGTTTTACCTCTGTTCCTTGTTTGCAGATTTCAAGTCCTATCATGTGTTTTTCCTTGAACATACATTCAGTACCAAACATCCCGTGGTTTAACATCATTGTACCCCATAACAACTGCTGTTTTACTGGTATCCCCATTTTCAGACATACCCCAATATCACATCAAGTCAGTTGGTTATATCCCATTTATCCCGGTTATATCAATTTTTCCACCGCTTTATCCGAGTATAACCACTATTGTTGCTCATGTTCCGATTAAATCCATAGCCGGCCATAGCCCTCAGGTGTTGTGGAAGTGGACCTTCGCTGCGATGTCGTTGACTTGGAGGTCTGGATGTGGCCAATTTCCCTAAACCAGCAACAAAAATGGTCCCGTTCATCAAGAAAATGGGGATTCCAACGGGATTTCACCAACAGAAATCGGGATAATATGTGGATTCAACATGGAAAAAACGGAATCCACCAAACAAACTTGGGATCTGGCCTTGGTAACACCATGCATTGAATGCTGCAGTCCTGTGGTGAAACATGGTGCATCACAGCTCCACTCAAAAAAGGGCCTAAAATTGCTAGGACAAACTGATTCATGCCCCAAGTCTCAGGTAGTGTGTCTCCCTGGAACTGCCCGTTGTATCACCTGTCTGATGGCAAATGCAATTGGTTTCACCTAGTCCTCAGCTGCAAAGTACGTTCAAGAATAAAGATGTTCCACCAATCAGCGGTTGGGCACTTTGACCCAAACATTGCTCCCTATCCTGGTCCAAGCCGACAAAACAAAATCTATATGGGTCCGATCTAGTTGCACCCCCCTCTTTGATGGGGTTTTCAAAACGGTTGATTGGTTCCACATATCTTGTAGATCCTCGAGTAATGTTTGATGTGCACAGTATGTATGTTGCAGATGCTATGCAGCGCTTGGTATTCTGCATTTCAACATTCATATAGAAGGCACAATTTGCAGCTGACTTTGTTGAAATGTATGCCCACATTGATGTACGCAAATATTTCCATGTATATATCTATATATTGTATGTATATATATATTTCGATGTTGTCTCGACAGGCTGCGATTGTGCCATGGATCGCGCAGCAACATCCCTGGACCATGTCGTGGTCCAATGTTCCTTGGATGGGGCATGGGAGTGGGGCTGAAATGTATGGAAAAATGCAGGAAGCTGGTGTATGGATATGTTTTGGCATTTCAAATGGACCTGCAGTGCAATTCTAAACGTGTATATATATATATAATATTCATATATATTTACGTACATCCATGTACATGCACACATAGATGTCGGTCCTGCTGGCACAAATAAAGCTGGAAGACACTGGTGTGAATTGAAATGCTTTTTTTTTGAACCAGTGAGATGATTCTTTCAAGACTTGGTGGCTGAATGCAACAGTTGACAAATAGGTGTATATATATAATCTACATATATATATATATATATATGTGCTTATGTATCTGTAAATGAATGTTTATAGACGTACACACATGTATGTAAACATGCGCCGATACAAGAATCAGCTCTAAGTTTTTAGTGAGAATGAATCACGCAAGTTTTTTTGGCATCCTGAGCAGTGTATGACCTGTGAAACCGGGTGGCAGTCCAAAAGTACGCTGTGAATATGTATATATGCACACACACACATTGACATTATTGCATGTCTGTCTGAATGAAGAACTTCTCAGCTGCCAACTTCAATCCTGTTGTTTGCGGCACATTAATTTTCGATACTATGAACACATACAAACATTGATACCGCTATGCCCCGCTGGAGTTTTCCCATGTTTTGAAGAAACACCTTGCCGAACTGCCGAATTGCCTTTGCAGGTCTTGGATTACATACCACCTGGAAAGTTTCATCAACTTGCACGGATGTGCTCTATACAAGGCGACACAGTGCACTATGGCTATTCAATGAATTGGGTAGCTCCTTGGCTGGAGCAAAATGAGGGAATTCTCTGGGAAGGACCATGTTGGACCTGGAAACATTTTGGGTATTGCCATTGCAGCTCATATGATTTGGTTGACTGCACTGGTATGACAGCATCTTGGTCGTGATTGCTTGTTTTATTTCACATCATATCTTATATGGGTTTCTGATCCATGTTGGAATGTGATTTACTGTTCAACACCCACACAGGTATCGCGCTGTTTCTTTTTAATGCATAATATTCGGGAGCAGTAGGGCAAATGAGATAGAACTAGGCATTGATCCGAAACCATTGTAGCACTTTTTCATTGTCGGCAAACATTTGTTAAGCTCCATGGTCCCCATGGTCAACATTCCAAGTGTCGGAGACTCCTTGTTTTGACAGGGTCTTTAGATTCAGGGGGGTCCAAGACAGGAACGGATATACTGGTCACTGACAGTTACTGCCAGTTCTACCAGGCCAAACTTGTGGGACAAGGTGTTGGGTACTTGGGATAATTGGAACAACCCACTTATGAGTGGGGGCCGGAAATTTCATTGGACCCAGCCCACAAGCGGATTTGGGCAATGCGCAAATGCTGAGGTTGAGGTCTTTGGAACCTGCATCATGGATTTTGATGGGAACTCCGAGGCAGTTTCGCAGGTTATCAAGGCATCCCATGAGATGTGCGAGACCACAGAAAGGACCCACAGCATACGTGCAACGTTCAGATAGATATATTGGTGTGGGAGTGGGATGGAAGTGATGGAAAGCTGATGTAGTTCAATTTGGTAACATCCCATCATTAACTTGGAGAACAGCTGATTTGCAACCGAACCACACGGGAAACATCATGTTAGATATACTTGCACATGATTGATGCAGAATTTCAATCAGAAAATCGGGGGTTGGAGTTGGGGCTTCACCAGAAGTTGCTGGGGCAGCAGAGATGAGCTTTTGAACTCCAGCAATTGCACACAGATCCGGCTCATGAAGGATCGCTCCTGCAGGGAAGCTGTTGTTGCTTCCGCCTCATGACACTCCCATCAACGTGACCGGCCATTTGCTGGCAATGCTCCTGCACAAGAAGTGGACCACGTACTTCTTCTCACAGGATTTGGCATGACATTTGGGCAGTGGCTACGTTCAACCCCTGTTGGTTGATTATTAGTTGGCTTCTTTCCGGGATGATCATAATCCATGACGGGAATCTCTAGTAGCCAAGATGGAAGGGGTCCTTCATTCTTCAAAATTGATTTCCAGTCAGGATTCATCCAGTGAACTCTAACCCAACGTACCATGTTGACACCTCCAGGACATTCTCACCGCTAGCTATGGTCACGAACCATGACCCAAACATGGCAACAGCATGTACAACACCTACTCTACCAGGTGTGGGAAGTGCCAGAAAGGGAAAAGGGCCATGGTGAAGCAAAAAGGGACAGACTGCCTCCAGGACATTGCCGGAGATGTGCAAGTTGGCGTGGCATCCATGCAGACTTACAATCCACTGGCAACGAATGCTTCTTGGCCAACCCCCACATGAGGGAACGCTGGTGCGGAGGACATGTCTCAAGTGTGAACCGGCCGTGGTGACAATATTTTTACTGATCTATGTTTCCAAAAGTCCAAAAGTCACGAAAGTTAGCATCAGATACCTGAGATAATATGCGTTAGCACTGGGGCAGTCCGTTTCCACTCGTAGTCATTTTTTGGATTAAGAAGGACATCTTCACTACCAGCCCCCCTTTTCGATTCAGACTCCCCAAACACTCGTGTAGAGAGTGCCGAGAGTGCCTGAGGCAGGTTTGTTTCATGGCAGTGGCTCACAGTCACAAGTTTTTTGCTCATTTTGGATTGGTTTCTCCACATAGAGTGCCCCAATGTCCCATTGTTCATTGTGTTTTCCCCCTTTTCAATATACCCCATCTCAACATGTTTCCTGGAACAGTACTCGTGACATCCCCTCTACCTTCTTCCATCCCCTCTCAAGTTGCATCTTGAAGCAATTTTGACCTTGGCAGCCCCTGACATATATTCCGAGGCCAATTGCTTGTCGATGACATGGACATATGATCCTGAAAATCAGCTCCAGGATCAAAATGGCAGAGACTTTCTGGCATTCAGTGGGATTGGATAGCTGCTGCCACTGGGCATGTGTCAAGCATTTCATATAAGTTTGGCATAGTTTAACCACCTTATTCAGCCTGTTGTAGCGTAGTTCGGGTGACTCTGAAATGATCCGTCAATCCGAAAGCACTTCCAATGACCGTAGTAGCTTGATGAGATATAACATTATCCAGCAAGAATTTGTGACATGTCATATGCCACCAACAAACATGATATATTGTGCCCTGGGAAGTGCAATCCACAGGCTGATAAGTCTGAATCTTTGAATGGACGTCCGTTTTTTTTCCAATAGCAACGGGGTTGGTTTGAGAGTTTGAAGGTTAAACCTGTTTCCATTCCAGATTCTGTGGTCTCCTGAGCGCATCATTGAGACCAGGAAAACGAGAAGATCCTTTGGAGTCGGCGCCGAATTGTCCCACATCTTGAAGAAAAGGAAGCTGATGAGACCAAGGTTGCTGGGAAGCGTTGAGATGGGGATCGTGTTTCTGAAGCACTGTTGCTTTGGACTTTGGATTTATCTTAATATGTATTAGTATATATGTATATAGCATATATATATATATTAATTATATACACACTGTGCACATATCTGTATGTTCTTTCTTTCCTTTCTCAACTATCTGGCTAGCAGCCCCAGAGATCACACTAGACACCAGTGCTCCAGAAGGTTTCAAGACACACCTTCGAAGTAGAGACTCCAGGAAAGTCACCAAAACAGTTCCAACAGATTTCGAGAGACAAGTTGAAACTATACAAAAGGTCAGATTCTTTGACATGTGCTGTTGATTACTAGTTATACTTGTAGAAGAAATGGTGTGTGTAGACGTTTTAGTAAGCGATTGTCACAAACATATTTGGCGGTGACAGAGGAAGTATCATAACGCGCGTGGGAGCACAGGAAAGACCTAAGCTGGCCCAAGCTGGGAGCACAGTATCATAAGATGCCAAATATAAGATCACCCAAGCTGGCCCACAGTTTCCCAGGAGAGACCCAAGCAATGATCCCACCGCCCTGTTGTTCGGTGCAGGCGGTGCTGAAAATGGCATGGCAGGACCATGGCACTCTCGGCTGCCGACTGCACATTCCAATTTTTTCAATGACGAGCAGTGTGTACAGCTGGAAACATGGTCAACTGACACATATTGCTTGAGTTACTTGAGTGCCTGTTTGGAGTCCTGAAGCAGATTTGCCCTTTTAGTTCATGTTTGGTCAAGACAGGTATCAAGTATCATAAATGTTTTTGGTGCTTCGCGAAGTGACAGTAGACCCATTCCGAGATCAGTAGAAACTGCCATGTTGTATTGGTGTGTCCCAAAACCGGGGGTCCCAAACCCAACGTGGGCATCCAATTTTGGGACAGACCCATTGAATACTGCTCTACATTTCGATTTGAAAGTCTGCAAAGGGCTTGTATTCCCAGCAAGCTTCATAAGTCGTGGGCGTGCGATTTTGATCCGCACCTCGTTCACTCAAAAAGTTGGTGCGCCTTATGATGTAAGGAATCATGTAGGCTATGTATCCTGGCTGTGTCACTTTCAGTGGATACTCGAGTGAAAACCACCGATGGTTTTTACTGCTATCCTTTGTGGGTGCAATACCTGTCGCACTCATTTTATCTTCCGGAAATTGCCTTTTCAACCGTAAATCAGGCGTGAATGCCATCGCAAAAAAAAGGATCTTTGGATCTTGAAGTTTTTTGCTGGCTCAAACAGTTGGGAAATCAAGGACCCAGTGGTAGACCAGTGATCTGAAAGATGGTCGCATTCAAGTGGGGTGCCAAAGCCGATGGAGAGGCTGCTGGCCCAGTGATTGACTTGAAGGCATGGTTCCAGGGGTTCATTGCAACCTTGGAAATGTGTGGAATATATTGAAGAATCTCATGGGAATTGAAAGCAGCAAAGTGTTCTTAGCAAACTCCTCTGCAATTCCATGTCAATCGTCAATCATCCAAAAATGAACATGTATGAATTATGAATTGTATGAACGTGTTTCGAAGGGGGTTTGGTTTACGTCTCAACCTCAACTCCAGGCAGCAGCTGCAGAGTTCATCGCCATGACTCTCTTTGTGATCATTGGTTGTGGTGCTGCTTGCGCCAACGGAGCTTCCGACTCCTCCAATCGCCTGCAAGTGGCGTTGGCCTTTGGCATGGGCATCCTGGTGTTGGCCTATGCAGTAGGTCATCACTCAGGTGGTCAAATCAATTGTGCCGTGACATTGTCTTTGGTATTGGGTGGGAAACTGGCTTGGTATCAAGGTTTGACCAACTTGTTTGCACAACTGCTTGGCAGTATGGCCGGAGCTGGCCTGCTTTGTGTCATGTTTCCCTGTGCCAAAGACATGAGTGGAATGACTTTGGGAACCAACATCATCGCAGATGGCTTCGATGTCGGAAATATCTTGATGGCCGAGATCCTGGGCACCTTCATACTTTGCTTTGTGGTTTGGGAGACGGCTGTGTCGGCTGCCTCTTCCAGTGGAAAGAACGCCTGCATTGCCATCGGTTTCGCCGTGTTCTTGGCCCACGTGATTCTGCTGCCCATGGACGGCTGTTCCATCAACCCAACGCGATCATTTGGACCGGCCATGGTGAGCGCAATCCGTGACTGCCCGGGCATGTCCACAGGTGGCCTCGAGGACACATGGGAAATCAACCAAAAGCGGCTGGGGGATCTTTCTGAAATGATAGTATATTACGTGAAACGTGTATATATAATATGTGTGTGATATACAAACATAATATATATATATAATATGATATATATATATATGTAGATAATATGATATATATATAATATGATATATATATAATATGATATATATATAATATGATATATGTATATATATATGTACTATAATATAATATAATATAATATAATATGATATGATATAATATGATAAATTTGATATAATATGATATAATATGATATAATATGATATAATATGATATAATATAATATGATATAATATGATATAATATAATATAATATAATATGTTAATATAATATAATATAACTTAATATAATATATATATAGTATATATTTATTTATTATATAATATATAATAATAATATATAATTGTATATATATATATATGCGCAACGCCTGGGTTTTGCCCCAGCGTTGCAGCGTAGAGGGTTTCCATTCCCAATCAACTGTTGTTGCAACTTTACATTCAATTGGGAAGATCAACAAAGGTATTAGGGAATATTAGAATCCGACCCCCGTTAAACTCTACATTTCATTGGGACGATGAACAAAGGTATTAGGGAACATCAAAATCCCACCCCCGTTAAACTGTACATTCGATTGGAAGATCAACAAAGGTTTTAGGGAATATTAAAATTCCACCTCCGTTAAACTCTACATTTATTTGGGAAGATCAACAAAGGTATTAGGGAATATTCAAATCCCACCCCCGCTAAACTTTATCTTCAGTTGGGAAGATCAACAAAGGCATTAGGGAATATTCAAACCCCACCCCCGTTAAACTTTACATTCAATTGGGAAATCAACAAAGGTATTAGGGAATATTAAAATCCCACCCCCGCTAAACTTCACATTCAATTGGGAAGATCAACAAAGGTATTAGGGAATATCAAAATCCCACCCCCGTTAAACTGTACATTCAATTGGGAAGATGAGCAAAGATATTAGGGAACATTAAAATCCACCCGCCGTTAAACTCTACATTAATTTGAAACGATCAACAAAGGTATTAGGAATATTCAAATCCCACCCCCGTTGAACTTTACATTCAATTGGAAAGATCAACAAAGGTATTAGGGAGTATTAAAATCCAACCCCCTTTAAATTTTACATTCAATTGGGAAGATCAGCAAAGGTATTAGGGAATATAAAAATCCCACCCCCGCTAAATTTTACATTCAATTGGGAAGATCAACAAAGGTATTGGGGAATATTCAAATCCCACCCCCGTTAACTTTACATTCAATTGGGAAGATCAACAAATGTATTGGGGAATTAAAATCCCACCCCCTTACATTCAATTCGGAAGATGAACAAAGGTATTAGGGAAGACTAAAATCTATATTCAAGTGATGATGATGATGATGATGATGATGATGATGATGCGTCGCCCGCTGTCGTTGCGGTTCGGGGCAAAGCCCAGGCATTTGCGGTATTTATAATATTTATATGTATACAGTATATACATATGTAAAGAAAGAAAGACAGATAGATAGATAGGTAAGTAGGTAGACGGACGGACGGACGGATGGATAGATAGATAGATGCATAGGCAGACAGGCAGACAGATAGACAGACAGGCAGGCAGGCAGAAACAGGGATATAGAGGTGTAGCGATATATTGGTAGAGTGATATAGTGATATAGAGAGATAGAACGAAACATATATAGAGATATACAGACGTAAAAATAGATATGTGAACATGTCTTTTTCTTATTTAACTGTATTGGTATATCACGATTCATTCAAACTGTCGAATTCCGCTCGTTAGGACCTATGGGTGATGTGGGTGGGCCCACTCTTGGGAGCTATTCTTGCTGCTGGTGTTCAGTTCCTTCTGAAACCAGAAGCAAAGCAACTAGAAATGGAGGACAAAGTGTGAAGGAACGGGTCCGCAAGACCTTGAAAGATTCCCGTTTCATGTTTCAAAACTTGTCCACTTGCAAACTAGCAAGGCACCGGTGCTGTTTGAGAGAGATAATTTTGCCGTTTTTCTTCAGGGTTTGTAGTATAACATAGCCCTCTCAAAGACTCTCAGGGTCTACATTTTGTCGAGACTTCATGCTCTTCCCTGTGTTTGCCGAGAGCAGCGTGGAGTATCGTGGAGTCATTTTTGTTGCCGTTTTTGTTTTGCATCCTAGCGATGATAAAGATGCCTGCACGGACATCCGGTCTTCAATTCACCGTAGTTGTCCAAGACAACGAGTGGTGCAGTGAGGAAAGCTTCACTCGCCTCACCTCCCCAGTGGAGGAAACTTTTCGCTGGTGACATAACGCTGGTGGAAGAAAAGTGAGATACAAATCTCTCCAGCGAACCTTAGCGAAACAATGTAACCTGACAGTAATCTGAGACATTTGTTTCTTTCCAGTCCAATCACTTTGAGTGTGGCTGTCTTTGGGAAAGTTCAAATTTCTGTCCGCGCTGCTTCTCAGCATGATTGCCATAACCAATATCAAATAATAATGAGCATTCGCCTGAACAACAAACAAAGCGGGAGATTGAGTGTTACAACGTTTGCTGGCACAAGGCACCACCAAAATGGATTTGAGCAGTTACAACCAATTAATCCCACAACTTGAATTCCAGTATCATATTTGGGCCGCAATTGCAACTTGCAACCCCAAGTCCGCTTGTTCTGTGATTTCCTCTTGTGGGGCTACCATGGAATCGACTGAGCGATTGCCTGACAGCACCTGAACTGCAGGAGATTGGGCTGGCGTACTGTTACTTGTATCTAGTGAGAAGACGTAGCTTGAAATTCATTCTCAACATGTCCTTCTCTGTTTTTTTTTTCTGCGTTGAAAACCAAAGACTTGTTGCGCCATCAGCAACTTTAATAAATAGTACTCAACTCCCAGAACGCCGTTATAGCTGCTATAGTTTGCAAGCAAATCTCATTTTCTCCACCATCTTAAAAATGCCAGGAGTCAAAGATGGTTATATATTGTATACCCGAATTACAGAAGTGCAATTGCAGAGGGATCTTCTGGAAAACAGTGGTTGTCAGGCATTATACCTTGAACAACATACATCTCTGAGATCCATTGAAACAACTTTGGAGGAATTTGTGAAAAGATCATCGCATGTCGATTCCTTTTCTCCGGGCATATATTCGCTATGAACCAAGACTTGCCATTTCCAGCACCTTCGGGATTTGCTACAGTCTGTCAATAGGTTTGGTGCTGATTCTCAGCACCGGGGCCAAATGCTACAGATGTCTACAGGTCGTTGGAATCAGCCTGCTTGGAGGTCAAATCGATCCCACTTGACACACCAAGGGTCTGTGATCGATGGCTTGTTGGATGAAAAGAAGACAGAGACAAGGCAGAAGGCCGCCAAGCTTTCAGCCGATGGAACAGTCACTAAAATCATTTATATACCGAATTTCGGAGTGTTTAGTCAGCCATACCCTTGCTGGCCCTGCCTGAACAGCCTTAACAGCCTCCCAAAACCTGTGGCAAGCCCTCCTAGGAATCACGAAGGTCGACTTCCATCAGCCTTTGATTGCTCTAAGCGATGGATTCCTTTCTTTTGCAACCGCAAATTTTGCAGCTCCCGTAGAAACCAAGTGTTTTGACTGCAGGTGGAAGTCTGGATTCTGGACATCTTGGGCAGTGAAGGTCCTGACCGAGTGACTCCTTCCGCAAAGGCGAATGTCAAGGGTTGGGGATTCGATGGAGATTGATTGTGGATTGGGCCCATGGGGCCTTGGAAATTGGCTGGGCATTGGAGGGCCGGGACGCTAGGCCTCAGCCGTGCTTCAGATCACGCGGCTCATCAGTCGAATTGTGGAGGCCACAGGGTCACCAGGGTGACCCGAACTCTGGCCATGCCTCATGGAAGAGCTACAGCTAGCTAAAGGAGATTGCTTTGGCTTCTCAAAATGCTAAGATGCTTGATTTATGGATAAAGAGGTTTGAAGCAGAGCTGCAGTCGGAGCACAGAGCTCTTTTTGGTTTGCACGAAGGGGGCCCAGAATGTTCAGTATGTGTGGTGCAATGTGCAAAAATATGATCATATATAGCAGCACTGACAGAAACATGGTGGGGAGACCTTTTTTGGCACTTTGTAGCAATCTTCAAACATCCAATGTGCAGATTTGGTAGCTGATCAAGCTGCTGTTAGGACCTCTTAACCAGCGCCTGGTTTGGGGAACCCAGTCTTGAATGTCAGGCACAGCATGGGAAGGTGTCCAGGTGATCTCAGCTTCAACACCACATGTGAGCAGTTTCGATTTTGAAAGCCCCAACTCAATTGATGATTTTAGGGAATTTTCATGAATTATACTACCCAAGATATGGGCGATGATCATCATCCATGGGAATTCCCATGTTTTCGATCATTGGAAGGAAACTTCCAACAGGTTTCTGATGCGTTCCCAAGGACCCACGCTCGCATCGACGGCTTGGTGGCTCTGCGTGAGCTGACTTTCATGATGGAGACGGTCAGCGCAAAGGGGGTAAGGGAGCTGTTGGGCTGTTGGAAGATACTTCCAACGGTCAACACATGCTTTTCCTCCAAGGGGAAGTTATTCCTTTTTTGTAAGGAGTTTCTTGGTCCCTTGATTAGTAGGGCATTTACATACATTACATAGCCATGATGTTTGGATTCCCATTGATGACCATATTCATCCTGTCAGTCTCAGGACTGGGCCAAGTGCTGTGCCCAGAAGATCACCAATCCCATCTTGGTTTGCTTCTCTGATGAGGACCAAATGGGCGAAATGGGTCAGATGGGAGTGCCATGGACGGGGTCATGTAGGGGGATATTTGGAGGTCAAGTCGTGGGCAAGTAAGGTGATTGTGGGAATGCCCGCCAACAAAACTGGTAGGAGTTTAAATCTATCTAGGGAACGACCGGACTTCTTGTGTCGCACAAAGGCGCGCAGTGCCATTAGCCCTGAGGACTCCAAAGTCAGGTACAAGGCGTGCGAAGCCTTTATCAATGTGGCGAAGGTGATCCGCTCGGGAATCCTTGAAGACATGGGAGCGGTCTTTCATGGTCTTTGCAGGCAGGTGCGAGGATTGCAGGTGACATGCCATGAGATATTCTTTTTCAACGGTGGAAACGTCTATTGCTGCTTATATACATACACATGCACATGTGCAAATTATATATATATATATATATGTGTGAGGTATATATATATATATATATATGTATAGTGTGTATGCACGGGCGTATAGCTGCCGTGGATTTGAAAACAGCAGTCTGTTGTTTTGGGCATTTATCAAAAATCTTAGACCAACAGCATGCCAGAGTCCGGTGAAGGCCTCTTAGGTGTTCTTGAAATGATTTGGTTGAAGCTGTGTTTGATGTGTCCCCTCAACACTCTCAATACTCCAGGCTCTACACTGATGTTGAGCAACAGATCAAGGAGAGGACCGTTGTCACATTTCCCGTTCAAGGATTCAACATCGTTCGATAAAAAGAAGCAACTCTGGATGGGGAGCACTATTGTAAAGCGGCTAGTGTGAGGAGTAGTCTATCTTCAAGCTATCGCCACACTCGTCTTTGGGGAGATTTATGTAAGATTGGTGTGGCTGCTGTGTCAATGCAATCTCCACAGGAAGGAGCCCAGAGCTTGGACCGGCTGGTACGCGACATCGTGGTAGAGCAGCGCCACTTCGACTACTCTGTGCTCCCTGGCGAAATGGTTGTAGATTGGAAAACCGCATCAAAGCATGGGCCATAATGTATTCTGTTTACGGAGGCTCATCCCGCTCATTGCTGCCCGCATCCACGTGATGAACCCATCAGCACCTTGCATGCAAGGAGAAGAATTGTGAAGTGCTCTCTTTGGATTTGTTCCTCCGTGGCTCCCACCTTTTGCCTGCCACAGGTCCGACAGCTTGTGTTGGGCTGGATTGTTCTCTTAGACTCCATGCCGCAGGCGTCGGGGTGAGACTAGGGTGGGGTATGTTCAGATTTGACGGTCCGAACTATTTTGAGAGTGTTCATTGACCTGTACCACACTAACAGCTACCTAGCTTGGAGCATGGACTTTTCCATACTTTTCCTGGCTTCTTAAGGACCTCAGGTGACCTCAGCTACCTGGTTTGCGCTGTCAACCAGGTTTTGGCCCAGGTCGAGCTTGGCTGCCAAGGCTCAGGCCTCATGGACCAACTCATGGATTCTTCAGGGCCCCTCACATGGATCAGCATAAGATAGCCTCAACAAGGAAATCAAAAGAATTCAAAAACAGCAATGTGCACACATTTCCAAGATTTGCAAAGGAACCTGTCGGAAGATTTGAACTAGATGCAAGTGAGTGAAACTGTTGAACTTTTTATTTCCAGCAGTTTCCGAAGTCTTCATGAACACGTTTTGCAATACAATGGATTGAATTTACTGCACTGACTCCAGATGGAGTTTCTGCAGAGCCATGGGCAAAGCGCTCGTGGGCCAATTGATCTGCTTTGCTTGGCGGCGGTGCCCAAACCCGATGTGACGTTGCAACAGAAGTATGATCCCTGGAGCTTCTTTTTCAGTACGTTTGTGTTTGAAACTTCTTTGGAGTTTGATTTCAAGAAGCAGGCACAGATGTAAGATCCATCTTGAACTACACATACTAGACTACCCCCTTGTTTTCCCATGTTCAATTCATCCTTCACGGAGGATGCCATGGGTCTCCCGGACCCGGTGGCCTTTGCGATGCTGACGGCCTTGGGTGCCATTCCTGACCCCATGGCCTTGCTAAATGAGATGATGGCAGCTGCAGCGCCGGAGGAGGACGAGAAGGCGACCTTTTGGAAGGGCCCGCAGTTTGCCGCTGATGCCGACAGTGCTGAACTGGAGCGCTTGGCCAAGCAGGTGGGGAGAATCAGTGGAACATGGGACCTGGGGCGAGGAGAGAAGCGATGCAAAAGGTAAGGAGAGTTCCCAATCCGCCCTACTGATGCTGACTATCCTACAGTAGTCAAACATGGCAATGTCAAATCCGCTGGAACATGACAGATCATCAATGCACATGGAGGGAATTTCCATTGACCGGTTAGATTCTCAGATGTTTATCTCTGAGATCAGGATGCGGCAAAGCCTAACATATAAGAACACAATCTTTGGGCGGATGAACATCCATTTACCAGATATTGTTGTGTTCACCATGGTGGCAGGGTTTTGATCCATGGCCGATGATGATCTGCAATGATCTGCAATGATCAAGTTTTGATATTATAGTAATAATCTTCAGCATTTTTAAGATAGTTATATCATGATACATGATGCATGATACTAATTGAATCTAATTGACGAATTGATACGAGTTGATGCTAACTTTAAAATTTCAACAGTTTACACACGATACCCATCTCCTTTTGTGCCACAGGTGAAGGAAGCTGCTGAGCAGGCGCGTGCCGCCACCGTGGCGACCGGCGCCGTGGCTGGCACTGCGGAGGCGGCGCGCAACGTGGCGCAGGCCTTCGCACAGCCGGAGGAGGAGGAACCGCAACGACCAGCGCCACTGGGCACAACCCTGAGCTCCTTACTGACTCTTGCTGAGCAACAGATGAGCAACTGGAGGATGTCAATTTTTGATATTTTTCCCCAACAGAGTGAGCTTAGGGTCCAGGAGGTTCCAGGGGTTCTGGGATGGCTGGTTGTTGGGGAGGTTGCAGTGTGGTCGTTCGGGAGTTTCCGGTGTGGTGGTTCCGGGGGGTTCCAATGCGTTCTGGTATGGGTTCCGGTGTGGTTTTTGGGATTGGTTCCGGATGGTTCTGGAAATTTTAGAGCAGGCTCCAGTGTGTGATGGTTCCGGAGGTTCCGGAGGTTCCGGTGTGGGTTCATTTGTTTGTTTTCAGGATGGGTCTCCCAAGGCAGGATTGAAACTTAATATATAGGTGATAGTGTTGACTGGATGTTGACTGGATGTTGACTGGCTACTGTCACTCTTTCCTACCAGCTTTGCTGTTGGGGATACCGCCTGGGCCTCAATTTTTGGGGCCCCAAAATGAACAGATCCAATACTAGGCAAACAATAGAGGGGGTTCTTTTGGCAAGTTGCCGCTGAAAGTCGGTGCGACTGGAAGATGTATCAAATTCGTGCGTCCCCAAGATTCTGATCGTGACTGTATGCTTGCTACATTTGCTACTACAAGTCGAAGCCTCTCTCATCATTCTCATCTGTTTTGTGAAAGCCTGTTGGTAATGTCGAAAATGGCTCTATTCTTCAAAATTCTTGGCACTGGCCCAGGACTGGCAGGGAACGCACCCAAGACAGTCTTCTTACCCTACCCACCACCTTAGACAAGGTGGCTCTGAGCCGTTTGCCCAAGGGCGTTACGGAGGCACAGGTGAGACTGGAGTGTGCGCGGTACGGTGCCTTGACGGCTGTTGTGCTTGAGGAGGGAACTACCAATGGCAGTGGCGTCACTGCTTATGTGTGCTATGCTTCCTCCGATATGGCCCAACTGGCAGTGCGGAGGATGACGGGGGCAAAGATTGGAGTCTTTGGAAATGAGCCTGTGCAAGTAAAGCTCATTAGCGAACTGCCTGAGAGCGTGCCTGGGTGAAGCTTTTCGTGACCATTCTGTGATTTCCTTGTCTTTTGAACAGTTTTTCTTTCAGCCCCGATGGTTGATCAAACATGACATGATTCTTCAACATAGTCACAAATGCGATGGTTATTTGCATCAATTATTTGATCTCATTCCAGAAAAGAAACATCTTGGGAAAAGATATGGGCTGCTCAGCTTGTATACCATCATGAGTTATAGTAATGTACAATATATGTGATGTAATGATGTAATGTTATATAAAAATAGTCTATTAAATCTATTATAATATATTATTTTTCTTGAATGTCAATGGCAGCAGGTGAGAAGTTTGGCCGTGCCAAAAACGGCTCCCGCCTTCTCAGAGGTGCAGCCCATCAATCCGCAGCAACTGCCGGACTACCTGCGCTCGGGGAAAGCCTCCCGCAGCGCGGGAAGGAAACGGGCCTCCCGCAGCACCCGCCGGAAGAAGAGAAAGAGCAGGACCTTGGAAGCAACTTATTTTTGGGCGATGTAGCACTTCTTTCAGGAATTTTGAGATTTTCTTTGTGCAGGCCTTTGAGAAAAAACAAGTGGTTTTAGTGTTTGAATAGGACTTGTCGCTCCCAAGAGATCAAATGTAGTTGTGCCAAGTCGACAGTCGACAGTCGTCAATGTTGAGTAACTCACCTGTGGCACCGTGCACCAGGAGCGCAAAGCGATGGCTAGACAGAAGTCGCAGTAATAGCCATACAGCCACTGGCCAGTATATTCGAGCAACTGGATGTTCCAGCACTGTGAGATGCTTGAATGCCATTGCGCATCAACTTTTCTGCTGCCATCCTTTGTTGGAACCTGCTTAAATTCTCCAAATCGGCTTGGTGGAAGGGTATATAACATTTACATTTTAGCTCTATGTTGCATATTTTTTTCGCACTTTAAAGTCTATATCAAGCCAGCATCTTTTGCATACATTTCACATAGACATAGCATATATATAACACAGAAGTCCAGGGAGAATCCCTGATCGCTGCAGGATGGTGGGAGCGTCGCCGCGACAGTGACGACAGCGACGACGGCCGCACCAAGCGGATGCAGCAGGCCGAGGCTGACCTCATCGCCAAACGACCGCGACAGGTCTGGGGGAAACTAAGGAGCCAGATACACCAACCCAATTGGGACCCAATCTTCTCCCATTTGATCCACATGGAACATATGGAACCAGAATTATGGGGTTTAGGATTTCCGATTGGAAATTGGCAAGACATGGGATTTGATGTTAAATTTAGGGGATGTAGTGAATTGTAGGATATTTGAAGTGTATGTGAGTTTGGGTCAAACTTCAGAGGCCAAAATAAGATGGCTTCATACTAACGACCAAGATCTGTCCCCTGGCCCTAGATTTTGACGGATGTGACATGTTTATTGGTATATGTTTCCAACAGATGTCTCTCATTTCACCTTGACATTTTCAGCATGCTGCCCCAGGTGGCCATCAAAGGTGTCTGGGCGCAGTTTGTGTACTCTGGCTCTTCGTACTACTTCAACATTCGCACGGAGCAGACGCTTTGGGAGACCCCCGATGAGTTCGAGGACGAGAAGAGCAAACATCAGACAAATGCCATAATCTGAGCGAAAAAGGGAGATCTTCAATCGCGCAGCCTGAGAGCATATATCGTGGGGGGCTGTTGGCATGTCTCAAAAAGTCGGAATACATATTTGCAGACAGAAAAGTAGGTGTTGTATGGTTTTGCTGTTGCTTTTGTGTGGATGATTAGGAACAACCAGCCATAGTCAATCTACTTCCTCGGTGAGCAGATATTGTTGCCGTTTATATTTTATTCTTTATCCGGCACTGTCCAGCTTTTGGATCCCTACAAGAACGACTTGTACACAGCTATATTTCAACATACCACCATGAGATGGGGATCTCTAACGAACCTCTAAACGCACCATGCAGTTTGAAGGGACGATTACTTGAGGGATTATGGATCATTTTCAAGATTTAGCAGAGTGACCCAGCAAGACAACTTTGTCAGTGGCTGTTGCTTGGAACAGTGTTTCTGTTGTCATGTTCCGAAACATTTTCCAGCGAAGCATATTTTCCAGGTTCCGAGGGATGCCATCTGTTAGCCCACTTGTTTTCACCACTCGGCTGACGCTTGTATCGCTCCCAAAGCTAAGCAGCGTGCCTGGCACGGCAGGTTGACATGATCGCCTTTCTGCCTCACTACCTGGAGGGTCTCTTCGGAATCCTCGCCAGTGACAACCGGGACTTCCGTTTGAAGGCCTTGAGAAACAGGGAGAGAACTCCCCGCAGCAAGATGTGGAGAGGGAATCTTTTGGAATCTTGAACATGGCTTTGTGGTTTGGTTTAGTTGTTCCTTAGTATATTTGTAATTATATCATAATATATATATATATGGATTTATATACTTGTATAATGATATAAACTCGCGATTCATGACCACATGATTGCGAGAGCCCTTCAGTTTTCTCTGCTCAAGGCTCAGGAGTGTCTGGACGGGCTGCTGGAGGAGTGATGAAGCTGATGGAAAGTTGTTGTGATGATATCCAAAAGCATTGGACCCTACTGGACAAGTTGGATCTTTGTAAATGACCAGGATTGCTGGCCTCTTTTGTTTGGCAGATTGCTGGCCTCTTTTGTTTGGCAGAGTTTCTTCTCTCCTTCTGCAACCTGCCAAGTATTGAATGTCTTGGGGAAGTGGGTCCACAAACACTCCACACCTTGCGTTTTGACATTTTCCAGGAGATCAGGAAGTCGGCCAGTGAGCGACCTGAGCGCACACAACAAGCGATTGCCCAGGCAAGGGATGGCCCCGGTCTTTCCGTGCAGCATGTTGACTTATTTTACCATCTCAAATCCTCTAAAATCACGACCCCAACTTCTGACCGTTTTGACCACTGGACATCACTGACATTTCTTGAGAGGTTTCTTATTCTTCACAATCCGAGGATAATCTGATCATCGTCCAGTCTCGTCAAATGCATTCCTTGTACAGGCTGCTGCAACGGTTGCTCGCTGCTGCCGCGCAGGGGGTGAGCAGCGCTCCGAGGTGGGCATTGGAGATGCCATTGCACTGGAAATGAAGTCCCCCTGGGTCCCCCTGGAAGCCTTTTCTTTTTGGTGAAATCTCCTGTATCCGACCTGGTGTGCTGAGGAACTGGAATCTAGGAGCTGTGTGAGCAAAAACCTTCTGCTGAGTGATGCTGCAATAGGCTCAGTATCTCAACATGCAAAAGCACTGCAGATCGAACCCAGCCTCAAGGTGCCCACACAAGCTCTTCTTGATCTTCTTGGCCTGAAGTCACTCCTTCTACTGTAATCAATTTTTGGCAGATCCACAGAGTTGCACAAGGTTCTACATGTGATGACCAAAAGTTCAACAGGGTTTGCAAGGAAAGTGACTCCACAGAGAAGCTGTTTCTTTGGGGAAATCAGCTCGGCCAGCTCTCACAGCTGCGAGCGATCCGTCCGTGCATGGGGCGGCCGGACGTTGGTCCAATGCGACATGTGGCAAGGTCAGGGGAGCTGAAGCTGCCACGAGAGTCACTAGTAGTCACTAGAGCACAAGTTGAGGAACACGCTCTGGTGACGTTTCTTTGCAAATCAATCGAGAACAGAGACGTTTGGGAGTCCAAGAGGTTTGCACTCTAGACTCTAAACTCTCTCTCTCTCTCTCCACTGCTACAGGGGATTTGGCAACTCCAAGTCTTGCAATACTGGAAGTTCTGCCAGGACAGGATCGCGAAGAGTCTCGGCGCTTGGTTGTGCGTGCCTTGGATGCATTTGTAGTCATAGTATGTCATAGTCTCATGGACTCTTTGTCAGGTCGCAGAGTTTTCGTAGCGCTTTATCCGGAAGGGATCCCAATGCTCGAAATCTGAGGTCAGACCGTCGATCAGCAGGAACTGACACCCAGCATCAGACACTTCTCTAGCTGGAAGTTGCCTGGCTTGAAGCATCCAGTTTGAACATGCAGACCCAGACCTAAATTGTGGGGATATGATATGAAGAACAATGGGCAAATAGCTGGTTATATCCTAGTTAATCATACATATTATATATACATAGTTTTTTAAGGAAGGAACGAGCAGAAGTTCGGTGATATACAACTATAAACGAAACTCGTTGTTCATGCCTTTTTCTGGAGCTGTTATTTGGTCCAAAACACTGCACCTTTCAGACTTTCCGCTCTCGCATGGTTTTGTCACTTCAGGTCACCAACTTTCACTGAATGGTGGAACAACCCGCAACGGCACATCTTGTCTGATTTTTGGTGTTTTGACGTCCCCTGCCGTTGAGGATCTTTACATCTGCGCTAATCCTGGTGGTCATCGTGAGCTCCATAGGTGTGGGAAGTCACCATCTGCGGTGTCTGGGATCCATTGGATTTGTACACTCTGGGGTTGGCCCATGGGGTAGTTTCATACGGCTATTCCTTATGAGCACCAAGTCAAACTCATTTGGAGCTGTCTCAGACTGCAGTAGTGGTCTTGACTGGCCGAATCCTGATGCACTGAACCGCGACTCTGAGGAGATCGATGGCGGAACTGGCAGGACAAAGGTCTAGGGCCGCACCGGTTCGATCGAAGATTTCGGATCCTGCACCACGAATACCTCCAGGATGTATGGGAAAAGGCAGCTGCACGGGCTGTTGGCGATGCCGTTTTTCAATTGAATCGAGGGAATAAAGTTCTCCCTGCTGATGGCATATTGATTGAACTGTAATGGTGGACCTGTCTTCTTGCGAGAGTGCAACGGCACCAATGTGTTTCAGAAGATGGAAACAATTTGCTTTCAGGGTGGCCTTTCCATTTGGGCGTCTCCTGGTGAGTATCAAACTGTAACTACATAGCTGGTACACGGATATCGAGATAATCCCGAATAGGCATTCCCAGGATTTACCAGGTCTTGTAGGTTTTGCACGGTGCACAGAACTTCGGCTTGAGCAAATGACGCTATTGAGATATACGTGAAGGTAAAGTTTGAACATATTCATACATACATGAAAGAAAGATCGGCCACCAGCACAATAAGACAAAATGAGATACGGCTGCGACTCATCAGCAATGGAGTAAGTTTGATGTGATTAATTACTCTGTGCATATTCTTTGGTCCTACGAAAGTATGCATAGATACATGGGTTTAAGTCAAATATGTCAGCATCAAAAAGTTGAACTCTGTTTGCACCCCTTCGCGCCCAGGCATGACATACCTCATCAAGGCCATCCTTCACAACAATTTAGCAGGACTTGGTCCTGACCGTGGAGAGGAGGATATGCAGTTCCTGGTGAGCCAAGAGCGTCATGGGGCCGACACGCAGGACATTAAGGCTGGGCCTGTTGGAAGATGGTGGAACTGGCCAGATCTCTTGCACGGCAGAAGTTTTGGAAAATTGGAGGTGTCTGAAAGTGGGCTGCACCACGAAAATGATGAAACCATATTATATGAGACCGCTGGATTTTGGGGGTCTCCCAATTTTGTTCAAAAATCCCAATGGAGGAAACGAAAGAACTGGTGAAGTCTACCTGTGCTGGCCAGGTGTCCGTGCGTGCCATGAGCGCTTACACGCCTCACTCTGCATCCTGGAATGGGATGCAGGGAGATTTCGCCAGCATCAACCAAATGCCTGGGCAGGATGTTAAGCTTAGATTCCAGTCCCTTGGATAAAGCTGCAGGTTTTGGTTGGCTTTGGATCATACATATTTTATTTGTGGGTTGTCATATCTCCAACAAATCCATGCATTTTGAGAAGAACTCATACTCTACACTACTTTACTTTGTTTTTTTAATGGTAAGATATGATACAGGAGGTTTCAAGCACTGTCCAGCTGTGTCCTTCCAAAAGCTGATTTTACCACCTGCCCAGTGGGCCCAGGTTTCGGGACGTGGCCAACACGCCGTTGTGGCTGGATTCCTTTGACCTGTTGCTGTGTGATCTGGACGGAGGCTCCACATCCACAGAATTCGCTAGGGCCTTTGGAGAGCACAAGGCCAGCAGGGATGGTTTAACGGCCTTAACCAATAGGAATGCTGGTTTAATTGTGGACATATGATGGGGACATAATGGAACATATATGACGATTATGATGTACACATACATATTTGCCATGGTCGCAAGTTGGGATGAGGCTGAGGCACTTGCACCCCGAAAAAAAAAAACATGCTTCTGTTATGTGTTTAATCTTTGTCAACGATTGCAAACTCTCAAATGCATTTCAGGTAAACATATTTTGCCGACGTTTGATACCTCGGGTCGCTGCGGAGATTGGGTTATCAGACTAATGCCCAAGGGCTAACCATACGCCCCATATTGCAGAGAAATGCTGCAACATTGTTAGAGCTCAAACAATTTTACGTTTGGGCAACCCTGAAAACGTCATGAGAACGCAAATCCAAAAACCTTTGAATACACCATCCTTGCAAATTGACAATCTGGCAGAAGATAGTGCGAGGCAACGGTTCGCAAATTACATGAGACTGCAGAAGAGGAATGCTAGGGGTGATTAAAAAACAAAAATAGGGAGGTTGCCTTGTATCTTGGCACTTGACAATTTGGTCACACCTTGCGATTCCTCACCCTTCCTGTTCTGTTTTATTACGACCTCCCTTTGGATTAAATCTTGCGATACTACAATTATGTGAATGATGCATGTTCTTTTGGCATACCAACTTTTGGGGCGCTCCGATTGTTGGCCCTGGTCTTTTTCTGCCCTTCACGATATTCAGTCACCATATTTTCAGATACACTGACCCCACCACCAGAGTCCGGGGTTGCGGCATAATGGACCTCTGAGTTCATGCGAGTCTACAATTGGATTGTATACCAATACCTGAAGGATTATCATCAATAAACTGATGGGGATTTATACACCAATAAAAGGATTCCCATTATTTGGCATCATTACGCTTTATCATTCTGGCTTGCAACTCTGCAAGATAACATGTCTTGCCATTGGTATCCTTCCTCTGGCCATTTTCTCCTTTTCAACTCCACGCTTCTAAAGACGAAGATAAACTCAAGGCAACGATACAGAATTCTTGTTTGTGTCTAAAGGATCGCTTCATGGATTTTGCAGTGATGGCAGAAGCCAGCCAAAGCTTCTGACTTGAATCCCCAGAACCACCTCATGCACGTTTACAACACGTCGACTGTCGATTCACGTGGTACGTTGGTACAGTATACTATTATGATCTATTATGATCTATTATGTATGTATATACATTTATATGCTTCCAGGACATTCTAGTTGGAGCCCTAAGACATAGCATTGAACCTGCATTCCACTCTTTTGCTATTCTGCCGCAAGAAGAAGTCAATGGTACATGCAGTGATGCACCCTGCCTTGTGGCATCGTGTTTGGGTTGCAGGCGTATTGGGCACATGGCACAAAGCTGCAGCTGAAATCCCATGGCGACTATGTGGAGTACAACCTGAAGTATCCCTACAGGGACGCCCCTGTTCAGAAGGAGGATCTGGGTGTTGACAATCCCGTTTATGCTGGCGACCTTACGAAGAAACAGCAGCAGAACTGTGTGAGCCTGCACTATGGATGCTTGGATCAAATTTCTGAAGATTTTGATTGCAGACCAACTTTTTTCCAGTGGAATGTCCTCATTGAAAATCCTGATCTCAGCCAGTTGTTAGAAGCATGCCTCTCAACCTTAGGCGCCGCACTTGTGAAGGGATCAAAAACGGATGGGTGATTCATCAAGAAAAACCAAGGATCAGTGGATCACATCGATCTGGTTCTGGGCTCCACCTCCTATCCCTTCGGATGGGGTGGTGTGCGATCCTTCTTCTTCGCCTTCACGGGGCTTGACCACTGCGGTTCCAAGCTTCTACGGGCCAGTTCCAGCACCACGTCTGCCACTCTCACCACGTCAACCGTCACCAGGATGAACACTGGGACTGGGAGGAAGAGTGGGAGTGGCTGGAGGTCTCTAGGTGTCTCTACATAATTCAGTCATTAAGAGCTGGAAATGACAATCGATCACTGGCATCGTGTCGTGAACCCGTGGACTCTCTACTGTGGTCCTCCCTTGAAACCCGAGGCATCCAACGACTTTCAATTTCATCTTTTCTGTTGAATCGTGAAGGTCCTCGTCTGGGATAGGAAAGTTTCCAAACTTGCAGTGGTACCTTGAGCATCGTGAACTCGTACTTGAAGTCACCCTGAAAAGGAGCTCAACAAACAAATCTGGAAGGAAGTTTGTTCTCGTGTTTGTTCCAGCCCATTGGGCTGGTGACTGGTAGGACAAGCCTGACGAGCACTTCGTTCACCACATCTGCGACTTCTTCAACCTCAGGTTCAAGCCAAACAGTGAGCACCAAAACGATCTCAGCCCTGTGCTTCAGTGAAGCGTTTTGACTGTTTTTCCCCATAAATTGCTTTTTAGTCCACCGTTCTTGGAAGTACTTTTTCAAAGTATCCCATAGATTTGGAACTCTTTGGTTGTTGGTTGTAGTTGACTTAGAAAGGGTGCTGATTCATGGGCTTGACGCTCAAAGATAGTGGTCGACAGAGACATCATCTATTTCTTCTGAGCTACACAGGATCACCACCTACACCACAAGTACTGCCACCACGGTGACCGCGACTACAACGACGGAAGTGGCGGGTCTCCCAATCTTCGCCAGCCCAGGTCACCCGGACACCGAGGGTTCCAGGATGGTTGGACTTTTTTGTTTGGGCTTTGGTCCAGTGACAGAAAGGACTTAACAGCTGTGCAGTTGCATTTCCTTGAATGCCCGGCCAGGGTATGTATCCTTGCAACCTGTGAACAACATCCTGCGCTTTTTGGCCATGTGGGCCTATGTAGCCGCACCTTGGCTGAAGCTTTTTGTGTCTACTTGACCCTTACTTGATATTTCATTCTGTGTTTATGGGAAAGGAAGCATTTGCTGGTCGACTATTTTGAGAGTGTGAGGTCTCCCGAATGATTCCATGGAACTCCCCAACCTTTCATGCGCATCATTTTCAGACACAGCATGTGAATCATCCAGGTAGAGATTCATCCAGCCGCCCAACAAACTCCGCGCAGACTAGTTTTTGGGCTTCCCATTCCAAGAACGAGAAGTTCAAATGTTTTTTTCTTATCTTTCTGGGGCCATGAGGTGCTTCTGAGTTCAGCTTCTGGACTGGTGATGTATTGGCTTTGCATGAGACAAGCAGGATGAGGACAGGGCTGGAGTGACCTCGTCAGGATTAGCATTGTGACATGGCGGTGCCTGGCGGCTAGGACGGGCGCTTGGGCTATTTCGACGCATGCATCGTTTGGCTCATAGTCACTTGGTTGCCTCCTGTCAAGTCTTGCACGATGCCTGTTGGCAGTCTGTTACAAGAAATAATACAAAAATGCATTGCTACATGAGAATTGATGTCCAATGTGTTGAACTTTCTTTCACCGCCTTGTGCAGATTCTACTGGAACGTAGAGAAATCCTCATGATTTGAGGTGTTCGATATGCAATTATATAGATCTCCTGCGAAGCAGGAGCTTCAGACTCAAGATTCACCAATGGCTGACAGCAGATTGCTGTCATACCGGTTCTAGTCAATTCATGTCAATCCTCTATCATCTCTATCAACAAATTTCGAGGCCATGCTTTTCAGGAACCCCATGAAGCGTGGGCGAATGGTTTTGGCATCCCACTCACCTCTCCACTGAGGCGGCAGTGTGATGGCCTGCCCTCAGGGGACAAAGAAAGGCCAGCTGCACAGTAATTCGGGTGCTGATGGGAAACGCCACAGACCATTTTTCGATGTAGCAGGAAGGGGAAACACCGGTTTCCCCCCATTTAGGCGCATTTCTTTGGATGCGGATGCCATTGGGGTGAGACATTTATTATCATCTGGGTAGCTGGCGTTCGGACTGTTTAGAGATGGAAGGCATCCCTTTCTCCGAGATTCAACAGGTGAATGGCCGCAAGTAGTGTCAGGCGGACGTCGCTTGGGGAATAGAATGTGCCAAATGCAAGTGAGGTTGTAAGCGTTCTTGTGACGGCCATCATATATCTTCAAGTCCAAACCTCTTTCTATGAGACCTGAAACTAGAGTTCCAAAGCAGATGGCAGAACTGCTCCCTACGTCAAACATTTGGCGTCGTGCAACTCTGCAAAGCAGGGATTCTAACTCCCTGACTCGGAGGGCAAAAATTTGGCCCTGGCCGAGACACGCGTAAAAATGATCCTTTCATAGAGCGCCGCTTCAAGCTTTGGAATTCCAAGCTGAATTTGTTCGATTTTGGTAAAGCATGCGCAGTTGGAGCTCCTTGTGCCAGGCTGCCCCAGTGCGGTCCGGGCACCTGCAGCTCCATATGTTTCAGCGGAGTGGGCTTTGGACGCAGCCAATCCAAACGACCGAGGTTCAATGCATTGAAATGGCTGCTGGAGTCAGTGAACTTGCAAGTGAAGCTGCAGGCTGGTACAAGAATTTGAGTGGAATACCTTCACAGGGAAAGGTCTTCAGAGAAGACAGGGGTTTTGGCGGTATGGCAGTCACAATGTGTGCCCCCGGTAGGTGGAGTTGACGATGCCAGGCCATGGGGTGTGGCTAGCTGATCTGATAGCAGTGCTAAGCTCATGGTCAGTGTAGGTGTGCCCAAGGTCCCGAAAAAAGTGGGCTGATTCAGGTGCCGATGGAGTTTCCACCAGATCGTCAGGAGCCCCAGCGCAGATTCTTGGATCTGCTGCCATCGCTTCAGAACTGAGGCTGCGGAGGCGACCCTCCGAACCAGTTGCAGATACTGGAGGAGCTGCACTTGGCGATTGACGGGCTCGGAAAATGATGGGACAAGTTTCTTCCAGATTTGATGTCCATCAAAAAATGGGGGCAAAATGGCGAGAATGATGGGAAACGAACCTTGATCATCAGTTTCCCCATTTTTTGATGGCGATTTGGAAGTATGATACCCAATTTTCAGACCACCCGAAAGCACTTCTGGAGGTAGTGGTATGAAGTGGCAACAGGCCAAACACCCCAGAAAACGGTTGGTGAACTTTCCAGGATTACTTGGGAGTTTCGAAAGTGTCCCATCTGTACATCATATACGCATCTTTATATATCCGGTCTTGAATATGTTCGACTTTCCATCCTCAGATGATGATCCCGATTGACGAATATTCTTGGCAGAGCTTGAAACTCAGTACGTATTTCAAGAATCATCTAACCTTTGGAGGTTGATGGCGTAGGTAGTCAATCCGACATGAATTCCTTCCCCATGTCAATCAATTTTATTTTGAGGTTGTAAGTTAGCTGTCACAAAGTCGAGCCCCCCAGGTGTAAGTTGGTTTAAAAACCCATTATATATATAACATTATATAACTATAGTTACAATCTCCTATAAAGAATATAGTCTAGCTATCACTTAAATCAGCTATATCAGCTATAAATCCCATGTTTTTCCCCATAAAATCACCATTTTCCCGGCCCCACCCTGGAGGTTTACGACAGCTGATCCCTGAGCTGCTGCCGGGTGTTTGGGGCCCCAAGGGGGCCCTGCCAGGATCCGATGGATCCTCATGTCTTCCCATAAAACATGGGGAAATGCCAGAAATATGGTGGTTACCCTCTGGTAATTTAACGTAGGCTATGGAAAATCACCATTTTTAATGGGAAAATCAACTATGAATGGCCATTTTCAATAGCTATGTTAAATTACCAGAGGGTACATACATTTACAATCATTTACATACCATAGAAAATGGTTACATACCATGAAAATCCCATGTTTGATGTAGAAATATACCAGAAATATGTTGGGCAAAGCTTAACAAATATGCCATTTGTTGGGATCAAAATGATGGGAACATATGAGGATGTAACGTGGGCTACCCTGGCTGCCATAAACAACTACCAGAAATGGCGATGGTTTATACCACCCATCAAAATGGTGATGACTTGGGGATGGATTATGGCATTGGGTTTACCACATTATGTGATATATGCCATTTGTTGGGCAAACCCAATCTATGGTGGTTACTACATGTTACTACTATCAGCCATTTTTTTGTAGAGAGATCCCTGGGTAAATTGGGAGCATAGGAACACATAGTGACCATCCGAGCTCGCCAAGAATGGTATTCTTGGTGTCCTCACAGAGTCGACCCACCATCCCAATGGTCCTGGTTTAACGCTCGATGTGAATGTCTGCGATTCACTTTGACAAGAGCAATAAAATCAAGAAACATATGTACAACATGTAGAAGCATCACATTCCATCAATGGGACACCTCGTGTCTTTCTTTTCAATACCGAGGCCCTCTACTGTTTGGATGATGGCGAATTGACCATCCAGACAGATGCCATCCAGGTGGGGAATGGATCCCTCATTGATAGCCGTGACTTTGTCTAGATGGAGGATGATTATAGTCCAAACAATCATGATGTGGTAGGATCCATATGATGATACAGGATCAAATAGGATCAAATAGGATCCATATGGATGTCATGATGATACTGCATTTTCGTTGTCCTGTTGTTCAATGACAATCCGTGGAGCTTTGAAGCAAGAGATGAAATTTGGCGATGAAGTGGCCACATCTAGTGCTTGACTCAGGCGAACCTTCGGCTCCGCGAAGCGATGACGATCTTGGACAGTCAACGTGCTCAGGAAATCCGTGCAGGTTCACGGATAGACGCGCGTGGGTTTTTATGACACATCCGACAGAAAAGAAAAGAAAGTTCTTGTGTCTATCTGTCTATCCATCCAATTTGATCTTCTCTGATCTTATCTGGTATAAGGGAAGATTTATCTGGTGTGTCTATCTGGTATATTCTATCTGTATATCTTTGAATATCTTCGATTTATGGGCCCTCGAGGTGATCAGCTGCCAGTGGAGCCCATTGCCCATGCAGTGATCAGTGCGATGTTTGACGTCGGGGGCCAGGACCGGAGACCTTTCGGCTATGGTCATTTTTGCTGGGGAAAATGAACTTTTAAATCGTGTTTTTTTTGGAATAGCACAATTTTCAGAGGAACAAGGAACCTGGGAGGGGGAGGATTCAAATCTGAGTTTTTTTTTCACTCCATTGTATGGCAGCCTTTTTGGTAATGTTTTATGGGAATGACATCGAAACGATGGGATTTTGATCAACATGCACGGAGGTATCCCACTTGCCTGTCACATGAAGTACCACATGAGTATGAGAACACTTGACCTTGGAAGATGAACCGAAAAAAACTGTTTGATGATGGCCATGGCTAGAATTTTTGAGACCCTCAGAATTGGATGGTTCACTTTTAAAAGTGGCCAAGATTGGGGCTGATAGAGGCAGTGCCTGGACTAGCTTCACACTTGGCTCAAGTCTACAAGAAATGGCATCAAGGAAACGGCAACAGAGTTTTCTACCGCCACATTTGTCACAGTAGGCCCTGGGAATCCAGATAATTTCCCCGGACACTAATGGCTTAGAAAACCTCAGCAGAAGGAGATCATGACAGGGCGACTGAAGGTCTTCAAAAAAACGGTGTCCCAGCAACTTCTGAGACGCAATGCCGACTCCCAAAGCAGCAAACGATCTCCAAAGAGATTTCTTCCTACTCCGTGAGGACCGAGGTTTGGATTGTCGTTTCCCCCGAAACCTATCAGGACAGAAGCAGAAGAACCACCAAGAACAACAAGAAAGCAATATGATGCCACACCAAACGTAGCTTTTGGTTTACTGTAAAGAAAGAACATAAGACGTTGGTTTGCCTCGGTCCTTTCTAATTTCTCCCCTCAGTACATTGATTTTTTAATGAAAGCCCATCTAGTTAATGAGGAGTTACGCTCCGATCTTCACCGACTCGAAGCTCGTCTCCAAAGGTTAGAGACACGCAACGGGTTGGATATCGAGACATTGAAACAGTCACCACTGTCACTGGGTGACGGCAATGAGAAGCTGGTGGAAGATCCCGAGGAAAAGGTCGCAGACCAGCTGGGCCAGCTGGAGCTGAAAGTCAGAGATGCGGTTTCCATTGGGGAGACCCAGCCCTCTGAGGACTTGCCAGATGAGCAGGATGGGCTGGGAAGCCAGGGGACCAAACATGGAAGTGTCCTGAGAATGTAGGAAACCGCCCAGTGTTTCAGGACTCCTTCATGGTTAGCACCTCACCATTCATTCTACCATTGATGCCATTGTTCTTTCCCAACCATACAGGTAATCAAACATGGCAATGGAAATCCTCCATTCATAGATGATTTTCCCATCAAAACCACCGACTTGCCCCATCTTCGCCAGGCAGGCTACGTTCATTTCGGCGAGAGCGCCTGGAGTTTCCCTTTGGTGATTGGATTGGCGCCTGCTGGGGCATGGGATGTGACCTTTTCCATTCTGCTGTTGCTCCTGAACCTGGGAACCTCAGCTATATAAGTGCGGTATGGGACCATAGAATGCCCACAGATCTTGGCCATGCTAAATGCTAGTTGCAACATTTCTTGGGGACCAAATTGAATTTCCCACACATGCCATGACATGCCCTGACTCATGTCTTGATGAAAGATGATGAAAGCTGGGCCCAGAACCTCAAGATTGTTTGTTTCTTGGGGGTGACACCACCATCTATCTTGAGGATGATCCAACCACCAAACTTCACCAACCAGTCACGTACCGAGGCATGCAGGCTGCCTTCTCCATCATCATCTTGGACGAGGATTTCATGGGCATCCCCTTCAGAAAGCAGGAAGAATTTGCCAAGCGATGGCGGACCAGCATGGCCCATGACTATCAATACATGGACCTGGCTGGGAGGAGCAGCATTTTTCTATTGAGTAGTTCGGGGTGTGAAAAAACTTGGCGAAGTTTGACCGAAAGGACTTTTTCTGTGGTTAGTTCTTGGTCTCGTGGGTCTGCGGCCAGTTCCTGCTGGATGCCACTTCTGGAAGAATGTTTGTTCTAATTTCAAATGGTGCGAGGTTAAATGGGGATAGATCAAACCCTATTATCCCAAATGATTAAATGGGAGGATGAACATCCATAAATCCCAACTACTTTGGTGTGAATGGTGTGAAAACCCGGGGATTCCATATGGTTTTGACCCATTCTGACGATTTCAGGAGCTTGGTGAGTCGTGTTTGTGCTGTGGATGGAGCGTTGATCCTGTCGACCACTCAAGCCACCTTGGTGGAGCAGATCAATAGTTTCCTGGGTTTGAAGGTGGATGAGTTCGAGGCTGGTGATGGGATTTTCATGGGATTTTCTGCGGACTGAGAACGATTGAGCGAAAAGAAAACGAAGGGCTTCAGGACTAGAGTAGTGACTAGAGATTACCAAATGAGTAAATGAGTCCTGTTGAGAACCATGCTATCCCAGTTTTTTGGAATCACCCTGATTTAGGCTTCTCATCCTTGGATGATGCAAAGATCTGAACGATATGAGCACTCCACACCAGAAATGTGAACATTTGCATCTCGATCAGGATTTCCATCATCTCCACATCTGGAAAACAATCAACTAGATCCTGAGTAGAGTCATGACATATCCAGAAGACATGCTCTTTCACTTGGAAGTCACAAAATGTCTGCCCGAACCTTGAGTTGCGGCCAGGCCGTCTTCTTTCAGCCTGGATCCTTACTTTGCCACTTTCCTGACAGACTGAGGTTATGTTCTAATGGAAAATGGCCCATTACAGTTTGTATATCAGGGTGTACAGTATAAGTACATGTAAAACAACTCATAAACTCCTTTTCTACAGTGTATCCAAGTAGCTACTTTTTCCATCTTTGAAAAATTACTCTTTTCCCAGGAAGGTCATGTTTCATGTGTTTCAATGTGTTTCATGTACGCCTTTGATTGTAGCCAAGTCTCCTCGAGGTATGCTATGCATCCTCCTGTGGAGTCTCTGTGTCTACAAGGAGTACCGCAGCATCTGGCTGGGCCTTGAAGTCGTGTGGCGCATCCCCCGCTCCAAGAGCACGGTCTTCCGCGACAACACCTTCCACAGCATCTGTAAAGGCCCCGGTGATCCAAAGGGGTTGATGATCATTGACCTCGGGCAATAGTTGGTTTATCTCCATTCACAATAGTTATTATTATTATGATTATTATTATATATTTGATATATGACAAATACGATTACCCTATGGAAGAGTTGCAACATGTGATCCAAATACTGTAGAAACCTGGTACAGTAGACCCCTGGAAAGAGACATCCAAACATGGAGCAACCCCCAAAACGGCCATTTCAACAATCATTTCACCAGCCATTCTTTTTTGGGATGCCCCATGTTTCGGACCAACCAAAATGAGCAGTATTGAAAATCACAGTGATGGTGGTTTATTGGGGGATTACTGTATATTTCCATTATAATATATAATAATAGATAAGCAACACTACAGACGATCTCTCCTCAGCGCTTGTTCCAGGTCGCCTCAAGCTGCTTCTCTTCACGTATCTTGCGCGTGCCGCCATCGCCTCACTGTTGCTGGGCGCAGGGATTCGGTGGCTCGCGGGAACTACATCCATCACAGATTTGATGCTCAATGCGGTGGCTCTGAACGCGATTTTGGATGTGGATGAGTTTTTATTTGCCGGCTTCACGCCCATCTCAATTCAATTGGCTGTGCAAAACTTGGAGCCAGTGAAGATGAAGTACAGTCGATTGCGAAGCCAACTTGAGAGTTTTGGCTTGTTGATCCTGCTGATAGGTGCTCTGTTGTTGAAAAAACATATTAAGCTTTTATCCCACAAGGGCTATTGAGTGTTTTTGACTTGGGGATTCCTACGGCAATTTCTATGGGGTCAATCAAAATACGCCGGTGGTCGAGCGTGGAGGCACTCTACTTGGACCTTACCTTCTCCTCTTGCAACCTCTGGCTGCATCCATGATTGCTGTCAAAAAAGAACTCTGTGGTGGAAATCAAACATTTGTGGTGGGACGCAATTCAGTTGCTTGGGCCGCACAAAATCTATTCGTGAGACATTCAGGTATAGGTTTGACAGTTTCAGAAATTGATAGCAACCATGCCTGCGAACACGCGATTGTTGTCAGCCCAAGACAGAGCTTTGTCCCTGATTTGTCTTTTGCGTCCGCGGGTTGCATCGGTTTCAAGGATACCCAACTCAATGCTGGACTTGTGACGAAAAGCAGCCTGGATACGTCAGAGCTCACGGTCTCCGAGCTTGCAGTTGAAAGGCACAAATTTAGCGCAGGACCCATGCTGGCCACAGCAAAATCTTGCTATTGTTCTTGTTCTTCTTGTTTTTTTTGTTCTTCTTCGTCTTCTTATTCCTGTTCCTTCGGTGGTAGCGCGGCTGTTGTCTCCTCATCCTTGTTATTTTTGTTTTCCTAATAAAGGGTTTCTTTGAGGCAGCACGGAAAACGAGTCTTGCGTCTTGAGACTGTACACCCTCTGGCGAAATTGTGGATGATGATGATGATGATGATACGCGGGACTAACAGCGAGTGCCGAGACACGTTTTCTTGTCAGGATACGAAGCACCATACCTCATCAATTTCGCACCAAATCCAGTCATCTTCGACCAGTTTCTCTCACGCGACATGGCCACTGAAGTGTCAAATTGGGGTCTGTGCATTGAAACAGAGACTCTTGGCCTTTTATGTCTGAGATAAATCTAGTACAATCATTTTTCATGGCACCAAAGACATGCATTTAGCGGCAACAATTGAATGTATGGAGCAGCCTCATTGGTATTCATCATGGCTTGTTGGATTGTTGGACGATTTGTAGTTTTATTTTGTTGCCATCAGAAATTATATATTTATTTATTTTTTTTATTCATTTTGGCTGTACAAACCTCTTTCTTCCCAAAGTCCTAAAGGTAGCAGATGGCAGCCCAGCTTTTTCCTGCCTATTTGATTTGTTGGACAACAGGATTTTCCAGCCGACTGGCCCCTACTACGGGGATCCTCTCATTATGCCAATGGTGGAACTAATGTTGCGGAATGCAGCTTACAGCTTGGGCCATGCGGATTCTGACGCTGTAGGTCGCCAGCTCGAAGCGGGAAGAGCATGGAGCTCCACAAATATCAATTCCGATGAACTCCATGTGGCAAAATGATGTTTGTGGGGACGTTTCATTTTGAACTAATATAACTAACGAACCATCCCTTGTCCAACGCTAATGCTCCAAAATGCCCTTGGAATCTAACCATTCTGAAAGAGTTTTCAGTGTCAGTTTCAGGCAAGATATCCAAAGTGAGTCCTACTCTTTGGTGTGTTTGCTCCCTTGGAGGTTGCGCTGGCTTGAAGCATTTGTGTTCTCTCCCCGATGCCCGACTGCTGCGCATGGTTTGCGGGAATACCTGTGGATGCAGCGATCCTTATGCCTCAGTTTGGCACAAGGTGCCGACGCAAGGATGCCTCCCAGCCTGCCTCTTGCCCACATCATGAACCGTTTGCGTTCCAAGTGGAAACTGGAAACAGTAAAAACGTGAAAAAACCGTGAGCTGCCAAAATCAATGCGATTGCAAAGCCTGGCTGAAGATGGCAGTTACACCTTGGGATGGTTGACTTCAATAGTGTTTCGCAAGCTGCTCCATGCCATATGAGTTGCCAATGTGTAGCTAAGGTTTGCAACAGGGCACAGATGCATTAGCCGCATCAGCTTGTGAAGACAAGGTTGTGACGGAGGAGTGGGACCTCTTGTGGGACATTTACCCAACCTCTTTAGGTGCCTTCTATGGCAGCGACATGACCGCCTCTTCCATCTATCCCGTTATGCTCAACCTGGTCAACTTCATGAAGTCCGCTGGTTGCTCTGGGTTGACGAACCAAAACATGCAGAGAGAGCTAGGCACACGTACACTGTGGTGCGAAGGCGGGAGATAGCAGATCTGAGATATGGGTTGGTCTGCAATTGGATACCCCATTCCATTCCATGATTTATCATCCTTGTTTAAATACAGTAACCATTTGGCAGGTGCCCTGGTATTCTCAGACAAACCTGTCTACAGCCATTGAGTGCTTAGATACCCATCAGGAACCAACCTCATCCCTGGGTTTGCCCAAAAATGGGACATGCCGTCAAAATTGCAATTTTTAATACGGAAATTATGATCATTATGATAAACCACTGGATTTGGGGTACATATTTTATTTTTGGACAACCTCAGTTACCTTTTCCCATTTTTTCCCCACATGGCTTACACTTTTCAACCAAGCACTCCCAAAATGTGCAGGCTATCCTTCATTGTGGCGGCCCCTTGCCGGGCTGTGTCCAGTATCTTGCGGCTGTCTTGGAGCAAATCCTTTGCCCACGTCGTCTGCCATGCATTTACGATTTTTATGAGAGCTTTTCACGTTTAGTAAAGTTTAGTCTTTTCCCTACCATCTGTATTTGACTTTGACATTCTTCTCTCTTTCTTTCTGGACAAATTAGCCTTGCAGCAGCTTCGCGGTACTTTTTTGGGATCTGATGAGTTGATACAAACCTGTGGGCCTCTTTTTTTTTTCAAACATTGAGTTGCAAGAGTTCTAGCTCAGTAGAGAATCACCAGAGAATCTGCAAGCACGCACCACGTTAACTAGGTGACAAGATGCTGACCACATTGTTCTTTGACCTAGCTTTTCCAGGTATTGTTCAAGCAGCTGTGCTGTGAATACAGCGGGATGAGCCCTTGCAGCTTGGAGCTTCTGAGCTTTGAAGTGTTGCTATCCCTTCTCGGGAAGTGGTTGATGGCTTCAGCCTGCAAAGCAGCTGAAGTCAGCACGTACAAAGACCTACGAAAAACCAAAAGGGGGTTCAGAGACAGCATCCAGCCTTAAAGAGGAGATGTACTGTTGGGATTCCGACTTATTCAATTGATAACCATATGATTCGGTCAGATTCCGATTGCGTTTTGGCCTACGCTGGAATGACTTGAAGCGGGTAGTCCTTAACATAGCAGTGATCCCGAAAAATCTAACAATCAACTTTTCCAAAATCATCACAGTTGGCTAAGGAGGAGGTCTGTGAAGAGGGTATGCGAAGGGGTGGGCCGAGTTCCTACACACATGTTTGATCTTTTCAAATGTTTCTAAGCTCTAAGCTCCGATGGGGGTACAGGGCTTTGAACATTCTGAAGCACTGTGATGTCGATCCACTGCCGCTTTTCAACAGACCTGGCTTGCAGGAGCGCAGCAAGGAAGTGCTCTTGAGATGCTTCAGCCGGCAGCTCGGTCATCCACTGACCGGTGGATGTCACAGCAGTTGCTTATGAGTAAGCGAAAACTTGCAGTACTTAGTAATTAGTACTTCACACCTCGTTTTCTTGTATACACCAACTGTTTTGATTTGCTGTACTTGGGGGTAGCAAGCCCACAGGTTGGGCAGAGCTGCTTTTGGACAGGCGCATCTTGAGTAGTGGGTCATACTTGCGAAGTCTTTCACTTTCTGTTTGGGTTCAAAAATAAGTATCCCAAGGCTGAAGTTGCGACATCTTCAGGTGTGCAACTCCTCTCTTCATCTGTCAATTCCAAAGCCTGGTATGAGACTATAAGACAATAGGTGCGGGATTGACATTGCACTTTTCAGCAGCAAAAGCAACACACTGCTCTAATATACAGTGTGCCAAACATGGAGAGTTCACCTAGGACAGCACAGAAGATTCGGTGGCATCGGGGATAGGTAGACATACAGTAGATGTGATTCGTACATATTCATACTTCATCTGAATTTTGAATATCCTAAATACACCATTCTAAATGCATATAAATGCACCATTCCATAGTCTCATTGCAGGTGCCCCGCAAAGGTGGTGCAACCAGAGGTGGGCAGCTGATGAATTTTTCTTCAGTTTTTTTGGCAAAGGATTTGTTGCCTGACTGATCTGACTCTGGAGTTGGTTTCTATTTTTGCCTCTGCAAGATCCCAAAGGTGTCGACCTGCCTCCACAAGTTGGGCTTCAGCTCATCATCCCCCGCCATGTCGTTCTTCCAAGCGATGTCGCAGCCCAAGATGGGCATCGCTGGTGCCATGCCTTTCTCCACCTATGGTGCTGCCAGCATCCAGCTGCCTTTCAGCTTGGACCACTCGAAGGGCCAGTGGTTTTTACCGGGCGAAGAGTTGCCACCGGGCTACATCCCCACAGCTCATCCGGATGGGCACTCGACGCCCCTGAAGGAGCATGCCATGTCCAGCAAGGCGCGGGAGACATTGGGCCTTGACACGTCCTTTGGTGTATCACCGGTGAGCACGGCGGGGGAGAAGTCGTCCAAAAAGAGCAGGCGAAAGAAGAGTTCGGGATGTTGCTGAGTTGTGAAGTGATGTGCTGCTTGGTCAAGAGGATTGACCAAAAAACAAAGTAGAATAGTGCACCATAGAACTTGTGGTTGGATTTGCATGTTTTGCTGAATGTTTGCTGGTCGTTTGGTTGTAAGTGTAGAAAGTGCTGCTTCCAAAGAATCAAGACTTGTTTGGACCATTGAATGTACAGTACCAGACAGAAAGGGCTTCTTTGAGCCATGGAACAGCACGCTTTATCCAGCTGCTTGTAGTGAGCATCGAGGTACCATCATAAATTGACTGCAAAGAACGGTCACTCAGACAGTGCGAAAAAGGTGGCTTGCCTTCTGCATGCAGTCCTGCCAAGGTGTGTTGTCCCGGATTCTTGGCGCTCTGCCCTTCTTTTCCAGAAAGATAGATGTAATTTCACTTCAAGCACAGCTGGAACCACATTTATATGATTTATATGGTAAATGGAGGGGAACGAAAACAACAAGCCAGTCTTTGATGCCATATACCTTCAACCATGTTCCTTACCAGGGCTTACACACCCTTTAGATTGCGTCCTACCAGCACCTCGACTTCGCTTGAACTCTCATGATCTCTCAGTCGACTTCAGTAAACCGTAAACCCAATACCGAGAATAGTGAACCCAAACCCAACAGGAATACAACATAGGTAAACCATGGTAAACCTAGGAGTAAACCCAACTCACCAGAGGTTTTATCTCATTTTATCTCCTTTGGCCCTTCACAAACCTGACGCGTGAGGTCCGGGATAGGCTTCTGGGAGCAGCCTTGAAGGCCCTGCTGAGAAAGGAAGACGAGGTCGGGGCTTAGCGAAGTGTTGGGGGAGGAATTTTCATGTTGAATTGGGGTGACTTAATTATCAACAAATTGGGATTTTCCCATCAAACATGGTGGTACAATGGAATTTGAATGGGAATATCACTGGAAATAATTGGTTACCCTCTGGCAATTCAACACACAGCTCTGGTGAATCAGAGTTTTTTAAATAGGTAAATAGGGTAAATCATCGAACTAAATGACTAAATGGCCCATTTTACCATAGCTATGTTAAATTACCTGAGAGTAGTAATTCCTGGATTGGCATTTATAATCCAACTTATTAGTAAACATGGGATATTACTATTAGTGACACTGGGTTCCTGAATTGGTATTTATTGCACACCATTTAGCATCAACTATCTGGTTTCTTGACCTTACCATACGTTCTTGTAGGCTTTGTCAGTTGTAATGTGCGTTGGTAGCAGCAGATTGTAGAGTCATGGAGGTTGTGGCCAGTTGAGCTGGTAATTGGATAGCAAAGAAAGGCGCTTATCATGAGGGTTTGCTGTTCTAGCGTCCCTTTCCCGAGCCCTTCTCCATTATTGAAATTATTCACAAACAGTATCAGCAAGAGGAACTAGTTGGTTGCAACCCACTATGGAAATCCCGATCAACTCATCAGTGAAACCCATGTGCAACGGGGGTTGGAAAAACTGCCCCAGGTGGCTTCTACTGCTCTGCGCTTCGCAGCAAACTTGACAGCGATGGGTGAACAGCTGGGAGAAGAAGGCTGAGTTGATGGACGACCTGCAATTGTCGCTGAGATACTGTTGTCCAGATTTGGACATAGCTAGACAGAGATCATTGGGCTGGTGATGGTTGGTTCATGTATCTAAGGGAACATTTGCAGGAAACTATCCTTTTTGGTGAACATATCATCCAAATGTATAATAACGTATATATATATATACACATATATATATACATACACAATTATATACATACATACACATGTATGACTATGATACTGTATCTAGGACTATCTTCACCCTCTTTTGCCATCATATTCAGAACAAATCCCGCCGTGCCCCTAGCAGAGCAGGCGAAGACTTGGTGGGCAGCATGTGCCATCGCCTCTTCCGGCTCATGAAGGAACAGCCCAATCTGCTGGCGCGTCTGGGGACCCTGGGGACCCTTTGGTCAAATGTGGTGGAGTTAAAAAAAACAAAAAAAAATCATCCCCAATCTTTATCCAATTTTGGCATTTTGGGATATTTTGGGGTATTATTCTTATTATATATGTAATATTACTATTATTACTATTATTGTTATTATTATTGTCTATGGTAAACCACAACAACGAAAGTCCATGGCCACTGAACCAAACAGCTCTCATTGGGGCTGAGGCAGGGGTGAACTCATCGTGCGGAAGATCTGCGATGGCTTGGTACATCAAGGCCGATGCTGTCGCAGCTTTCTGTGTGGTTTTTTTCGGTCAGTCGCTCCTTGCTGATTTGGGGTTGACCATCTTGCTATTTGGGTATGGGTCAATACCTATAGATACCATTTTGAGTGGGATGAACATCCATTTACCAGCTATTTTGATGTTCACCAGGGGTACAAGGTTTTGACACACTGCCATTTGGCAAGATACCCTTGCTGTTCCATGTTTCGAGTCCAGATCTGGGAATGTATTGACGTAGTGTATGGCAGGGGTGGACGTGCAGCGCTTCTTTGCCCGGGGGCCTCAAAGGGGTCAACGGTCAACAGGCTTGAGTTTTCTATTGGGCGCCTTCTTGGATTGGAGTCCCAGGCGACAGCTGCGAAAGCCATCAACCAGGAGGAGGAGTGTGTGGATGACAGTGACAGGGACGGTCTTCGAGTCTTTGAGTGTGCCAATGGTCTTTCAAGGATGTGCTGGGTTTTGCTTGTGCGTTTGTTTCTTCTGAATGTCCTACCTGTTCCATGTTCCACATGTGAGCTGTAAGAATCGGGCATGGAAATCCCCAAACGTTGCTGCTGGATTGCGGCATGCCTCGTGAGCCCTGGCTTTAGGACAAAGCATTTGCACGGCGTTTGGTGCAGGTCAGCCATCAGGGGAATTCCCTGAAGTGGAGGATTGATTAGTCTCGTGATCTTTTGCAGAGCCGCTTGCTAACCTGTCAGTCTAGAGGCCAATTGTCTGGGTCTATGACATCAGCGAAATATTTTGTTTTGGGGTTGGTATGCAGTCATGTCGCATGGTTTTTGTTGTTTGCTGTTGTCAGTTGGATCGTTTCAGGTGCTGAACCGTGGCTTGCTGACTGGGCCCGAGACCAAAGCGTTTCGTGCCGGACCCTCGGTGGCCCAGAGCTTGCTCCAAGCAGCTGATCACTAAACCGGGTAAGCCGCTTACAGGTAACCATCAACGTGGGTTTGTTTGAAATTATATCCTATATGGGGGTTTCCAAAAAATGGGGCTACCCCCCAGATCATCCATTTTTTTCGATGGGACTTTCCATTTTTTCACCAATCAATTTTGGGGTACCCCCATGACTATGGAAACCACCAGATGGAATAATTGGCTAGATAAACCATCGAGATTTGGGGCCCACATGGGCCCACATCTCAACGAACTTAGGCTTGGTTGCAGCTGGAAGTCCGACGCTGCGAACAGAAGGGTGAGCTCCGACCTGAACTTCAGTGGGCCGGCCCAGAGCAGTGCCCTTCGTCGAGCCAGGAATTGGTTGCAGGGAACATTTATGGTGGAAACATGTGGAAACCCTAAATTTCCGGGTATAGGAAGATGGTTTCCTGCAGATTCTTCCCTTAAACGAATCCATTTATATTGAGCCAAGAAACCATCATTTTGTCGTGATGGTTGGCAGAAAGGGCTCTGACAGTCTCCTGATTCTTGTCGACAACCTTGCATGCTGTGCACGATCATCATATTGAAAGATCATGCATATCTTTGACTAGATGCCAGATATGCCAAAAATCCCATGAAATTTGGATAAGATTCGAATCGAGAGAACTGCACTTGGAGGATGGTCCTGATGGAAGCCTGGATGGTCTGTCCGGTGAGTTCTTTAGCCTTGAGCTTCTGGTTGAACGAGTCGGACAACCCAGACCTGGAGAATGGAGCCACGATTTTCCTGCCCAAAAACGTGGCCAATCTGAGCATTTCATGTGCCAAAAATTAAAGGTTCCGCACTTTGGGCATGTGACATGTGGAGTTTTCTGGGCAGTAGCTACGAAAGGGGCGGGTGAAAAGCAGCACGCTGTCATGTCACACATATTGTGTATCGTAGTGCATCACCATGGCCCAACCGAGAATCAGAACTTCGCGACATGCACTCTTTCCTAGTGGAAGACTTTTGTCATGGGTTTCCTTTGCCATCCATTGCTAGCTCAAGGTTTGAGTTTGCTGCGGGTTTAGCCACGAGGCAAAAGGGGATGCTGCAATAGCCTGGCAATAGCGCCTTTAATTCCTGTGTTTGCTGCTTCATGGTGCACTCAGCATTTCAACAGCACAGCTCTCCCGCTGGTGATTTTGGGCCGCAAAACAGGCTGGCCACGGCACCCCGAACAGACGAGATTGAGGTGGCCTGCCTTTTGCATTGGGACAGTTCATCATGGTTGAGAAGACCTTTATTCAAACAACCCTGAAAGGGTTTGCTGCATTTATGTCTGAGATACAAATTCTCAATACACCCACAGTTCATCGATCACATCATTCATATACATGCTGGACCTTCCTGCAGACAGGATCGGTCCTTTGTAGATTGTTCTGGACCGATCATGATCCATCAAACTCATTGGGCTTTCTCTGAAAACAGGGATCAGTACCCCATTCCATCCCATGGATTTATCTTCATTTCTCCCATTCTTTCAACGCAATTTTGGAGGTTCATCATGGTTAATGCCCCATTTTCAGACACACCCATTTTGGATTCCAACGGATCCCCCGGCATAGTTCAACTCAACGAAACCGATGGGTGCAGCAACTCATCAGCGATTGCCGAGGCACAGCTGAAAGACTTCGTAGAGCTCTTGGAATCCCCTGCCTGGCGCCACAGCTGACACAGCTGACTATGCTCAGATGAGTGGTGGAAAGTTTGCATCTGTACCCTGATAGTTTCATCAAGTTTCATCCATTTCTTAATCTGAGGCATTCGTGGATATTGGTGGGATGTTTGTTGACTACAAGCAATCCCTAGGTTCCTTCTTATGTTTCTGGGGTGATATGGAATCAGTCCGCTCTGAACCCTCTAGCATTTGCTCGCCGTCTCGTCCCAGCCCTTTTTGGCTCCATGAGGTTGGATGTTAAGCTCGGGGTTGGTCACCGCATGCAAACTCCATCAAGATGTAATATTGGAAAGACACTAGCTTAACATGTGGTAGATTTCTTTCTGCATGGCACAGGTTCTCTTTCTTTGTGCTTGGCCAGATCCCTGTGCGACTGCTGGCTGCGGACCATTCGCCATCGATGAAGCTGAAGTGCTTGCCGCGAAACCAGCCATGGGCGTCCAAAGATGAAGAAAACAATCTGTGTATCATGAGCTGGAATGTGCTGGCACCCACCCTGGCGGAGGCATTTTGGTCGAAACATTGCTATTAGAAACTTTAAATTCTCCAAGAGGGTAAAACTCTTGCTGCTCTACACCATGGCACTGGTTGGTGTCAATGGGTTCGTCTGAAAATAGGATTTGCCACCAAAATGTCATGGTTCATCATGGTTCATCATGGTTCATCATCATTTTCCCCGTATTTTTTCCATGCAGACCTGGCCGGGGCAGAGAGAGTTCCGGGAGGAGCGCCTGGCCGCGCTGCTGGAAGTCTTGGTGCCTTGGGCATCATGCAATTTACCGGTTATACGAGCTATATATCGTGGTTATATGGGGACATAAGCCAGTGATAAATGGGATAAGTTCACTTTGGGGACTTGCTAGCCAGGGTTATTTGTCAGTTAGTCACTGGGATGATCATCCAAGTATGAGCGGGGTGCAAAAGGGTACTGCCATTTATTGGACTTTACCAAGGAGTAGCCACCGGGTATGCCCAAAAATGATGGCCACCTTTCAAAAAACATTGTTTTCCATGAAGTGGTCATTTCTCGGAAAGTCCCGCAATTTTTGGCTGTTTGCTACTGATATCAACGCTGTACGCTTTGGTACCTTGCCGTGGCTTCTGATCCAAGGACCTCTATGCCTCCTGTGATATCGTATGTCTGCAAGAGCTAGAAGTAGGTGCTTCAGCGGCATTCAGAGGATCTCCAGTTGATTGTATTCTTGGTGCTTGGTAGAAGTTTGCATCTCAATGTAAGACAAACCAGATTTCTCTTTGCTGCAGCTGCGGCGACTTTTGACGAGTCGAGAAACTTGGCATTGCCTAGAGGAGATCCTCCACTACTGGAACATTTTTGGAGATACCTTTCAGGAATTCCAACGTCTAGTAGGGCCCTCTCCACAAAGACTTGACCATGGCCTGTTTCAGGAGTTAGTGAATGTCCCATTTCAGGAACCTTCAAACATCATCAACGGCATCAAACGGCCTCATTTTTTTGGATCCCCCAAGACGGGTGATGTCTAGGTGGGACAGCCGTCCTGAAAACCAAGGCATCTCCCTGGAGCTGGTGCAGAGCTTCTTGGAAGAGAAGGGTTTTGATGTGGCCGTACAGGACCGCGAAGGCCATTGGGCGAAACCATTGGGAGGATCATCCCAAGTTGGAACTGGTTGGTCACTGGGGTTATATTTGATCATATTATATTATTATATTATATTTATAACCTGGTAACTGGTTTTATAACTGGGGTTTATTTGATCATAACCAGGTTATAAACGGGAGACTCCCATTCCACTAAAGAGTGGATGTTGGAGTGATTTGAGGATAATAGCAGTGCTAGAGGGACTTTGTCTTCCGCATCTGCCTGAAATTTCGGACGGCCTGGACTTGCGAAGTTCTTTGCTCACAGCATTTCACCGACGATCGTAATTTTAGTTAAGGTGAATCTCACGGTGCCTGCGAGTCAGCCCCAGCTTGCAGTGCAATTGTTGTTTCGTACATGAGTTTGTCTGAAAGCAGGGTATGCCGAAATCCCCATGTTTCATCCTCCTCCTTTTGTTTAATGGCAATATAGGGCTAAATCCACAATTTTCAGACAAACAAACAAATCAAGTTGCTTACAGTAGTTACATCAAGTTACATGTCATGAGTCATATCGATTTTTATCCCCAACAAAATTTACCACTATGGTTAGTTATATCCTGTTGATCCTATTTGATCCTCATAAAATGCAGATATTCCCATGGTATCCCCATGTCTCATCATGTCTCCAGGTCACCCAGTCATCAATGCCACCTTCTTCCGCCGGTCCCTTCTTCGTCTCAGCTGGGCCATTTCGCGCTCGCGAATTTTGCTCACTGGCCTGTTGCTGCCGAGTGGTCACGAGGAGGGGGTGCTGCAAAAATCTGGACACCCTGTTGTTTCAATAACCAAGAACTTGGATGATATCTTGGGCAACAACATTGCTCAAGAACCCCCAATTTTCTTTAGCATTTTTTTCGAAACCATTATCAGCCATTACGCCAATCATCATTTTGATTATAGCGTAGGCAACAAGCATGTCCTTGCATCAATAGCTTCGCCCAATGTCTTTGAGCTCAGCAGCCAGCACCGTCTTCGTGCAGGTCTCCGTGATGAATGTCCACTTGGATTCGAAGCAACAAGATCAGAGGGCCGCACAACTGACAAAGTCTCTGCAAAAGATGAGCATGGCGAGATCGAGCCCCTGCGCAAGACTAAACACAGGGCCATGAAATCCAAGTTTGATCCTCTAAACTTTGGCAATCGCATCTGATGAGTGTCAGTGTCAGTGTGTGTATGTGTGTGTGTGTGTGTCTAAAACGCACAATGACATGGGTATGGATAGTGCATAGACGTGATGTTCTACCATGGAAGGAAAGTGAAAGAAAGGTGTCCTGATATCTTGCGCTGGTGCTGCATTCAGTGGGGCTTTTCCTTTGGCCAAAGTCACGACAAAATTCATCCAACTGGGTCTGTCTGAAAATGGTGTATACCCCCCACATGGTACTTTTAATGGGGAACATGATGATTAACCATGATCAGCCAATGGATTTAGAGGCATCCTATCTTCAGACAAACATAACTGAGGACATACCAGGTGGTTTGCGGTGACTTCAATACCAATCTGGCGCTGGATACTCACCTCAGTGATCTTCTGGCTGAACATAGGCTGTTACTTGACTCGAGGTCCCGAGGTCCTATCTGGGACCCTGTTAATGCATCTAGTTGGGTATGAAACTTGGTTCCCATCCCTTCTGTTTTTTGGTGTTTTTCCAGATGTTTGACATACATCCCCATGATTCGACCGACTCAGCGGACTCAGCCAAGGTTTCGCACACCAACCAAAGGCCGAAAAAAACACCTGGGGCTCAAAGGGCGAAAAAAGCTTGAGATTTCTAGATCCAACAAGTCGATTCGCTCAAGACGCCCAACTGTTGGTGAACAATCAAAATAAAGATGAGGTTCTATGGGGATAATCAGGATGATTGATGACATCCATTATCACTACTGTATGTGAAGATAGTCATTGTATGTAATCATGTCATTATCAACATTACCTTTTGTGTTGCCAGTTCTGATCACAATGAAGGATACCTACATTTAGCAATTATGATAGTAGCAACAACCACTTTTGCGGTTCTACAATTGCGGTTCTGCAATGGTAGCAATAACCATATTGCAGAATCGTTGCACTGCTATTAGACATTTTATTAAAAACATGATTGCCCGTTTCATTTTTTACTGCTATTACTATTACCCGCCCATGATTGTACCCGTGAGTGTTTCTCAAAGTTGGGCTACCCCTTGTCACCATTGGTTTCTGTATTGGCCGCCATTAACAACTATTAAACAGTATTGAAACGACTATCAACAACTATTGAATTTTTATTAACCTCTATTAACCACTATTAATCACCATGAACCCCTCTCCACCATCCCAGCCATCCTTGGCCAGGCTTCACTCACAGCTTGGGGTCAGCCTTGGACCACCTTTGCAGCACCCAGCATTTGGCGCCTCGACGAGTGCTGCAGCCTGCGTCCCAACGCCACCTGCAAGGCCTACCCAACAAGGAGCGATCAGTGCTTGCTGTTGGTCAACACATAATGAATGGGATATATGAATATATATATATAAGTATATATATATGATTATATTTATATATATGTACATATATATATGGTATTATAATGGGATAGTAACCATATAATTTAATGTGATATAATATGATAAAATGGGAGATAATTGGATTAGTTGATGTGATATTAATGCGATATATTATTTTTATATTATGGGAATATCTAACGGGTATATATATATTGTATATATATATATTGTTTGGACCCCCCCAAAGTCAAAGGTAGATGCTGAAAAGTTTGACACCTGAGACATCAGTAGGAAAAACATCATCGACCAACCATCTTGGAACCGTTTTTTTCAATCTTTGGGGTGTGCTTTGATACGAGCCACTGGTTCGGAGGAAGTGGTTCGGAGCTATGGATATCCATATTCAACATGAAATGAGGAACCAAGGAGCTACGAGTTTCCCAGCCAGCATGGCAGTTGAAGAAATGTAAATGGTATATTTCATGGGGATATTTAATGTGATATTTCATGAGATATAACCAACAATGGGCATTTTCACCATGAGAATTGATTTGACCACCAAAGTGGGGATATACTTTTTTGATGAATGATGGTTGGTTGCAACGGTTGATGGCTACAAGCTGGTTTTATTTTTTGGGACGCGCAAACGAGGCCATACAGGAATTTTCACCCCCCAGTTATGGCAATTCAAGTGGAGAAAATGATGATTCACGATTGGTATAACACACTATATACGGTACATGTCCCATTCTTTGCACAAACCCATGTGCTGAATTTGGTGAACTTGGTTTGAAGGAGTGTCCGTCGGACCATCTGCCAGTGGCCGCGACCTTTGAGCTTCTCCTTCCTCAATGGTGCTCCGGCAGCATGGGTATAACATCTATACCACCCATTCGGGTTGTGGTGCCATGGGGGCCTCGTCTGATCCACTAGGGTTTGACTATCAGTTTGATAGGAATTCATAATATGATATCATCCGACTTCTTTGATTGGTTAAAGGAAAAATCTAGAGGAAACCATTCTTTTTACCACCAGTGATAGGGGTTTCCTGTAGATTCTCCCTTAAACCCATCCAATGAAATCCGTATCAAACCAACCAGTTGAAACCGCAGCAGGCAATGCCCTGCTCTTCCGGTGGCAAGGCTGCCGCCCCAGCTGCTGATGGAATGGTCCGAGCTGTTAGCGTTGGGTCTGCGGAGCAATAGCAGCAAGAAAGCCCGGAAGGAGCAGAAACAACTGGAGGAGACCTGGAGTATCCAAAAAGTGGCCAGCTTGCTGGGTATCATTTGTGCTTAAACAGATTTGTGGAGGTTTCATGTCTTCCAGTTTTCAAACCTGGGATCATCAGTTTTGTATCCCGTTAGATCACATTAACTATCTCCATTAGATATCCCATTCAATATACCATTAAGTATCTGATGAAATATCACCCTGATGAGGTCAATATTAATAACTTCTAAATCTAGTCCATTAGCTATCTCATTGATCATTAAATAGTCCCTGAAACATTCCATTAATAGGCCTATATGTTAAATATCCCCATTCAATATCCAATTGGTAACTGTAGATACCTCATTAAATATATCATCATCAGTTATATATTCTCATTCATATTCCCATTTGATATCTCCATTTTCCAGTATACTCCATAGAATTGGATGATGGGAAAATTTACAGGAAAACCCTATATTTGATGGTAAAAACCATGGTTTCCTGTAGATTTTCCCAGCCAATCCAGTGATTCCAGTATAATCCATCGTCCAGCTCAACCAAACCGCCAGGAGAGCTTCCTATCGTCCACCTCCCCGGACCTCTCCTTGGAGCTGACCCGTTGGCGCGACGCGCGCCGCGAGGCGGCCCAGGCCATCTGTCGCCGCGCCGTGGAGCAGGCGCTGGTGCTGTTGAGGGCGATGCCCACGCTGAAACGATGGGATCCCGGCTGAAAAATGGGGGTAGAACTTCAGATTCACAATACATATGTGGGTTTTTAAATCTTAGAACAATCAGAACAATCATACTATGAACATCTGGGCGTGACATAGTTTAAAATCGCGTTTCTTCGCTATTTTGAGCCAAACCCCCTGGTGAATCTGAATGAAGCACCTTTGATTTTGATCAGAGGACTGGCAAGATTTACACCGGAAAGATGATGGACTTGAATGGACCATGACTTCAAATCTTGCAGTCTTCTAGCTGCCTAGCTCTACTTCCTGTGTACAGTGTACAGTACGTATGAAGCGCCCATCGACCAAACTGCAGATTTGGAGAAAAACGGCGTTCGGGGTTGGTTTTTCCAGCAAAACGGATACAATTTCTCTGCTTTCCACCAACTCGGATCCAGAAATTCTTGGTCTGTTTAGTCTATGGCCTTCAGAAATTAGGCTTCGAAACCATGTGAGACCTCTTGAACACGCGAGGGAAATGGAATTTTGTGTCCCAAATTTCAAGCGTTTCCCGTGGCGCCAAGTGTCCCACGATGAGGTCTTTAGCGAGCTACGGCTGCAGATGTTGGGAGCATTGCAGTTCGAGAGCCCTGTTTCAACGGTTCTGATCAGCTGACTGTTCACCAGAAAAACTGATTATTCATATTCATAAGATGGGTTTGGCATATTTTTCCTATATTTGATTATATGATACTACAGATGTATCATATGATATATATATATAATATATATATATATAATATATACATATATAATATAATATATATATATAAAGCTATCTAGGATGGGGCGACTGCTGTTGGCCTTGGAAAGCCTTTGCAAAAGTTCCTTTGTTGCTTTTTTTCGTGGACAAGCAGATGATCAACATGGATTCACGGTTGCAAAACTTATGACTGCACCTTCTCACTTTTTCCATGGTAACTTTGGGAACAACTAATTCTGACAATTTCGTTCCCACAGGCCTTGTTTTGTTTGTCTTGTTGGGATGCTTGCAGAGAAAAAACATGTGTGCGCCTGTGTGCGCCATTTTTCCATCCAGTCCCTGCACATTATTTCTACGTATTTCTACACATTTCCACCCCAACTTGCAGGGCTCTTGCAGTCTTGCACATGTCTACATACAATCCACTCACAGGGCCGAAGCCTGCATGCTCAGGCACCGCTCAGCCTTGCTGCGTGCTATGCTGCAATTGGGAGCCCTGCTTCCCAAGGAGCCCTATTTCCCAACGTGTTCATTTGTGGGGTTCACATGGTTTAAACATCCATGGAGTTGAACCATCATTGATGACTGTTCCCCATTGATGGTTGTTTGACCTGGTGTTTGCTAGGAGAAATGCATCCAGGGCCGCTTGCAAGTGCTGGAGACGGGTGTCTTGCTGGACAGGGTGACAGTGCGCGGCTTATGCCAATTTTTTTTGGGAGAAATATCGCTGTTGAGATGGCGTGTTTTGAGACTTTATCATCAATAACATATGTATATATATATATATCTATATATCTCTATATATATATATGAATATCTCCGTGCAAATAGCATGGTGTTTCTTTATAGTCGGGAGCCATCGTATATCATCCACACATTTTTCACATAGGTTTTGATTCACTCCTGGAGCCCAGGCCAAGGCCAAGGGGACAGGGCCATTCCGAGAGTGCTGCAAGCAGGCGAGTATCTGTCAGATCTGCAAGAAAGCACTTAAGAATGAACATTTATAAGGAACATTAATGAAATCTATGAAATAGAATGATAATTAACAATGAATTGCCAATATTCCAAGACATTCAGGTGTCTCTTGATGCTGGGGTTTGAGCTCAAAAGGGAGTGCAGTGGATGATGTGTATGCCACTTTTGTGGGCCCCTTGAAGGCGCAGGATTTGTTGGAACGCTTTGATGAGGTTTGTGAGCGGGATCACCGCTGGAAGGATTGCATCCTTTGAGTCTTCTTTCAGCTTTCAAGTGCAAGTTGACTCTTCCTTGATTTCCTCTACTTTGATGCATGGAGGGGCCTGGTGATGTCTTTCTTTTGCGTCTACTTGTATCCTTCCTCTACTTCAACTTGCCGGCTTCGGCGTCCAAAGGCGGCGCGGTCCGGTCCAACTTCCATTTTTTCAATGGTGTCCAAAGGTGACACCTCGTTCACTAAGATCGGTTTTGACATAAAATCTTCGCAGTAGGGCATATGGATGTGGTTGAGGACCTTGGGGGATTCAATTCAGCAATGTGGTGGGTGGTGGTTTGATACATATTTCATCATATTTCCATTTTTCAACCATAGAATCATAGAAACGGGATTATGATCCCCAATGTCAATGAACAATCCCCGTTTAGTTCGACACTTTTCCCTTTAAAATCAGTTCTGTTGGGGATTTCCCATGCCATGTTTGATCCCCAATGACAACCAGCAACGCTTTTCTGGCTCAAGTGCCGATTAGCGCAGATCGGCGAGTGTTGCTCACTAACTGGCTGGCCAACTCGGCTGCGTGGCGGATCCCAGAGGGACATGGGTCAATGGGGTACAGCCACCATAGCCATCAAGTAATGGGGATGATGACCAATGACAATCCATTAGAAAATAGGGTACCCCATTTTCCACATGTTTTCTGGTAGAGAAGGGCGACCTTTTCTGCGACTCATTGGATGCCTTGGATGATGCTGTCTGGATTTCTTGCGCTCATTACTCTTGAAATCTTTTGAATGTGAACTGAATGAACTGGAGTTATTGGCCTTGCCAGAGTCATGCCTTTCAACCAGGGCAGAAGACTTGATTCGTATGATTTCTTTTGGTCGACTCGTGGATCTCAGCTTTGCCTAGGCCAGAGAGGCCTGGTCGGCCTCAAGTCATGACCAGCAGATCAAGAGCTAGCGTTTTGATAGGGAGTGTGTCATTTTCATGTTTTGAAGAGAGAGAATTGGTGCAGGGAAATTGCAGATTTTCTTTTTCAGACCATCCTGCCTATAGCAATTCCATGTCCAATCGTTTCAGCATCAATCTCAAGCTGTTGCCGAAGCTGTCTGGCTCCCTAGCCATCAAAGATCATCCCGCAACAGAGAGCTCAGGACCAGCTGCATTGAGGGGTCGATTATGTCATAGTCGATGTTTATTTTCATCTGCTGAGGCTGGGAGGTTTCAGGCTGAAACAAATCCACTGAAATGTAGAAAGACTCAGAAAGACTCTTGTGGGGGGCTCTTACCAAAGCAGGTTCGGTTGTAGTGGTGTGGCTGGGGCTGCCTGCATTCCAGAAACATCTACATATAGTCCAATCCAGCTACTTTGATATCAGTCACTACTTACCCTCAAGAAATCAAAGGGATCAATAGGGATCGGAAGAAGCAGCGGCCGGGCAAACAACAACGAGAAAGAATTCCAAGACAAGACATGATGATATCACCGAGCATCTGCCTACCATCCATGTATCATTCATCTCAATTCCACAACTCCAAGAGAAATTTCAGAAATGAGATGAACCCATTCAGCCCTCAGGACCATGTCGTTTTGGGGCTGCATCGTGCCTCCAGGGCAGTCCAAGAAGGTGTGGATACCCTGCAGTAAACATCGCAGCAATTCTAATGAGATTAATGAGGAAGATAACGGTAAACCGGTAAACCACTTAGTTTCGGGTTGCTTATTTTCCAATAAATCCAACGTGGCAGTGGAAGGATAGCCAGCTTTCTCTTTCTTAGCCCTTTGCAGCTTGCATCGGCCTTCCTGGAGTCTCAGAAACTCGACGCTTCCACTGGTAGTTAGCTGCAGCTAGATCATTTGATTCGGTAAAACTGTACGGGTGGTTGGGACCTGCAAAGGATTTGCAACTCATACGACATGTGGGTTGTCTCATGGATAACCTCGTCTATCATCATCAACCTGATTATAATCATGGATGATTAATCATCATGTCCCATGGATTTCCAATATTTTCCATGTATCAAACCCTGGTGAATCATCATGGGGTTTTCCTAGTGCCGTCTTCACAGGTGGAGACCAGGGCTGGAGAACTTCTGCACTTGTCGCAGGCCCGTGATTCTTCATTGAGGATCGGCATCGATCCATTTCTTTTGGGATTCATCGACCCATAGCTAAGGATTCTCACTATGACAATTCATCCCCAAAATTTGGGTATGGATCAATACCTATTAATACCATTTTTAGTGGGATGAACATCCATTTACCAGCTATTTTGATGTTCACCAGGGGTACAAGGTTTTGACACACTGCCATTTGACGAAAAGGGAGGTTTGCTATTATGAGCTTAATTCTTCTGGTCCTTGGATGCAGAAATGGAAAGGTCTTGCTACAAGATAAGCGACGGAAAGGCATCAATGATCAGTGAAAGATAGGCCAATACCTTGGGACAGGGGGAATGAACACCCCATAGCCAGTAGCATCTGGTAGTTCCTTTGCTGTGAACATCCACGTTTTAACATGTTTTAAGCCATCCCAGGTATCACACGTGCATCCCTCGCGAGTTTATTAAACCAGGCGTGTTTGGCGCCTGACACCCCGAACGGAGCATCCTCCAAAGTGCTTGTGGAGCAGGGCGGTGCGGAGCTTACCCCTTGATGGATTTGATGTTGGCTCCATTGGTGAATTGGTTGATTGTTAGCCTCCATTAAAATGAAATAGCTATGGTATAGATGGCCCATTTGGTTCGATGATTTACATATCAAACATGGTTACTTTCCAAAGTTACGTTGAATTACTAGTGGGGAAATATTGGGACCATGGGTGAATTGGTCAATAGTGGTCGATGATCAAGTTGGTGTTAAGATGTATTAATACCACAGTTGATTTTGCTAGTTTGATTGGGACTGAAGCGCATTTAAACCATTGATTCATTGGTTGATTGGGAGCATTGACTAATTGGTCAATTGGGACCAGTGTGGAATGCGTGAGCCCGGGCAACTCTTAAGTGGATTCCATCGGGACGACGGATTCTGCTATTGGTGAATAGGTGAGTTGGGATGATTCCTCGACTCTATGATTGGTTAAATTATGTTAAATTGCTTAATTGGGACTACTTGGGATGATTGTTGTTAACTGGGACCACAGGGCAGGAAGTTTGGATCTTTGCAGCAACTTCCTGTCAGCAGTTTGTGCTCAAAGCATAAGAGCCTCACAACCCCAAACCCGTGTTCTCCGAGTCCGAAAATGTGAGATAAGCCAAAACAAGTTCAAAAATAGTGAGGAAAATCATCATAAACCATCAGATTTTGGGGTCAGACAAACCCGGTGAACAAATGCGGGAACTGCCAAAATCAGCGAAGAAGCCATGGAAAGTCGCGAATCGCCAGAGTGGTCATTGCAGGACTCGGAGGTGGAAGATCTACGGCCCCCGGCGTGCAGCTTGCTGATGCAAAAGAGAGAACATGGTGGAGGATTATAACTTGGCAGATTGACCACCATCAAAATCTGACATTTTTAATGAACATTAATGAACCCAATACTTTGATATACCGAACGTAAAGCACATGTAATAGCAAACAATTCGGGATCTAGCACTGGATGCCTCGTTTTCCAGCCAAGGCACCCATCCGTTGATCTGTCTACCGCTCCTAAGCCTTCTGTCAACTGCTTCTGCACTCTGTGGCCTGGTGATGTAGATTTCTTTCAACTTGCAGACCGCACAAACTAAGTTGCCCTGTCTTCTATGGACTTAGCTGAAACTAAAGCTTCAGAAGGTGAGGTTCTACGGCAAAGGCTGCAGATCCAGGAGACAGATTCTAAATGTCTGAACAAGCGGATTACACACATAGGTGACATTGGTAACTAGTATGCTTTGCTTAGATTGATAACATCATCTCTTCCACCCCCCTAAGGTTTTGGTGCGGTCTCCCACCGTGCTGCAGTGGTGTCAACCTTCATAGCAGCAGGGGTGGCATCTGCTCTCGTTGGCACATGGCTGTTTGGCTGTAGGTGGGATCGTCCAAAAATGTGGAATTTATGTACGATCCCACCTGAGATATTGATGATATTGCAATTCTGATGGATTGATTTGCAATGGATGATATTCCACAATGTGGATTCATTGGAGTTTATTCCATATGAGGTTTGAAACAATGGGATTGATTTGCAGGCTTCATATTAGGAGGGTTCTTAGAATTGGGGACCTTCAAACCAATGGCTTACCCGTTGAAAATTCACCTTTTAACAGATTTAACAAACCCTCAGGTGCTTTCTGAACACCTCCAAGAAACCCTCCTACCTGGTGGACACCTTAGAGCTGCCCTGTGGGGGCCAGATCCTCATGTCCAATGCGCCAGGGAAGTATCGGACTCCTGGAGCTGATTTATCTTAATCCACCATTGAATAGGGCTGAATAGGGGAATCTACCGCTATCTACCGGTCATGTTTTCCAACTTTTGGTGAAAATGAGAGGATGATCTCCAAGGCCATTTCCATTTTTCAGGCTCAGCAGTTTTTCCAAGGACGGTGGAGGAGGATTTGTCCAAAGTGAAGGCCCTAAAGGCCAGCTCAGTGGTAACGCTGCTCTCATCGGAGGAAATGGAGATTTTGGGGATGACTCACATGGGCCCGGCTGTGGAGGCCAAGGGAATGAGCTGGCACCATTTGGATCTCCGGGACAAGTGGATTCCTTGGGATTCTTTGATGTGCAAGGAAGAATAAACTCTTGTCTTTTGTACATACATAATTATACAATATTATACAGATATGATGTGTATTTATAATTTTATAATTATCTATATTCTTGTTCACTTGGTTGTTTGGTTTCCTTTTGTTCTGTATGTGACTTTCAAACAAGCGACATTTTACATCAGAATTGAAATCATCTCTGCCACTGTCAATGTGCCACTTTCAGCCCAGATCTGAAAGGATTCCGAAGCGTATCTGCATGATTTGGTGCTGCCCTTGGTTCACCGCCTGCAGTCTGGCCAACGAGTTTTGGTACACTGCAGTGGTGGCAAGGGACGCACCCTGGCACTTCAAGAGCAGGTTTGAAAGTTGTCCATGTTTAGTTTCAGAAACGATGAGTTTCTTTTGTTGATTGCTGTTGCAAAATTCCTTGATGAGTTGAAATTGCAACTTTCGGATAGTTTTGAGTGAATGCAGTTCTTGCTCCAAGAAATTTCCACTCTGATCCAATCATTTCTATCGCAGTTCATGGCACTTACCAGGCACAGGTACCCTGGTTGCTGCACTGTTGATGACCTCTGCTGGGGGCCATCAATCCCTTTGTTCTGCCATCGCTTCCATGCGCGCAGTGCGGCCGGGGATGTTGAAGAACCCCCTGCAACAGCTCTACTTGTTGCACCTCAGGAACTGCTTGCTGCAGATTTGATGCTGACCCCCGAACAGACGGGTGACTCACTGCAAGACTCAATGAGAAGAGGAGTCGCCGAAGCAATCCGAAGCAAGATTGCTTGGTGGATCTACGCACTTGCCGGACTAGGCCACTGCAGTGTTCATAGGTGACCTGAGTTGTGAAACACGGAGAAGCTCAGCTTCCAGTCCTTATGAGGAAACTGTCAGCATGAGAGAACCAAGATGAGGAAGCTTAAAGCCGCTGAAGCCGATCTCACCCGCCAATGCCAAGACAAAAAGCTTCAGAATTCACTCATGGAACATGCTTCACCCATGCAGTTCATACAGCACCTTTTAGTCATAATTGCTGGATCCCAGAGCTCCCTCGGAGGATGTCGGCATGGGTCAAAAGCTGGTTCTCAGATAGGGCCCTCACATGAAAATAGCTGGTAGTAGATGTGAATCCCTTGATGCATAGGGAAACTCATAGGTTTTGACCCATCCCAGATGCCCCAGGTCCCCCAATATACCATGCCCTCCTAAGCAAGGTCAGTCCTATGCCGTGGCCTGCCTGAAGGAAGGTTCCCAGGAGACCTTTGTTTTGATGGTTCACCCCCTGTTTCTTGATGGGCACCACATCCCCATCTTTGTCGATCCTGCCATTAAAAAGGCTGTTCACTCCCAATCTTGTGCTACTCAACCTCTTATTCTTGTGACTTGAAGTCATATTTCTGCCATTTAATATCACTTAATCATGCATCACCCTTTTTCTGCCATTGGTTAAGCGCTCTATATATATATATATCTGAGTAGACTATAACGACCTCACTGCGACATCACTGGAATGATAGTTAGTAGTGGGAACTATCCCAGATAGAGAGAGAGAGAGAGAGAGACAGAGAGAGAGCGAGAGAGTGTCAGAGAGCCCTTCATTTCAGGCCAGTGAATTCTTATAATTTACCCAGATATATCCATACGTATATATATATAATATAGATATTATATATGTATATATATATATGTATATGTTCATGCATTATATACATAAATATCTCCACTATCATGGGTCTCTTGAATTCGTCACCCAACATTAGCAGTGCCCATTTCTGTTGTTAAGTTTCTGGGCGCTGGAGGAGTTCTGCGCGCTGGACCTCTTTCTGGACGCCAAGGAAGCCAAGTTGGCCGTGAAGGGCAAGGCCAGGGGCCCATGGCCGCCATGACCCATGGATGGGGGTGTAGAGTGGGGATACAAAAACATATGTATGTATGTATGTATAATGTAATGTAATGTAATGTAATGTAACGTAACGTAACGTAACGTAACGTAACGTAATGTATATATATATATATTATGGGGATAAGACAAACTAAGTCGGATCAATTCATAAATTGGATAAATCGGGTAAATGGGATTGCTATCACTTTGATGATGTTTGTCTCAAAGTGGGGAAGACCCAAGTTCATGGAAGTTTTATTGCGAATAATGGTGATCAACCATGGGGTTTTGGGATTCCAAATTCTAAGACAGTCCTACTTGTAAGGATTGATTGGATAGATTCCACTGATTCTTTGGTGAGGTCTAATCCGTGGGTCCATTGGACCCGCATGTTTTGCGCCACGGATCAGGCCACAGTCCACTTGACTGGATACTTCGAGGCTGATGACGATGATCTGAAGGCACGGTTGGTGGACCAGGGCGGTCCGTGCCAAGATTGGTTGGCCAACTTGGGCCCCTTGAAGACTCCAGTTCTCAACAGAAAAATGGCAAAACAATTTAGACTACTTTGCCGAGGATGTGTTGGGTCTTTCTCAGAGCATCTTAGAATTGAGTTTTGCTTGGAGGAGGATGATGCGCCACCACCTCGTGCCAGGGCACCCATGGGGCTATCGGCTGGAACTGTCGCACAAGCTACATAGTGCTATCATATCCCTCAAGCAAGTTGTTTCATTACAAGGAGATAGAACCCACCAATTGATCTCAAAGCAGAGTGGTAGCACGATGTCGAACGTGCTATTCTTAATTTTCAAGTCCAGGGACCAAAGTTCAGATGCCCGAAAGGAAACATATACTTCTGAAAAGATACCCTTTGATCATCTCAACATTGATCATCATAGTTGCAATTCAATCAATCCAACATAGATGTAATTATATATATTCATAGTTACACAACTACATAGATGTCATAGATGTCGTTATAATCTAAATCTATTTTTATAGTTAAGTTAAAAGCATATTCTATAGTCCATGAGTGAAGTAATCCATAGTAAAGTCATATCCTATAGTTATATTCCATTATTCACTCATGACACTCATATCCTTTGGATACTCCGTAGTTATAGCATATATACTCGTGTTATGGATATAATATCCATATTACAACATATTATATATACATAATATATATAATATATAATATATATAATATATATAATATATATAATATATATAATAGATATAATAGATATAATAGATATAATATATATAATAGATATAATAGATATAATAGATATAATAGATATAATAGATATAATAGATATAATAGACATAATAGATATAATATATATAATAGATATAATAGACATAATAGATATAATATATACAATAGATAATATATATATATATCTATATTATCCTATAGTTATATTTATTTCATATGGAATATCCATAGATTTTTGTGGATCACCAAGGCCTCGCCGAAGGCAGCCCCCAAGGCCTCGCCCAAGGCCTCCCCCAAGGCGGAGGCGAAGGCTTCCCCAAAGGCCGACAGTCCCGACCTGGGGAGATAATTGGTGTATCTTGGAGTGTATTATAGGGATAGATAGTATATATATATATATATGTATATGTAGATATGTAGATATATGTAAATTCCTAATCACATATATATATAGATAGCTAAGCAACTGTATAGTGTTGATATAATGGGAATACAATGGAGATACAACCAACTCGACATAGGTGATAGGGAATTTTGGTAAAACGGGAAAACCAACCACAAAGGAATATTATAGAATATAACTTAATATAACTATATAAACAATACGACATGGGTGTGTCTGAAAATGGGGTGTACCCCCAAAATGATCACTTTGATTTGGGAAATGATTGTTGAGCAGTCGATTTAGGGGTACCCTACTTCTTGCGACCAACCATTATCATATCAACATACTTCATATGTTTATTGTAGTACGATGTATTACATGTACATACAATATACATATTACCTTCATTCTGCTGCTTGATGCTTCTCCAGCTCATTCACTGTTGAAGAAAGGAATATATTGCTCCCAAGCAAGATGTATATATTCATACACATACATATACACATTTATATGTATACATACGTTTATAAATGTATTTTTGATTCCCCCGACTTCAGCCTGCAGTCATGCTGACTGCATCCCCTTCTGCTGTCAGGCCTCGCCAAAGCCTGCAGCCAAAGCTGCCGCCATGCCAGAGGAGGCCCTTTATCAGAGGGCCATGGTGACCTACAGATTCTTATATATAATTGTTGGATTGGTTTAAGGGGAAAACCTACAGGAAACTATGTATTTTTTTGATACCATCAAATACTGTATTATGGGGAAAATTCATGTAACATTTCCCTTAAACCAATGCAATGGATATGACTTGCAATTAACATTGGGCGTAATGCCAGTTTCAATAACCCCACCTGGCCAACTGGGGAGAGTGACTTTTCTTGGGTTCACCCGTTGTTTACCACATATTTTTCCGTAGCATTGTCAAGCTTTGGAGCAGATCAGTTGATGTCCGCTCCTGAGGATGACGATGATGATATGATGGAAGACGAAGAAGGAGAGGAGGAGGAGCCGAAAGCAAGCGATGAGGCAGGACAAGATAGACACGAGAAGGGTTTCAAAAACCACTTTGGCCAATTATTTACTTGGAAAAAGGTGCAACATTTGACATTTGGAATCTTTCGGAATCAACTCGTTTACACACTTGCTGCTTTTGGTTGACATCACCTTTTTGCGACCCCTGAGGTTGTGAAGACCAAGGCGGCATCCCCAAAGGTAGAGCCAAAGAAGGCATCTCCAAAGGCACAACCCAAGGCATGGCTGGCTGAACAACTTGTGAGGGATTTTGGGGACCTCCCAAGGCTGTAGCTTGCCGACATACAGGGCTACAAAGGGACAACTTGTGAAGAATTTTGGAAACCTCCCAAGGCTGTAGCTTGCCGACATACAGGGCTACAGAGGGACAACTTGTGAAGAATTTTGGGGACCTCCCAAGGCTGTAGGTTGCCGACATACAGGGCTACAAAGGGACAACTTGTGAAGAATTTTGGAAACCTCCCAAGGCTGTAGGTTGCCGACATACAGGGCTACAAAGGGACAACTTGTGAAGAATTTTGGAAACCTCCCAAGGCTGTAGGTTGCCGACATACAGGGCTACAAAGGGACAACTTGTGAGGAATTTTGGGGACCTCCCAAGGCTGTAGGTTGCCGACATACAGGGCTACAAAGGGACAACTTGTGAAGAATTTTGGAAACCTCCCAAGGCTGTAGGTTGCCGACATACAGGGCTACAAAGGGACAACTTGTGAGGAATTTTGGGGACCTCCCAAGGCTGTAGGTTGCTGACATACAGGGCTACAAAGGGACAACTTGTGAGGCATGTTGGGGACTGGACAAGGCTGTAGGTTGCCGACATACAGGGCTACAAAGGGACAACTTGTGAGGAATTTTGGGGACCTCCCAAGGCTGTAGGTTGCCGACATACAGGGCTACAACGGGACAACTTGTGAGGCATGTTGGGGACTGGACAAGGCTGTAGGTTGCCGACATACAGGAGTACAAAGGGACAACTTGTGATGCTTTTTCCCAGGCTGTATACAGGGCAAAGGGACAACTTGTGAGGGATTTCGGGGACCTCCCAGGGCTGTAGGTTGCCGACATACAGGGATACAAAGAACAACTTGTGAGGCTTTTTGGGGGGCCTCCCAAGGATGTAGGTTGCCGATATAAAAGGCCTCAAAGGGACAACTTGTGAGGCATTTTGGGGACCTCCCAAGGCTGTAGGTTGCTGACATACAGGGCTACAAAGGGACAACTTGTGATGCTTTTTGGCACCTCCCAAGGCTGTAGGTTGTTGACATACGGGGCCACAAAGGGACAACTTGTGAGGAATTTTGGGGACCTCCCAAGGCTGTAGATTGCCGACATACAGGGCTACAAAGGGACAACTTGTGAGGCATGTTGGGGACTGGACAAGGCTGTAGGTTGCCGACATACAGGAGTACAAAGGGACAACTTGTGATGCTTTTTCCCAGGCTGTATACAGGGCAAAGGGACAACTTGTGAGGGATTTCGGGGACCTCCCAGGGCTGTAGGTTGCCGACATACAGGGATACAAAGAACAACTTGTGAGGCTTTTTGGGGGGCCTCCCAAGGATGTAGGTTGCCGATATAAAAGGCCTCAAAGGGACAACTTGTGAGGCATTTTGGGGACCTCCCAAGGCTGTAGGTTGCTGACATACAGGGCTACAAAGGGACAACTTGTGATGCTTTTTGGCACCTCCCAAGGCTGTAGGTTGTTGACATACGGGGCCACAAAGGGACAACTTGTGAGGAATTTTGGGGACCTCCCAAGGCTGTAGGTTGCCGACATACAGGGCTACAAAGGGACAACTTGTGAGGCATGTTGGGGACCTCCCAAGGCTGTAGGTTGCTGACATACAGGGCTCCAAAGGTGAGGCTTTTTGGGGGCCTCAAGACTGTAGGTTGCTGACATGCAAGGGACAACTTGAGGCTTTTGGGGGGTATGCCGAAATACAGGGCTACAAAGGGACGGGACAACTTGTGCTGTAGGTTGCCGACATACAGGGCTACAAAGGGACAACTTGTGAGGCATGTTGGGGACCTCCCAAGCGTGCCGACATACAGGGCTGTAGGTTGCCGACATACAGGGCCACAAAGGACACTTGTAAGGCATTTTGTTTATTTGACATGTGGCATTTTACGGTCCAGGCTGTTGCGAGTGTGTGACGTCTCTTAGCTGGGAAAGGGTTGGCCCTGCTATTGCGGTCAGGCAACAGCAGCAGCAGAAGACGATGACGATGACCAAGAAGAAGAGGAAGAGGAAGAAGACGAGGAGGAGGCCGATTTGCACCCCGTATCAGATACCTTTGGGTGGATGTTCATCCTGATGATACAGTTGATTTTGCTTATTTTAGATCTTTACCAGTACAGAGTACCTCCCCAGAGTTCCTTTCTATTTATAGCTTTCCACAAAGCCTTGGCCAGGATGCCGTGGTTGACCCCATGACCAAGGGTTGGGAACCTCAGGGTCCTGCGCTGGTGACGCCTGTAGATTGTCTTGCGACTTGTGTTAAGCTTTAGTCAAAGACTTCCTGGGTGAGTTGCGGATCCCGCGGAATGTCAGACTTAGGTAAAGCGCAAGCTAAGGCGCAGGGCCACCGATCTCGCTATCAGCATGGTGAAATTTATTTGCAAACTTTGCCTGGTAATTCTTGCTTTGCCATCCTTAGCTCGGATGGTTGAGGTCCCTCAATTGACCAGCGTACTTTTTGGTGGTGGCTGTGCTTCAACCACCAACCAGCTGTGTAGGGATCACTTGAATCCTCTGGACACTTCGCTCCAGGCAGCTCCTGTTGCTGACGACGATGATGACGACTGCTCCTCAGTGGCTACCCTGTGGATGCTGCAAATTTGCCATCAAATCTTACATGAATTTTACATGATACATGGTATACATTGTATACATGCGATGAATGTGCGCCTTCAACGTTTTCGTTCAGAGCAGGAACAGAGGGTCGAGGTTCGGTAAGCCACACACCAGCCTGGACCCTGAGGATGAAGAAGAAGAAGAGGAAGAGGCGACGGTTCTGAATACCTTCGTTTGTCTATACGGGAAATGCAGAGAAGTGTCAGGGAGGGGTCCCTTGTGCGTCCTTGCAAAGCAGCCAGGCTCCCACGCCCACCGTGTTATTTGGCTTTGGCATGCCCATGGCTCCATCAAAATCAGAGTCCTGTGGGATTGAAGCCCAAGACCATCTTGTTGACCTCACCATCCTTGGTTCACACTGGGATCCGCAGGAGGATGATGACGATGCTGTGGATGAGCCACCCGCTAGGGACTGAGATCTCGCTTGGACAATGCGGGCATGAACCCGTTGCGAAGGCATCACAGCATGCTTGGGGCGAGGGTTCTCCAAGTTTTGATGTCCCGTGACTGCATGCACACTTTAAACTTGACACCAAGGCAAAGAAGTTCAAGGGAGAGAAAGGTGGCAAAGGAAAGGGAAAAGATTTCAAAGGCAAAGGAAAGGGAAAAGATGGCAAAGGACAGTCCAAGAGCGGTGGTGGTAAAAGGGCTGAAATCGTGTTGACGGGTGCTATGTAGACTGCCACTGCCAGACTTTCTTGTGCAAACAGCGTTCTGGCAAGCCCTTTCTGGCAAGCCCTTTCTGGCAAGCCCTTTCTGGCAAGCCATTTTCACGCACCATGCCCATTGCCGCATCGCCCTTTGCTTATGCAGAAGATGGGGCACAGATGTTTAGTGTTTTCATTTGTGCTGTTTAGTTCATTCAGGTGGTTCCGATGCTGCAGTGCAGCAGTTGTGAATTACTGGTAATTTCAAGGGAAAAGGGTCCGTTTGATGACTCAGTCCTTCCCTCCATCCTGTGGCGAAATCGTTTGTGGCGAAGGAAAGGGCAAAGACAAAGGACTGCTGGAGAAATATGGAGTGGTGTGCAGCGGGAAACTGATGTGATAAACCCCAATAATTAATAACATTAATATATAACCCTCTCATTTGGGGATGATTTTGGCCACCAGTTTCTGGGAAATCGGGGGTATATAGTCTATAGTTCATTGTTTACCGGTTTACACATTATTCAGAATGCTCTTCTCCCTTCAGTAGTCAGTAGTCTCCCTCTGTATCTCGGTCGCCAAATTTTGTTGAGCGGTCAACAAATTTATGGTGCAGTGCCACCACAACTGCGCCACACTGCCGGATTTGGTTGACGGCATCCTGATTTTCCATGCCCCAGCAGTTCAGGCAGTTGAAATTTGTCTGATTGAGACATCAAAAATAATCAAAACCTTGCGAAATGCGCCTCTTCGCGTGAAGGAAAGGGTGGCGGCAACGGAAAGGGCAAGAAGGGAAAGGCTGGGAGCTCCCGACATCGACAGCTTCTCAGCTTGGGAAGGTTTGGAACCTCCAAGATTTATCCATACTATCCAAACTATCTGAATCTAAATATGAGACTGGTTTTACATGAATCTGAAGAAGAATTGAAAGAGTTCTGCAAATCCCCAACCAACATTGTTTTTTAATGAGCTGACATTGACGTCCTTGTCTGGTGGCTTGGTGGTTGATGGAACATGGATAATTGCCAGCGTGATTACCAGGTGACCATTTGGCAATCAGCCCCTGGCGATGGAACATTTACTGTACCATTTTAGTTCGATGATTTTTCCAGAAAAAGCCTCCAATAAATCGTTCGGGGATTTCCCAGCGGCCCGCCATGATAACACCTAGCTATCAGAAGTTTTGTCCAGGGGAAGGGCAAAGGCAAGAGATAGAAAGCCAGGCGGGCAACCCGTCGTGTCGTCGGCACCAAGCCTAGGATTTCTGCCTCAACTGCCTGGCACTGCTCAACTTTGTGATCTACAAAATTGGTGTTTGCTTCTGTTTGGAACATCATTTCATCACCCAAAAACATCTCGGGAAAGAATCTTGGAATTTGGGCAAGGTTGGGATTTATGTCAAATGTATGTATGTATGTATGTAATGTAATGTAATGTAATGTAATGTTATGTTATGTTATGTTATGTATGTATGTATGTATGTAATGTAATGTAATGTAATGTAATGTAATGTAATTGTAATGTAATTGTAATGTAATTGTAATGTAATTGTAATGTAATTGTAATGTAATTGTAATGTAATTGTAATGTAATTGTAATGTAATTGTAATGTAATTGTAATGTAATTGTAATGTAATTGTAATGTAATTGTAATGTAATTGTAATGTAATTGGTAATTGTATGGTAATTGTATGGTAATTGTATGGTAATTGTATGGTAATTGTATGGTAATTGTATGGTAATTGTATGGTAATTGTATGGTAATTGTATGGTAATTGTATGGTAATTGTATGGTAATTGTATGGTAATTGTCTGGTAATTGTCTGGTAATTGTCTGGTAATTGTCTGGTAATTGTCTGGTAATTGTCTGGTAATTGTATGGTAATTGTATGGTAATTGTATGGTAATTGTCTGGTAATTGTCTGGTAATTGTCTGGTAATTGTCTGGTAATTGTCTGGTAATTGTATGGTAATTGTATGGTAATTGTATGGTAATTGTATGGTAATTGTATGGTAATTGTATGGTAATTGTATGGTAATTGTATGGTAATTGTATGGTAATTGTATGTAATTGTATGGTAATTGTATGTAATTGTATGTAATTGTATGTAATTGTATGTAATTGTATGTAATTGTATGTATGTATGTATGTTTGTATATATATATTATTATTTTTTTATTATTATTCTTTTTATTATAACTACATATGTATATTCATGCATTGAGCTTGGCAAGCTTTGGGTGTGCATGTGTCATCTTTAAGCTATCCAATAAACGCCATCATTTTGGCTCAAGTTGGGAGTTGACCCAAAAAGGCATTCATTATTTTGTTTTCCAAGGGCTGACCTTGGTGAAGTCAGGGCTTAGTCCAAGGGGCAACCTTGGCTAAGTAGGTGAGGTTCCCAAGGGGTGCCCGTGGATGTCCCACCTTCTCCCTGGGATCGGTGTGCCCATGGTTACTCAGGCCCAGATCCTTGATGTGGCGACTTTCATCGAGTTCAAGGAGGTGGCGAGGCTGGCCAATGGAGGGGATCCAATTGCAGCCTACAGGTGTTGGATGCGCAGTGTTGAGATTCTGCATTCCCCATTCATAGTCCCTGCCACTTCTGAGTTGGAAAAGTTCCCTCCCACCTTAGAGGCGCTGTGCTTACAGCACCCATGCCACCGTTGCGCACCCCACTTTGGCAGCTTCAAGTTCCTGTGGGTGGAGCAGAGGTATCATCGGTCCGCCAGGGGCACGGCCTCGCAATGGTCGGGATCATCATCGATGGACCTTGTGTGCTGGTGCCACTGTTGGGAGCCCAGTGGAAGCACCGGATGTGGCACCCCCACTCGAGGTATGGATTCCATCTGCGAAGGGCAGGGCGACGTGGTCTGGAAGGATGGATCCTGGAAGCCGAGTTTTCAAGTGCAGGTGGCCTTTGGCAAAGCTTCAGCAATTGCCGCCCACAGTTGCTACGCGAACATTGCATGACCTTTTACGCAAGCTCAAGCTTCAGAGTGGAGACTTAGCTTTTGCATGCTTTCGCAATTCCAGCAAGTCCGCAGGAGATCAGCTTGGCTCCTCGTTGGGATTCTAAGTAAGGTGTTGCTACTTGCGGAGTCATGCTTCCACGTTACCAAGCAGGCCGAGTTCTGAGCCAGACTGAAGCCAAGCAAGAGGTGTTCTGGTGTTCTTACTTGGTGCTGCCCACCCACAACCTTGAACTTTTTAGGCAAAGGCAAAGCGTGTTTCCAAGTAGGGGCAATGCTACTTGGGCAAACTTAGGTTGCGTAGTCCTAGCAGTGCCTGAGAACCTTGGCAATTCCCTAAGTGACATAGGTTTGGGGTCCAAGTAGGGGTGGACCCTATGTGATGGCCCAACATTGCCAAGTGTAAATAGCATGTATTTTTTAAGCGAGTTTAAGCCTCCAAGTAGGGGTGGTCCTACTTCTGGAGGCTTAGCTCTTGCAATTTCAGCAGAGCTGGAGGCTGTTGATTTGGCTTCCCCAAGCAAGCTGGGATATCAAGTAAAGGTGTTGCTACGTGAGGTCACGCTTGCGCAATTTCGGCACTAACCCAGGGGCCCAGCTGTCCTCAGCAGGTTGGGTTCCAATGCAGAGGTTTGGGGTCCAAGTAAGGTGATCTTACTTGACGGTGCCCAACTTGCCAAGTGATTACTGCGTGTCCACGTTCCCAGTAGGGGTGCTCCTACTTCGATCTTTTGGAGAGAGCCCGTTGTTTTGGCCTCGCTCAGCAAGCCCCGACCCTAAGAGCTGAGTGCACAACCTCTCTATAGGGATACCTTTCCTGGGTGACCAGGACATGTGTATGTTCCACTCTATGTGTGAGTGATTCCTGTGGATACAGGTTCCAACCTGGGGTGACCAGGTTAACCACTGGTCAGCGGTGATGCTGACCTGAGGTTGTGCACGTGTCACTGCTGTGACATATCCAAGGCAAACCGGAGGAGAGCCTCTGGTAAAAGGAGATGACTGCTTTGGCAGAGAGCTTGAAAAAGGAGTGGAATGCGAAGCGACCGGAATCATGCGTGTAGCTTTGAGACGCATATATATATAATATATGTATATATATATATGTATATATATATATGTATATATATATATATGTATATATATATATGTATATAAATAAATATATATATATACATAATATATATGTGTATATATATATATATATAATATGTATTATCAAACATATAGACAAACATATATCCATTTTGATTTTGGAGGAACAACGCATAAGTCGCCATGGTGCACAACTTTTTGTTTTGATTTTTCCACCTCCAAAGCGGCACAGGCGCACAGGAGAGCGCGTACGGCGGCGCGGCTCCCCTGCGGTGAACTTCGGCCAAGGGGGACCAAGGAACCACGACACGAACGCAGAGCGCAGTAGCCAATGATCCCATCACTTGGCATTCTATGGTTTGCAAACTCTTGTTTGGAACCACCCTTTAAAGGAGAGACCTTCTTGGTTCCCTTCTTGGGCCAGTTGAGCAAGTGATTGGGCAAGCTCCCGCAAACCCTTCACAAAGCAATCAAGGCAACCCTCCATGAAACAACAGGCATTTTATATCATTTGTTAGGATATTTGTTATTTGCATCATCTTCCATCAATATACTGTAAAAACAAAGAATTTGAAAGAGAACTGATACAACTTTATTCCTCGTGGTCTTGCTTGACCGATGTAGCTCCACAGCAGTCGAAAATCTGCGACTGCTAATTGCAGTCAGACAACATCTTTTTGCAAATCACACTACACATGGGATGCAATTGCTGGAGACTGCGATTTGTGTCCATGCTGTGCCATGTCAAGACTTGTCTGTCTTGAAAAAGGTCATTTACCTTTTGAGCGAATCTGGAAGACAATCAGAAGAGCTACTGATACTGAAATACCATGTTGGTTTTATTCTTGGTAACCAGCATACTTCCATGAGTTGTCCATTCGGTACCTACTGCGAAATGTTTTTTTTCCCCGATCAATGTCGTCTTGATATATATATATATTTATTTATGTATTTATATTTATGAATAGTTTGGCCTGAAATCATATGTGATAGGGTTTGCTGTACGTAGCAGCAGTTTCTTAAATCTTACGTCGGGCCGCAAGATCCAGCGAGTCATACTCCGCAGAAATTGCATCCCATTGAAACCAGTGGTATTTGTCACGCCTCTGCAGCCCTGTGCTGCTTTTATGGATAAAAAATGGACAGATGATTAAAGAATGGACGCCCCCCCGTTTCCCGGAGAATCTGATGCAGCACAGTCCCTCTGACCTATTGGGAGTGAGAGGAAGTTCGTGCAGGGCGCTGACGCATAAGACTCCATCATTCATGGAGCAAATCTATTTGCAGAACAGGCGGTGGGCTGCAATCATGGCAGATGGCCCCTCGTTGCTTCAATGGTTCCGAAAAAAAAAGGTACACATTGCTGCCGCTGTGGGCGGACACTTTGTTCCTGCACAAGGCAACCAGAACGGGTGAATACATGGTCACGCACTTAGGAAGTCAGGTTGAATCGAACTCGGGAGACATCATTATCCTGTACCCTGGCGAGTTTCCGATTTCTCTGCAGCATGTGTCTTCAGGGCTATGGGCAAGAAAGCAGGTGGCAAAAAAGAAGAGAAACAGACAAGGCGGGACTGGGGTGGCTAGGGACAAGCAGATGTGACTTGGCAATACTTGGTATGGTTTGGTTTGGTCGCAGTATATGGACCACAGTCTAAGTGTCAAGCCAGTGGTTTCGTAGAAAGTTGTACTGGGTTAATATTTTCAACATCAGCTCAAGAGCAGACACACCATTTGTGCGTATCAGCACAGTAATCTCCCAGCAGCGTTCTGTCAAGCAACACTTGCTGAGAAAGGAATAGGAATGATGTTTGAAGAAGCCTTTGTCTGTAACAGGGGTTGGTAACTGTCCCATTTTGGGTATATTGGACATTGTACCCTTTGGTAATTTAACATAGCTATGGAAAATCACCATGATTAATGGGAAAATCCACTATAAATGGTCATTTTCAATAGCTACGTTAAATTACCAGAAGCCTTTGTCTGTAACAATCTCAAGGCTTGAGTGGTTTCCAGAAAGGCGTCAGGGTTTCTCATGATTTCCCATCCATGCTCGGCCGAAGTATGGAGATGGCCAGGTCGCAATGGGAAGGAAAACACCCTGAACCAAAGTCTCGAGTGGATGAGAGAAAGGTCGTGGCCACTGTGAAGCCCCTTGGCCACGGAATGGATGTGGCTGGGTTTGCATCGCTCAAAGATGGGGCGCCCATGGACACGACCAAGAACTCTCCAAAGAATACACGATAGGTCGGATATGTTTTCATCTTGTTTCTTCAGTAGCATCACCGTCGAAGCAACTGTCTACAGGGCATGCTTTTGCTTGATGCTTGCATGTCGAATTTTGGGACGTTCAATCCACGAGACACTCATACTTACTTCCGCACAAGCACGCATAAGCAAAACATCAGTCTGACTACCACAGTTTCTCGGTATCGAACCTTGATCTGCGTCTTCGAGGTCATTTGCTGCAACAAAAACAGATGTTCTGCTTTGTAGAAAAGCCACACATCACTGAGGCATTTAGGAGAAAAGTTGCCACACATGGCAGATAGCTTCCATAGCCTTTTTCCACAGCAGATCCTCAGGCTCGCTGCACCTGCGGGATCCTAAGACTGGGTAACTTTGTGTGGCGATGACAGAGGAGTAGGCCGAGAATCATCCGAGAATCTAACCTCTGAGAATGCAAACCTGCAGTTTCTTGAAATACATTGATAATGCATTGTCAAAGTCTGAGTTGAGTGTACACCTCTTGTGCTGGTGTGGAAATCTTTAATGGTACTGTGGTACACCCCAGTCCCTCGGCCGCCCCTATGCCCAGCTACAATGTTATCCTCAAATATCCACATGGGCCTATCTCATCATATAGACAACAATGTTAATTAGTTACATATGGAAAACATGTGGTAAACCCAATAAAAAACATTCCCCGAATTCACCATAAAATGGGCGGTAATTTTATATTCTCCTAGATTGCTTATTCTACTGATTTTTAAACTTGAAAAAAATCAACAAAAGGGAAACAAATGGAAAATCAAAAAGCACAATTTAAAAACAGGAAAAACAGGAAGCACAATAAATGGGGAATCAAAGGAACATCAAAATGGGGAAAAATGGGGGAACATGGACAAGTCCATTTATTTCATTTTTTTGTTTTTTCTTTTTGTTTTTCTTTTTTTTGCCCCCTTTTTTACCATTGTATTTTGCTTTTGTGTTTTTTGGATTTTGCTGATTTGCTTTTTGTTTTTTCCATTGTTTTTTTTTCATTTGTTCTGTCTTTTTTTTTCAAGATTGTTGATTCTTAGAATAAGCAATGGTCTGGTGAATATAACGGCAATTATTAACCATCTCCATATGGTATTATTGGGTTTTCCACATTATCGTATGCCGTATGACCCACACATATCCCAATTTCCCATGAGGAATGATCCACAACTGGACTGAGGTCTGCAACCTGTTGGAATTCAAGCTCGACTGTAGTCCATCCACGAAGATCTCCTTTATCGTGGATCGAATCATCGATCGCCACGGTGGGGCCTCTTTTTTGGATGATCGCGGCGGGGAGCTGCACAGTGAAAGCAGTCAATTTAGTGATTCACTTGAGGAGTTGATGCAAGATCTGTCTATTTGCTTTTCATCTATCTGCTGGGTCTACTGCATCATTCAATCCACTAGTCCATTGACAGTCTATCTATCCATTGGTTCAAAACTAGACGCTGCTGATACCTTTCAACTCCTGCAACTCAGAGCCTCAGATTCCGGGCATTTCCGGGCATGGACAAGTTTTCTGACTGGACTCGCTATCTTCATTTTCCCGCAAAAAATCAATTTCGTACTCCCAAAGTTGATGGTGGAGATGATCATTTTCCCAGGATTTTCCCATGATTTTCCCATCCAAAACGGCCATCGACCAGGTGGCTCCATTAGCGATCTCTCGGTTTGCGTGAACCGCTTCCATCCTGAGGAGATCGTTGGCAGAGTCCAGGGCTCGGATGTACCCGGTGTACCCGCCAAAAATAGCTATCAAATACTAGGGAAAATATGGGAAAATGATGATGTGAATCCCACCACCTAGTGGGTTGAGCTACTCATATCATTTCGAATAACCACAGGTTTAGCTACACCAGTGAAACTTGCGTCCCACCGACAAGTTTGGCAGGCGCCATCTATCTACCCTTGGCTGTCCCCACATAAAACCCTTGGCCAGGAAGTTTCTGCTTTCACTAGCGCAATTGCGACGTAGAATCCAATGTTGTCTTTTCTTTGATCCCTGCTGAAAAAGTTGTACAAACCCCATTGCCAAAATACTACTAGTGAGCTTGCAGAAACAATGGGTAAGTAGGGAGGGCTAATTATTTTAGGATTTTTTTTTGATCAGGTTTAGGAATTATTTTTGGATTCCTGCTTCTCTGCTTTTCCTGCTTTTCCTGCTTTTCCTGCTTCTCTGCTTTTCTGCTTTTTTGCTTTTCTGCTTCTCCTGCTTCTCTGCTTCTCTGCTTTTCTGCTTTTTTGCTTTTCTGCTTCTCCTGCTTCTCTGCTTCTCTGCTTTTCTGCTTTTTTGCTTTTCTGTTTTTCCTGTTTCTTTGCTTCTCTGCTTTTCTTGCTTTTCCTGCTTCTCTGCTTTTCTGCTTTTCCTGCTTCTTTGCCTCTCTGCTGTTTTGTTTTGTGCGTTTCCTGTTTCTTTGCTTCTCTGCTTTTTTTTGCTTTGCCTGCTTTAAATACTTGATTTTCATGTAAGATGCATTTTGCACAGTATTTACATCCCTGAGTATCACATGACCAACCTTCTCTTGAAAACTAGCAACGTAACATGTGAGAAGAGGTGCTTGCATTCTGCTTTGGGGGGAGGCGCTGCGCCCTCCCCCCAATCCCCCCCTCCTGCTTTTTTTTATTTAAACTTAAACCCAAGTTACATTAGTTGGTTTTTGCGAACTAACCTTCTCTGGAAAGCTGACAGGATTACATGTGATAGATAGATAGATAGATAGATAGATAGATAGATAGCTGATAGATAGCTTGGTAGATAGATAGCTAGATAGATAGATAGCCAGCTAGATAGATAGATAGCTAGAGAGATAGATAGCTAGATACCTCGATAGATAGATGGCTAGATAGATAGCTAGATAGATAGATGGCTAGATAGATAGCTAGATAGATAGATAGATAGCTAGATAGATAAAGAGGTAGCTAGATAGATAGATAGATAGATAGATAGCTAAATAGATAGGTAGATAGTTAGCTAGATAGATAGATAGCTAAATAGATAGGTAGATAGTTAGCTAGATAGATAGATAGCTAGATAGATAGCTAGATAGCTAGATAGCTGGATAGACAGCTGGATGGCTAGATAGATAGATAGCTAGATAGATAGAAAGCTAGATAGCTAGATAGCTAGATAGATAGTTAGCTAGATAGCTAGATAGGTAGATAGATAGCTAGCAAGATAGCTAGCTAGATAGGTAGATAGATAGCTAGATAGATAGATAGCTTGCTAGATAGATAGCTAGCTTGCTAGATAGATAGCTAGCTAGATAGCTAGATAGCTAGCTAGCTGGATAGATAGCTAGCGCCCTCCCTCAATCCCCCCCACCCGCTTTTTATCTAATCCCAAGCTTCCGCATCTGTAAATATTTGGGTGAACATGCTCACATGTAGAACATCCCATGCAAAATGGAAGGTGAACATGCCAAAATGTGGCAAATACCATACAAAATGGAAGGTGAACATGCCCACATGTAGTAAATCCCATGCAAAATGGAAGGTGAACATGCCCAAATGTGGCAAATACCATGCAAAATGACAAATTCAAGTTCCAAACCGTTGCAAACACTAGGCAAATGGTACCAGCCAAGAAATCCAAAAAAAATTCCCAAACCTGCTCAAAAAAAAATTCCTAAAACTATTTCACACCCGGTAAGTAGACACGTGGTATTGCCGAATCACAAAAAATTGTTCAAATCCTCAATGACTATTGACGTCCCAACATATGAAACCCAAGCAGACCCCGAAGTTAGAATATCCCCTTTGCCTTGCTGGCTCATACCAAGGGCCGGTATTGGCCGAGGATGCCATTTTACTCGACAAGATAAGAGCTGTTCTATGGCATAACTGCATAACTATTAAAAAATATATCTGGCAAAAAGAGAAGAACACACTCAAAAACCAATAAAAAATGAAATGACCGAAAGCGACACAAGCCCTGCAAGAGCCTCTGGCTAGTTGCACTTGAAATGCCCAGTGAAATGGGTCAGAGCAAATTCAATCACCCTCTTGACAAGCTTGAGGAAAATTCGTACATAGAATTAGTATACATTAGTTACATTAGTAATTATACAATTCATATTAATTCCATTAGTTAGGCGTTTCCAATCTGCTTCCATTCACCGCGGAGCTTCGTTTAGTCTTAGCGTAGTTCCAGGACGTCTGCGGAGGGGAACATGATGATGAACCATCAGATTTTGGGGTAGCCCCCAGACGGAGCAATGCCAATTTGGTCAGTACATGAGGATAAGACCCTGGAGCAATGTGGTGTTTTCGGCGGCGAGTGCCTCATATACTACGTGGTGGCCTTAGAAGCAAGATTGATGAGGCACAAGTTGATGTATGTACATATAGAACTTCAATGAGTTATGCTTCGCTTTGGTGCCACCCAACCACCTGACATGGGGTGAAAGCGACTTCGTTTTCCTCGTATGATTCTATCGATACTGGTACCTATAGAATCCTATAGATTAGGTTTGTTTGCTTCATCATGTGTGCTCTGGTTTGTTTGTGGGTGACCTTAGTCTGAACACCCGAGGATTTCGTTCCAAGAGCCGGTGCTTTGCTTGCCTGAGATGTTGAGGCCCAAGTGAGGCACATTGCTAGGCCTATGTTCGATCTGGGCTGATGCACACGCTAACGAAACAGCGATCCATGCCCTGTCTCAAAGGGATGATGCGTGGACTTCTCTGCATGTCTTTCCCCGCCAATTGCTGCTGTGGAAAAAGATGCTGCCATCAAGCAGAACGCTGCAGATTTTACCAGTTTGAGCCCTATGTCATAATGTTCCCTTATCCTTTCATATCTTTCGTGCGGCCGATGGAAATATGATGGTACACGATACCTTCATCCATGGCACTCTTGTAGGTGTCATGCAGCCCTGTAGTTTGATGCATGATTTCGGAATAGCAGCTGTGCTACGTATAATATTATCAGGTTCGCAAAGAATGAGTAGCTGCTGCTACATTGAAGCCTTCCAATACCTTGATGAACAAGAAAAGTAAATTACAATGTGCGAAAATCTCAGCACTGTTTCGCAGGTGCTACAATCTTCTATTTTGCTGTAGTGCTTGATAGTAGCGGTGCTACATTATGGTGTGCAAAGGTAAATCGCCCGCTGCAACTGCAGTTTGCAGAGTGGCTTCATGACTTTGCAAGATCCACTGTACTTACTTGCGTGGTAAAATATGGAAATATGGACAAGTCCAGTCCAAGCAGGACAATCTTGGGCACTGTTTCGCAGGTGCTACAATCTTCTATTTTGCTGTAGTGCTTGATAGTAGCGGTGCTACATTATGGTGTGCAAAGGTAAATCGCCCGCTGCAACTGCAGTTTGCAGAGTGGCTTCATGACTTTGCAAGATCCACTGTACTTACTTGCGTGGTAAAATATGGAAATATGGACAAGTCCAGTCCAAGCAGGACAATCTTGGGCACTGTTTCGCAGGTGCTACAATCTTCTATTTTGCTGTAGTGCTTGATAGTAGCGGTGCTACATTATGGTGTGCAAAGGTAAATCGCCCGCTGCAACTGCAGTTTGCAGAGTGGCTTCATGACTTTGCAAGATCCACTGTACTTACTTGCGTGGTAAAATATGGACAAGTCCAGTCCAAGCAGGACAATCTTGGGCACTGTTTCGCAGGTGCTACAATCTTCTATTTTGCTGTAGTGCTTGATAGTAGCGGTGCTACATCGTGATGTGCAAAGGTAAATCGCTCGCTGCAACTGGAGTTTGCAGAGTGGCTTCATGACTTTGTGATAGCTAGCAGTAGCAACCAATCGGAAACTGCCTACTTGAAATATAACCAGTATTGCCTTTGTTGTTGCGAACTGAAGTACTGGGAGTCAGTCAATGGCTTTGGATTCGCGCATGTCGTCATTATTTTGAATTATCATTCGTTCCATTCAATATAGTACGGTACATACTGTGCAACATGCTCTGTTTGGCAGCGAACAGCGAGAGGAACGCTGCAGAGTGCGGCTCAAAATATTTCTGCAGTGATACAAGAGAGGACAAGTAGAGGATTGACGAACCTCATCTTCCCAAAACCATCCAAAACCTTCTTTAATTCAACGTTTCTGCAGTACCGTTTTATACAATCATATTTAATGTTCTATTTGACTAATCAATGCTTTTCCGCCAACATGACCAGCAATGATAGGAGGTGTTCCGATGTCCCTGTCATGCTGTGGCACTTTTCTGAAATTCTATTCAGCACAGATCATTCCAAGGCTTTTCCCACTGAACGAATTAGGCGGTCATTCCCGGCGATGCGGGTTGAGCAGACTCTGCGTGCCGCTGCCGAATGGGAATGACGACGGCTGACCCAGAGGTGGAGTTGGCTGCATACTGGCACGTCAAGGTGGTCGCATAAAGTGATTGTCTGGCAAAAAGGAGATTTGATGTTGCATGGACAGAGATGATTGCACGAGAGGTATGTCAAAGAAAGGCCGAAAGCGATCTTGTATTCATAGCAGAAAATTCCAGGTGTTTCGACCGAGGTGCTTTAACAGAAACTGCACCGTCATGATATGTTGTTGCTGTTGGTTTTATTGAAAAGCATGGAGCAATTAAAACCCATTGAAAACCACCAAAACACCATAGAAACACTATAGAAACACCATAGAAGCATGATATTTTCCCAAACATCCGCAGGAAACTATGGGTTTTGCATAGAAACACCATACATCACCATGCTTTTCCGTCAAAAATCCAGAAGAAACCTATGGTGCATCGCGCTTGCGGCGTCCCAGGCGTCCCAGGCGTCGCAAGTCTCGGAGGCCTCGGTGCCGCTTTACCGGAACTCTTCGGGTGGGGGAGCTCAAGGGTTTGAGTCATCCGGAATATTTTTAGACGGATTATACTCTCTTAGTGTATATGATATATATAATATAATATAATATGATATGATATGATATGATATGATATAATATAAATTAAATAAATCTAATCTAATCAAATCAAATATAATATGATATAATATAATATAATATAATATAATATATATTATATTATTGATAATTGTTTGGGGGGTTGTACTACTCTTATGTATATATATATATATCCTTTAGGTAATGGGGGTTATCATAATGGGACTCCCTATCAACCAACGGTTCACTGCTTCATCTCCACCAAAGCTGAGGTCCGTTTGTCTTCGACCATGACTTTACGCGAGAGAACACCGGATGTTTGGAGGCATCGAAGAGCTTTCCATCAAGGAATTGGTGATGCTTTGCAACCTAAAACTTTCCAGCGTCTCAATCTTCGCTGTGAATCTTTGAGTGTAAGCAACCCACATCTTGGAGTACGTGTAATATATCTATCTATCTATCTATCTAGCTAGCTAGCTACCTACCTACCTACCTACCTATCTATCTATCTATCTATCTATCTATGCATACACACACACATACATGAATATTGGTATCTTGGCACTTGGAGTGATATCCAGTCGGTCGCCAGGATGCATACACGATGCAGAAGAAGGCCTTGGGCGAAGGCTCCTTTGGAAGCGCCTTCCGGGCAACGTGCAAGTCGTCCCGGCCAGTTGCGATGATGTTTCCATTGTTTTATCCTGGTTAATCCACCATTTAATGTGGGAAACTCCACTGGGAAAATTTGTTGGGAGTGTATTTTTGACGGTTTCAGCAAATCTAAGTTTGTTTTGATCATTCTGATTGTTTGCTGATGGAGGAGTGGTTATCTGCCAGCTTTGATGCTCTCATTCTCTAGTTTTTCAGCAAAGATATGGGGATAAGTTTCAAAGTCCAAGCATCACAATCTCTGAGTTATGTGAAAACCATCTCCTTTTTTTTGGTAGCGTCGAACGTGGCATGCCACATCAAAAAATGGCAGGCAAAAGTGATCCAAAACATTCCGGCAGTGACCAGAGGAAACTGAGATCAGTGTAGGTTCTTTCTTTGCAGGACATATACAAGTGGAATACTATATGCACATATGTCTTCATATATACATATGTATGTATGTATATATATATGTAGTAGTAATGCAATATACATATACACATTAGACATTTTATAGAGTATACATACACATATGGATGGTTGCTGATTAAGATTCACATTTGTTCGTAGCGAGCGCCAAGCAATGCGAAAGTCGAAGTTCTTACCATGGCACTGCTCAGCAGCTACGTGTGCATGTGCATGGCTGCCCTGGTACTGGCAGTGCTCGTGACGCGATGGAATTCGCAGAGATCGCTGCTTGGCAAATTGGAAATGTATATGTGTATCTATATCTATATCTATATCGATATGTATATGTGTATCTATATCTATATCTATATCGATATGTATATGTGTATGTGTATGTGTATTTCTATGTCTATGTCTATGTGTATGCGTATTTCTATGTCTATGTCTATGTGTATTTCTATGTCTATGTGCATGTGTATTTCTATGCCTATGTGTATGTGTATGTGTCTGTATGTATATATTTATATACTTCTGTATTTATTTATACATATGATCTCACATTTTTTTCCAGTGTGTTTCCAGTGGAATAGCCACAGACTACCGTTTGTCCCATCTTCGCGGGTGGTTCTCCTGTGAACCGTTTTTTGTTCCTCTAAGGAGTCGCCCTCCAGGGAGGCTGCAAAATAGCACGCTGGTTGCATGGAGGACAGGAAACTTCACAGTGTTTTGGCGAAACCCAGCGGAAACGGATGGAAATTGGTACAGAACTTCAAGACTCTGCAAGATTGGGCTAGCGGCTATCTCATATTTTCATTTGTTCACACGAACCATTCTATTAAGCTATTCATTTCAGGGAACTGTTGATGTTTTGAATTTAAGTTAGTTTAATTTAATATAGGTCGATCTCCGTGGTCACATTGTGGCATTCGAGAGCATTCACCTAGCTTAGCTTCGATCCACAGGCGGACATTCCACAGTAGTATGACAAGAATTGTTTTTTTTTTTCCAAAAGCAGGCTACCAGTACAACCACCGTTTCATTTTTGTTCACACCCACATAGCCAAGTGGGCATGGGCCAAAAATGTGCTACTCCCCCAAATTTGCGTCACACTAGAAATTGACAAACCGTCTGTGCTTCCACTGGCCTTCAAATTTTGGCCGCTACCCATGTCCGGCAGCACCCGGTCCCACGCTGACTTTGAGGTCACTTTCCGTGGAGCTCTGTCAATGGAGGAGTGCTCAAAGATCCGAACGCTTCTGGAAGGAACTGGGGAGGCGACCGGGGCGACCTGGCAGTGGAGGGGAAGGTGTTCGGAAGATGAGATGAAACACTCCAAATATAACGCATGTTTTGGTCAAGTTTGGTGGATGCAATGAACACTCAACTGGAAAGCAGCTTATTTCCATGACCAACTGTTTAATGATTAGATTTATATCCATGTTATGCAGAATTCACAGCTGTGCCATATCAGTTCCCTATCCACATCCGTTGGGCACCGTCGGGCTGGGCACCGTTGGGCACCGTTGGGCACCGTTGGGCACCGTTGGGCACCGTTGGGCAGGCTGCACTGGTGGGTGGCACCATGGGTGGCATGCTGCGGGAGAATGTGGGGGCCCTGGCTGATTTTTCATGATTTTTGGTGAATCTGATTTTGACATATTTTGACGGACTTAGCATTTTAGAACTTATGAACAAATACTATGACTCGATATTTTCTACAACCTGCTAGAACCTGCACCTGGTAGAACCAGGGAAAACGTTTCTATTGCGTTTGCAATGGTCTTTTCGATGCCCAGACAAGCCATCCAAGGTTCGTGTGGCGCAAATGCTGACGTTGGAACCCAGCCATGAGCAGCTCTTTGCTTGCAGAGTCAGAGTGTTAGGGAGGCTTTGGGTGTCTATGTTGCCACTGTTGTTCTGAAGGTTTCCAAAACAACATATACCAGGTGGATTTTGCACCCCTCTTTCTTTTTTTAGACCCAAGGGGGTGTTGTGTGAGCAAACACTAAATTTACATAGTTTAAGATCTATGATTGCACGGACCTACCGACAACTGCCGCATCCTGGTGTAAGAGTCATCCACCAACAACCTTCTCGATCTTTTGTGCAAACAAAAAGCCATAAAGGGCCGGAAAAGGACACATGGTTGGTGGGTTTAACTATTTGGCCTTTTCAAAAATCCACTTACCAGGATGATCCCCAATGACTAGATGACTATTTCACAGGGGTTAAAGCCACCAACGCCTGATAGGTGGAACCTGGTTGGGGGCCGACGTCCTCCTTATAGCCCCAGGACGCGCTGGATCTTCGAGCGCCTGTGGCAACTGGCAGAGGTGGCAAATGAGCACTGGAAGCTGCGACCCTTGTGGCTGGCCTGGGGAAAACATCTTGGGGAAACACATGGATAGACCATACCCCATAGAAAAACAAGAAGCTACCATCTGGGGGTATGAAAAAAAACATATATGGAATATTGTGTTTTTTCCCTTTTGTTATGCTTATCGCATTGGAAATGGATCTGACATCGATTGCAGACAGATAGCATTGACATCCCAAGGTGGGACATGGAGCCTCTGAACCTGGTGAGCTTCTTGGTTTGCTGGTGTGGCGAGGTGGTTCTTTGAGTATTTTTGGAGGCTTCAACTGTGAAGCAACCACCAACCTTTCCTGGATTGGCAGCTGATGGGACCCAGTAGCTGGCGAGTTATGGGGCCCACTTAGAAGCCATGGATCCCAAGTGGCACCACTTGGACCATCCCAGTGAGACTTCTCCGGCCGTCTTAAGGCTATCCGGCCGCTTGCCTGAAGAGATTACAACCGTCTCTAGGGTTTGCTTGGGAGCGGCCCTTCTCAAGCTGGTCAGGGATCTTCAATTCTTGGCACTTTCTGCGTGAAGCATCAACTGTGTGAGAATTGAAAGGCCATGGCAGGCAGTCTACTTCGTCAACAGAGCAGATAGACCAAACCTCTAATTTGACAACTAGGTGGCAGATGGATGGGATGAATTAATCATCCATCTATCTATCATCCATCATCATTTAGCATGATATATATAGTCTATCCGGTGCCATAATTCACCGCAATGCCACAATCTATCATCATTGAAACCATTCAAAATCCCCTTGTTGGTTGTTACAGTTGGTTTTACTCATACCAGCTAGTTTAAGTGTTTTCTTTTAGCATAGGCCGCGCAGCTTCATAGCGACGTCAATGGGCACTATGACTGGCATACAGTGACTGGGATGTGGCGGACAGGAGCAGGTTACCACATGTCTATGGCTTAGAAAAGGGATGGTAAACCACAAGTTCTTGCCATCAAGAAGTGGAAGCGTGATGATTATCTTTTGGAATTCGGGGTACCGTATTTTCATACAAAGCCGAATGATAATGACCTGTTACTTGCCAATCCCTTGTTATCCGGTTGCTTTTTCTGTGAGTCTCAGCAGTTCTTGAGCATCTGCAAGTAGGACTAAGTAGGATGAGTTTGAGATTTGTCAGGAAAGGAGGATGACTTTGAAGCATAATAGCGACCCTGACGGAGAGACTTTGACAAGATTGCATTGACATGCATTGACCATCGGCAATCTGGTGAGGACAACAGGAATCATCGCCAAATGGCCTTATTTTATGGTGCAACATGTAAGTTGACCAAATCTAAATGGCCTTGGGTTTGGAATCATCTAAATATAGATCTATCCATGTCAATGATTCACCATTAACCATTGCTTCACCATTGTTTCATCCGTATTTTCCTGTGAAATCCCATTAAGTCCCTATTCAACCCTTGGAAAAAGCTCAGGATTTGATGCCGGAAGCACAGCGCGAAGGTCGTCTGCTGTCCTTCTCCATCCAGCTGTCCAACAGCACGGATGCTCGCCGAAATGGCAAGTGGTTGAGGCGTATTTGGGTATGGATCAATACCTATAGATACCATTTTTAGTGGGATGAACATCCATAAATCCCAGCTATTTTATGGGGTTCACTAGGTACCAGGGTTTTGACCCATCCCCAATTTCACCTTATTTTGGGATAACCTGGGTGAATATCTGGATCAATGCTCTTTGGATGAGGATTTTGAAGCTATTTGATGCTATTTGACTATCTTTAAGGATCTCTTTGTTTTGAGGATGATGATGTGCAGATGTATAATTCGACATGGGAACTTCGATCAACCAGGAATATCTCGGTGGACAGCTGTTGATTGGGACCGAAGTGGCATCCAGAGGCTTGGGTGATGCTGTCCCTTGGCCGAAGGCTATGCCATGGGAAACTTTACGATTGAAACCATAGGAAACGCCGTGAAATGCCTACAAATGGTAGTAGAAGCCATGGCTTCCTGTAGATTTTCCATTTATTTGCTCTGATTGTACATCACGGATCGCTTACGGTATTTTGATATATTTTGCAAGCAACCAATTTGATACGAAGGGATTGGCAGCTGGAATGATATGGCAAGGCAATCCCGATAATAAGCAACACTTCCCCGGCTTACTGTACCAAACTGACCCTTTCGGGGTACTGAAAACCATACCATACCCCCAAAAGGGGTCCACTACTGGTTTACAACGTTATCGAAAACCAAGATGGTATTTCCTTCCTACATGGCTCACAGTGTCTACCCCGTGCTGAAGGGAGAGAGGCTCCGCAATACTTTGCAGTTTGTGGTACAGGAAGTAGAAGGATAGCAGGATGGATAAAGGCTAGATGGATGGATGGACGGCGATTGGGGGATATTGTGATGCACAAATATATGTGTGCGTGTGTGGATATAGAATGATATATTATTATATATATATAATATTAATATACATATATATATGTAATATATATATATAATATTAATATATATATATATATAATATTAATATATATATATATATTATATTAATATATATATATTATATTAATATTAATATATATATATATTATATTAATATTAATATATATATATATATTATATTAATATATATTTATATATATATTATATTATATTATATTATATTATATATATGTATATATTGTGGATAGTTTTGGATAGTTGCATAATATATAGACATCGGGCAGACGGGCAGATAGGTGTAGGGCCAGTCAATTGAACAGGTTGATCGTTCCCAGCATCGATTCTTGTTGATGTGATCAAAACTTATGACTAAATTGATGGATCCATTTGGGCCGGACACAAAGTGATGCAGACCTACTGCCACCCTGGACTGGATTAGAAACTCATGTCTTTTAAGTCATTACTTGACCGATCACCAATTTGTTGGCTAAATTACAGTTCTTTCCGGTTTCTTTTCGGCCTTTTGGTGACCCTCTGGCAATTTCATATAGCTCTGGAAATCTCTGGAACATGACCCATTTGTAGAACATTTATCTATGAAACATGGCAATTTTCCATGTGAGATTCCCCATTTTGGTGGCTTAGATCCCAGCATCCCTTGGAAGGCTGGCGTTGGTGGGTTGGATCCGGGGCCGGCTCAACCATAGCCTGGCTTCGGAGGCGACCGCTGCGCATCTGCGGGCGATTGAGGACGGGGGATGGGCATGAGGGACTTGGAGATCCGTGCAGAATCGACATGGGAAACATGAGGAAAACCAAGGCAGAACTTCTGTCATAGATTTCATGCCTGTATTTTAATGAATAGGTTGTTTTTGGGGAGACGTGGAAGTGACATTTCAGAGTTTGCTTTGCCGAGACACGTAATGAGCACGACGTATTCCGGTCACGTGCCAGGGAAGCATGCATCATGCCAGGACACTAGAAGCTGGAAAGCCTTGCAGAAGACCGGGCCAAAGAAGGTGCTGCCATCGGGACTGGTCCAGTGGATGTTTGCATTCTTCAAAAGACCAGCTCATCCTGTAGAGCCATGTTGATACAAACAAAAGTTACAAAGTTATTTTTATCCATATTTTTTAGTGATATTTGTTTGCAATATCAATGGATTGGTTTAAGGGAAAATTTACAGGAAACCATAGATTTTCCCATTAAATATGGGGCTTTCCTGTAAAATTTCCCTTAAACCAATCCATTGACAATATTTTTCCAAAAAGCTGTTTCTCCACTGCCCCAAGCTGCCAGAGGCCCAGTCGGCTCTGCCCCGCGCCCCCCTGGGCCTGCAACGGATCTATGGAAGCCATTTGCTGCACACGGGGCATGCAGAGGAGGCAGCACACGTGCTACGACGTGTGGCCATGGAGGCCGGTTTTTGGGGCTGTCATTTAGAGAAATAGCCACCTTACTGTTGTTATTTAGTAAATGAGGCTTGACTGTGTTTCACAGTCTGTGGGATGATTGTGGACATTTTAGATTGTCCCAAAAAATAGGAAGCGTTGAGCCTTTAGATCCTTTAGCCAAGTCTGGTTTTAGTCAGAACATCTCCTGTTTGTTGCCTTGTTTCCCGACAGGTCATGTTCCCTTGGCTCAGGATCCACACTCCCCTGGCGCCTTGAATAACTTGGCAGTTGCAGAGTATCGTCAAGGCCGCATGCATGCAGCCATTGCTCCTTGGATGTGCAGCAATGTTTCCCCCGGAGTCAACTATACAACATAGGGAACACCAATAGGGAAAACCAATAGGGAAAACCAATGGTTTACGCGAAATTGCTCTTAAATGGTATGGTTTCCAATGTTGAAGGTGTTTGCAACTCCCAGATGCGGAGTCAACTTCTGGGCCCAGGGAGTAGTGTCGCAGGTCCATTTTTTGTTGATTTCATCAGCTGGGTTGAGGATCATTGCATGCTATACGTCAAGACTCTTTCATCAACATTTCTGACAAATAGATTTTGAACCCAAATTCTGGCCTTTTAGGTTTTGCCCCATCACCATATGTCCGCATTGAGACTTTGAAAGCTCCGCACTGGAGGATGCGTTGCTCTTTGCAGCGAGCCTACGCCCTAACGATGGTATCCTTAGTTGCAGTTTACTTAATTCAACAGAATATGGCCATGGGTCACCATATTTGAGGAGATCTACTCCAGCCACCTCTAGCTACTCAAGCTACTCAATTTCATCATCAGGAGGCTTCAGGGTTGTTGGGACAAGGGGTTTTTAGACGATCTCCCCCAAATCCCCAAAGAATGGATGGTTTTTTCGAGACAAACAAACAATCCAAAAATGGATGGTTCAGGCTTAAAACTGACCAGCCTTTGTGGGTTCCTTGGTACCACTGGATGGTGACGCAGTGACGCATCTCAGCGAAGGTGAAGTGCACGCCAACTTGGGCCGCTTCTTTTTCCTGGAGGGACGCTTACCCCTTGGGACCTATCACCTGAGCAAGGAGACGGGGTGAGATGAGACCGTCTGACTTTGGGATCAATTCAAAACCATCCCTCTGACGTTCTGGAAATACAGGGTGTCTAGGAGGGATATTTCAGAGTTATTGTAGGAACCTTTTGCCAATTTTTCATCATAAAACATCCAGTCCAATCCTGTCTGCAAGTGGGGAAGATTGGGTAGAGGCATCACCTCAAGGTAAAAAGCTATGCGGACCACACCAGCCGCAAACCGCGTGATGTGATATGATATTAGCCACGTTTGATGTCAAAATGACACGTCCAGGACAGAAAAGGCAGGTAACAACGAACTATTTGGGTGAAGTACCGACTTTGTCAGTAAGATTTCGTGTGATTTGGCTTTTTGTCGCTCCTGGTGCTGACATCTTTCGCAGGCTGTGATGGTGTGGCATCACTCTGTGACTTGGCCAATCTGAATGGTTCCGTTTGACCATTCTGCTGGCTTCGATCGTGACTTCCTGGCAACCAGGCGATCCTCCTGGCAACTTTCATCATGGCCTGCTACTGCCACCCAGCCGCAGGGGTTCTATGGCTTGGCACACATCCATGGAACACTCCATGGGAAACTCCATGGAAATCTATTGGAAACCATTTCCAGCTATCTAGTAAATAGATGTAAATAGACTATTAAATAGGCACAATCAACAGTGCATGACCATTTCGATGCCTGGCGCACTTAATGATTCAGCGGATTTCGCACGACTCTAAGTCTTACCGCACTGTCGCGTGCCAAGGCTTCTTTTGCCGGGTGCCCCAGACACTGCTTTTGCTTGTCGCGACACGTGAGGTCCTCCCGGACCAGATTTGAGTTATTGTTTCCTCTGAAAGAGACGGAGGAAGCCATGGTTTCCGAGTTTCCCATCTGTGCTCCTTGTGAATCCGTTCAGGTGTGCTCATCCGTACAGTAGATGAACACACTCCTCCAAGGAAGTCACCAGCTTCAATATCGAAACACATATTTGGCAATGGCCCCACTCGTTTCAACAATGACAATGATGCACCTCGTGGGTCAATCAACTCAACATGAAGTTTGCCCAGGTGGAATCTTCTGGTGCTTCTGCTTGAGGCTGGTAGGATATCCTCAGGCCCCGGGATATTCTGTGGGGGTAGGGCCAAGAAACCAAGATTGTAGTGGAAGTTGCAATCCTCCTTCAGACCCTGAGAATTGCATAGAATTTTACCAATTTTTGGAGGAACGCTGGCGTATATTCGCAACTCATGGCAGGGTCGATTTGTTAGTTGGAAGGCATTTTTCATTTACAGCAATTTGATCTTCAGCAAACGAATCGACAAATCATGGATTCTCTAGATGTTGGGATTTCATCTTATGTTTCCTGACTTCTGTTTGTCATGTCTGTGCTTTGGGATGATTGAAAGTCTCCTTAAACACTGTGAAATTGTCACTATTTGCCTTCTTCATCACGCCACCTATGGACACGCCCTGGCAACAGGCGCAAAGAGAAGCAGATGATGCAGCAGACCTTGCAAACCTTACAGCTGAAGAGAAGAGGTTACTTGAAAGGTAAAGCCAACGGGTTTGCTGGAAAGAGTGGCACGTTCCACTGCAAAATGCCAGCGCTACACCTGGGGGGAAGCATCTGGACAGATCCAGCAAAGAGTACCAGTGCTGTTCGAGGCTGCAGAGCTCCAAAAGTTGCAGCAGAGCCGGGTGTCTTTTAGATTATCCACAGGAGAAGCATCTCCTTCACTGGCGAGTCCTCAGCTATTTCCTCAGACCCAGACAAATCCATGCAAGCAAAAACATTCTGTATTGATATTCCGCTCTCAGCGCTTGTAGTGCCTGTCAGTGAAGCAGGCTACAAGTAGCATCGCCTCTGGTTTTGTAGCGTGTCGGACTGTGTCATTGTTTCGTGAAAAACACAAGCAACGCACCTGAAGAAGAGGCTTCATTGCTTCCATTGCGTCCGTGCTGCTTCTCGTGTCCAAGACACCTTGTTCTGCAAAGCGTTCTTATGTTCATTGAGTTTTCCGTGGAACGCGTGCTATGGAGGGCATGGTAAATCGAGCCAATGGGGGTTTAACTGCCCAGCAGAACCAACAGAACCGACAAGTCAAAGCTTGTGTTGTGGTTGGATCACTAAGCGATGGGAACAATGGCAAAACCGTGTAGAAGCTGGTTTCATTCAGACATGAAGGCGCCATATGGAGACAGCCAACGACTTCCAGCATTTCTTGGGTCTGAAGATTTGTGGCAAGTACTTGGGAGAAAGCGCTTCTACCGGGTGACATCAAAGGTTTGCTGTCGCGGGCTTTCAGAGGAACTGGAGATTAGTGGCGAACTTGAACACGGTACCGCAATGGTGGCTCAGAACTGGTGGATTTGAACAAGTCAGGGAAGAGCAACCTGCAGAATTCAGGGCATTTGCCTTGCCCTATCGGCCCTATCGCCCAAAGACCACCCGTGTGGAAGAAAGTGCGGGGCAATGGCGGTCTGTGTTGTTTTTTCAACCCTGTTTTCGTGAACCGGTCACTCAGCAATGCCTTTATCATGAGAACATATGAGAACAGAAGTCGTATTGCTTCGTAATTACTTACTTAATTACTTACTTAGTTTGTCAATTATAATAACAAGTCAGACTACCTACACAATCAGATTCAGATTGCTTGTTGGGTGAGTGAAAGAAACAGGGGTCATGACCATGCTCATCGTGCCAGGCAAACTGGGCAAGAAAGGGTCTGGGCCGCCCAAAGAGATAGCACAGTTTTTGCAGGATGCTATAGATGATATTGCCTGTTTTTTTTGGGGGTTGCTAGACTGATGTAATTAGCAGGATGATAGGATTATTATAGACTGTGGGAGCTTTTGGTATAAAGTATAAAGTGTGTCATGCAAGTCGCAAGTCTTTTACATGGATTGATAGGCGGAAACAGACATTGTTTACTGTTTCCATCCAGGAGTTGTGCTGATGAACTGCTGCCCCAAAGCAGAAGGTAGACTCGAAATCCATCTCGATCGAGTGTGGTTCGTAGGATACTTGAAGGATGAACGACAGTTCAGTTGAACGACAGTTCATTTTTAGCACCCCAAAAATGGAATAGTAATTAGAATAGTGGCAAATTCCATCTGATAATTCTACCATTAGAAAGGTATCTTTCTACCAATAGTGGCAAATTACATGGCAAATTACATGTTTGCCCTCGGCAATCATTGATTTTCCCAACGACCTCCATTGATGGCTGATCCAGGCCGTTAAGGCCATTGAGATCCGCGGGGTGAAAAATCCTGCGAGGCTGGGAGCTTGGGGATGGGTCAAAGAATCCATAGATCTCCCACGATTTCCATCATATTCTGGTATGTTTTGGGGGGATGAAGATCCATTTCACTGATTTCACTGTTAAATCAGCATTTATCCATATTTATCCAGTATTTTTGATGTGAAAACTGTGAAAACCAGTAAGGCTTTTGACCCATGGCGGCACGTTGTGCTGTCCATTTTAGTGACAGCAACTGACCGGGGCGAGGTTTCAACGTGAGATCCAAATCGCCAAGAAGTTGGATCATCCCAATGTGGTTCGGTGCCCCTTGTCTCGCTTGGACCCATAAAAAATGGTGGCAACAGCCAGGAAGGAATCCCAATTTTGAGGCCGTTTCCATCAAAATTTTCCAAACTACAATTACATAAGACTTCTTGCGAGTGCTCAAAGAGTCCCCTCAAAACTGCTCAATCCGGATGCTTGCAAGCCTGGCCATAAGAACTCATGCCAGGCTCTACGAGACTTTCAAGGATGCCAAGAAGGTGACCAATGATTGAAGGGATCACACAGACCGTGTTTTATATTGGATTCATGTTGAATCACTTGTTGCATGAGGATGCAAGATGGCATCACATGGCAGTGCAGAGCAGAAGCATTCGTATGCCTCAAAGATATGTTTGTTCTCCAGTAAGGTGCCAGTTGCGATGGTTGTTGGTCTGGCAAAGCAAATCATGCCATCAAGGGCAAGCTGAGCTGAGCAAATCCCAGCTAGGTCATGCTGGTTCCAAAGCGACTCTCCCGTGCAATACCATGTGTCATCGTCGGACCAGTTCCCCTAAAATTGAAGTGTTTGATGTAGTTGAACACAACATAACACAACAATTGCCAGACTTGTAGCTCCGCCCCACTTCCAGTGGTTAATGATGGTTAATGGATAAACTCCCGGTTGTTTTAAGTGATTTTTGCGCTTCAACGTGTAAAGTCGCAGTACGCCTGATATTGCGAAAACCAACCTTTCAACATTTTTCACCTGTAAAACATCCATAAAGTATTCGTCTTTCGCAGTTGAACCTCCATCTTTTGTTCATAAATGGTTTTTCCAAGTCCAACTGCTTCAAAGATCCATAGATATTAAATCATCATAAATCATCATAAAGCATACACACATCATAAATTATCCATAGATTTAACCGAACATTTCCCTTCAACTAATCCACGGGAACTCCCATTGAACCACCGACGTGTTGAACGCAGATCTACCTCGTGATGGAGCTCTGCACTGGGGGCGAGCTCTTTGACCGAATTGTGGATGAGGCCGACCATGGCTTTTTGCGACCCAGAAAACATGGCATATCTATGGATATTCTATGGATATTTATTAATATTTATGGGATGGATATTCATGTTTTTTTTTTTTAACATATTTTTTTTCATGGATAGTTATGGATATCTCTTGTGTTTTCAACAGTTTCTAATGATGGATATTTTAGCTTAAGAATGGGATGGGAGTGTACAAAAAATGGGAATCGCACCGGTATATGTGGCTCGTGAACATGGAGATGTCGCATCGATAAATCCAAGTCTTGAGGATTGTCGCATGTTAATGAGGATTTTGGCTGACACTGGCAGTCTGCCAAGTTGATGAAAACGGGATTTGAGATTTGCAAAGAAGGTTGCTGAATGATGGCGAAAAATGGGGGATTTTTACCAGCCCCTTAGTCCGAGACAACAGAAAATGAGGGATCTATGGGCTCTACTCACTAATTATGTAGCCAACCCCATTCTTGATGGTTGGGTACCGGATTTCTTTTTGTCTTGTTTTCTTCAAAACCCATGTGCCTCAAGAGCGACAATAAATTCAAGACGACGACCACTTAGGGTTGTCTGGACTATGTTACGGAAAAGACGTGCACCCAATCCGTAAGCAGACTGAATATACTTTTCATCCATAATCACTAGCCCTAGTCAAGATCCCCACAAGTTGTAGCTATGACCTGATAGAACGTCTGGGATCGTTATTCCCTTCATTTTTTTTGTGGTTCATCATATCCATAGATATCAATTATTACTTGGTTGAAATAGTAGTAAACATTACGATGATCATCGGGGTACGGGTGGTGCTGCCTTTTGGTAACATGGCTTGCTGGAAAAATGGTCCGTTGACTTCGATGATTCCCCCCTAAGACCTTCATTTTTTAGATGGTTTTCCATGGTTTTCCCATTAAACACCCAATTTCAAGATGTGGAAATTGTGGGAAATCATTTTAACATCCATTTTCATGGGGTTTCCCATTGAGACATCCATCCAATCCCCAATTTGTAGATGATTTCCCCAGCATTTTCTTCCAGCTCCACCAGGCACCGAGTGGATTTGACGAGTTCCACGCTGCTAAGTCAGACACCTGGTATGTAAATTGCATGATATAATGCTACAGGCTGCATGGAATGAAATTAATATTAATAGTAATGACATATAGTATATATTTATACTATTACTAGTAATGGCATTAATATAGCATATATTTAATTATATTTATACTATGTGGAATGAATATACATCAAATATCATGCGTCCTATTGTGAAAGATAGTGATGTGTGTGTTTCAGAATGTCCATGACTGTCAGCCATGAGAGATCAGATACGACCGCTGGAAGCAGGTACATCCGCCAGATCCTGTCGGCTATTTGCTATCTTCACGCTCATAGGTGGGATAATCAGCTGCTTGAAGATTGTCAGCAAAACTGCTCCATAAAATCCCTGTCGAGCAAAACGAGCTACTGGACAGGTGTGCCCCCACGACTTATTTGAAAGCTAGGGAAAGAATCCCCTCCGTGACTTGATAGAACCAGTTGCGTTGCTTGTTACTGGCACAGTCTGAATGGCTGAGAAGGATCTAAACTGCTCATCGCGAATGCTTCTATGACTGGCCAGATAGATTGGAGATTGCGTTGCTTGACACTTCCTTGGTGCATGGGCCAAAGGATTTTTTATGAGTTGTTAGGTTCATCTCTCGACGCAGTCAAATGGCTGCGCATGATCTAAACTACTCATCGCGCATGCTTGTATGACTGGCCAGATAGATTGGAGATTGAATTGCTTGACACTTCCTTGGCGGGCGGGCCAAAGGATTATTCATGAGTTTGTTAGGTTCATCTCTCGACGCAGTCAAATGGCTGCGCGTGATCTAAACTACTCATCGCGAATGCTTGTATGACTGGCCAGATAGATTGGAGGTCGCATTGCTTGACACTTTCTTTGTGCGTGGGCCAAAGGATTATTCATGAGTTTGTTAGGTTCATCTCTCGACGCAGTCACATGGCTGCGCGTGATCTAAACTACTCATCGCGAATGCTTGTATGACTGGCCAGATAGATTGGAGGTTGCATTGCTTGACACCTCCTTGGTGTGTGGGCCAAAGGATTATTTATGAGTTTGTTAGGTTCATCTCTCGACGCAGTCAAATGGCTGCGCATGATCTAAACTACTCATCGCGAATGCTTGTATGACTGGCCAGATAGATTGGAGGTTGCATTGCTTGACACTTTCTTTGTGTGTGGGCCAAAGGATTATTTATGAGTTTGTTAGGTTCATCTCTCGACGCAGTCACATGGCTGCGCATGATCTAAACTACTCATCGCGAATGCTTGTATGACTGGCCAGATAGATTGGAGGTTGCATTGCTTGACACTTTCTTTGTGTGTGGGCCAAAGGATTATTTATGAGTTTGTTAGGTTCATCTCTCGACGCAGTCACATGGCTGCGCATGATCTAAACTACTCATCGCGAATGCTTGTATGACTGGCCAGATAGATTGGAGGTTGCATTGCTTGACACTTTCTTTGTGTGTGGGCCAAAGGATTATTTATGAGTTTGTTAGGTTCATCTCTCGACGCAGTCACATGGCTGCGCATGATCTAAACTACTCATCGCGAATGCTTGTATGACTGGCCAGATAGATTGGAGGTTGCATTGCTTGACACTTTCTTTGTGTGTGGGCCAAAGGATTATTTATGAGTTTGTTAGGTTCATCTCTCGACGCAGTCACATGGCTGCGCATGATCTAAACTACTCATCGCGAATGCTTGTATGACTGGCCAGATAGATTGGAGGTTGCATTGCTTGACACTTTCTTTGTGTGTGGGCCAAAGGATTATTTATGAGTTTGTTAGGTTCATCTCTCGACGCAGTCACATGGCTGCGCATGATCTAAACTACTCAT